ATTGTCCAAATTAAAATTATATGGCCAGTTAGTTATATTAACGTCGATATTTTTTTCAAATATACTCAAGGCTATACTCAAACAAAACCTAAACTTATTCCATTTCATACTTTTCCATACACCAATTATCATATTTAATATTAGAGAGATATAAATTTAAAATTGATTAACTGTGTTTTACTATTTTAGTAACCACAAAAACTTTAGTTTATTTTATAATGCATTCGCGAAAACATTACCAACGCAGACAAAAAATTATTACCTCGCTTAAAGAGTTAAATACCTAATAGAGAAGTAATAGCTATTAGCATTAGTAATAAGTTTATATACAGTATTATGTACAGTATAAGATGAAGAATAATAAAAATATTGATGAATAATAATGATTGGCGAAAATAAAACAACTGAAAAGCTTCGTCGGCCCTCGGTGATTAAAAAAAAAACCCCAACGCGTAAATTGTCACGAATGGCCTATATTTTTTTAGGGCGCCAAAAGTACTATTGTCTAATTGGATTTCAACGGCCAGTTCGTTAGCCTAACACTCGCCCGTTATTTACTGTATCCTAAATTTATATTTGTCTTGTGACCTAAATGTTGTAATTTTCGTTTCATAAACACTGACGCTTAAGATAAGCAAAGATGTAAGAATACACGTGTTACGAAAATGGTAATTCTGTATAAGGCAGAAATACATTTTGTATTTGGTGTATTACTACTTGTTTATGCGAGAAAAAGACATTACTGTTCAACAGATTATTGCTAATTACTACAATACATATTATCAATATGTCAGAGTGGGCTGCCTTATATTACTTATATGTAGAGAATATTATCCTCGTCTATATTTCACTAACTGTACAAAATGGTTGATTATGGTTGTATATATAGGTTATTGTTATGTGCATTAAAAAGAAAACAATTAATAGTTAAGTGTAATTGGAAATTACAAAACAAAGTGCGTATTAAAAAATCATATTGAAACAGCTATTTCCTAACCGTTTCGCGTTTGTTATCGTAGTCTAAATTTGAATTACCGAGTAAGATTTCCTCTACCGCAACGCTGACCGAATTCCAAATTTAAATCTTTAAAAAAGTCACCACAGAACTTAACTCTTCTAACACGATGTACATTTTCATTATAATAATAAACGAGTAAATGTTTATTATAATGTTTGCGCTTTATTCTTTTTTTTTACTAAAATCTCTTAATAACCACTTGTGAAAGATTTTAAACTATGCTGCTACTCTAACAATAAAAGTATTCAACTATGACTTTCAAGTACGCACTATGTATATTGTTCACGTTTTTAAATGTAAAGGTCTTCAGAATTTGACCTCACGATTATTTACAAGTTCCATATATCAAGTATGACAATTAGCATGTTATATTATCTGAGAACATAAAAGTAAACAGTCTGTGTTATATAAATAACATTTATTATAGGTGATTCAACTATAATATTTTTATTTTACCAGGATTTGTCTATTACAATAAGCATAAACCAAATGATGATTAGCTGATGAATTATAAGCCATGAGATTTAAAATTTTAACTTTATGGTAGTTGTCTATGGTAAACAACTAGTTACGTACATAAAAAAAATAAAATTACAGTCCATGGGTTTATTAATCCCACAGATTATAGGAAGTATATTTTTTAAAAATGGAATCCTAGCGCTAATGGTATTTTGTGTTGTCATGTAAATGCGCGCAAAACGTAATAAATAAATAACAAATCTTGTAGCAAAACAATATCAACAAGATCATTCCATTAAAAACGGAATTATTTTCTATTTAATTCTTTATAGCAGTAAAACTAGTCATATTTCGACAATTTTATTATGCTCTATGAATTACACGCGACAAATAAAGATTTTAACAAATTTAAAAATCGTGTTTTAAAGTTTGTATAGGTGAATTATAATTCATTTTAATCTGTGTAAGACTTTGCTTTTGCAAAAAGCGTGACTCCGATAAAGCCTCATGACGCTATTGTTAATAATTATTTTGCGTGACTCAGAAATAGTATAATGATAATACCTATAAAATACTGGTATAGGAAATAAAGAATCTTGATTTTCCTTAGATGCACTATTGTGTAATTTTCTACGACATTGCGTGACTCATGATTAAAAAGGAAACAATAGATATATCAATAAAGATGTGTTATTATTGTATAAGATACAAAAAATATATCTTTTGTTCATTATTTATCTTCCATAGGAAATGTTAGAGAAATTTTAAAATGGTCGCCTGAGTTTTAAAAAAAATGTCGCTCCGAATTATAAATGTCGTGTTAAAGATAATACTTTTATTTAATTGATATTTTTTATATCTCTTTTCATTGCGCACATATAAACAATGAATTAAATGAGTAGATTTTTTCGTTCTGTTTGATCGATTAAGGTTCTTCCCGATTAAGGAGCCTAATTAGTACCTATATATCAAGGTATTAGGTATATCAAACATGACAATTTTTTTTAAATTCGGAATTTTGAATTTTGATCCAGAATTGACTTCCTGAAATTGTAATACATGAACCGGAGACGCTGTATCATGATGCCCTTATCTTATCGTACAATAAACTATATCACATACTTGGGTAAATAAATACCTACTAATTACGTATATCAAGTATAGTTCTGGTTATGTTACAGGATACATATAGAGAATTGATGTATATATAACGATTTTAACACGTGACTATGGGTGATAAAATAAAATGACCTCGATGTTGAATGATAGTGAATTGCGAGGGTGATACGAGGGCATCGTCGGAGATCAAGTAATTCGTGACAAAGCCAAGTCAAGATGTCGTTCATATATTTTACAGGCTTCCGACCAGTGTCAATGCCATTATTTAAACAGCAGTGATGGCATACATTGCTACTCTTTATCATGAGGCGTACGTTTAAATTACGGAAAACCAATGTGTGATTAATATTTTAATTTGTTTTTATTTATTTGCATTTCACTTAAAAACCATGCGCCAGGCGTGTATACTGTGTAGGGACAAAAAATAGTAACAAAATGCAATAGACAAGCTTCCTTTTTTAAAATTATTAAAAGGACGTTCTCACAATTCAACGAACAAGTTATTTTTTCATTCGAAATAAAACAAAACACGGACGCAGAATAAAATTTTAATTTAATTTAAAGGGTTACCATTATCGCCCTTCGTAACCATAACAGTGAGTCACACATTGATTTTGTCGCATATCACACTTCCTCTTTTAAAAGTAACTCCAATAAACTGTGGACACTCATATCAACTTCCGGTTAATATTAAAAAAAAACTCATGATTCATAAAGGTCTTTTTGCCCACCTGCATCGTATATAAGACTTATGGTACCTACGTAACGTAGCCGACACATCAAATAGTATTCTTAGTATTTTTTTATACAGACTAAATACAATTTTTTTTAACAAATAAACACATGAATTTGATTAAAAACATTTTTTGATAACCAACATAATGTGATAGTAACAAACATCAACACATTTTGTTTCTCTTCGAACTTTTCAAGTCAAAATAGTTTTAAGTAAAAATTTACACTAACGTTTAAATGGTTTGACGGATTTAGGTTGATTTATTAGTAATACGGATGACCGGAAATGATTGATAATTACATAATACAAAACACCTGTGAAATCGTATTTATTAATCGGAAGTTAAAGGTTTTAAATTATCGAAACATGTTATGAATACGGAAAGAAAATTACGATATTATAATGAATGGCGAATGACTAACACTGTTGACAAAATCAAAACATATTTATTAAATAAACCTTACGCATTGGTGACTAATTTATAAGAAAATACGTCTATAGTATTATTCAATTTTATAACGTCAATTGCTTTATGGTATTTAGTTAATACGCGTGTTATAATAGTATTTTTTTAACAATTAACTAATCTTGCTTAACACAAACTTGTCTAGATACAATTCGACTAGCGTCATGAGCTGCCGCGAGATACCTTTGTCTAACACTTGCACTTAATGTCAAATACAAAATTCATCGACAAAAGTTTGAATATCATTGAAAATGAAACTAAAGCAACCGTGTGAATTTATTAGCGTGTGATAGTTGAAAAGGAAAGTCATTAAGTCGTGTATATCATAAAATATAAATAGTATATTTTTGTAAACAGAATATTCTCAGCCATTGAATTTTATCTCCCACGTCGCATCGCAGGAGTCGAAATGCTCGGTTTAAATGCTACTAAATAAATGTCAATGTATTACAAAACTAGATTTCATTCTCATCATCTTCAATCAATATGATATTGTCACTTTACAGTTATTTTTATTTTTATTTAAGGCCTACCTTATATATAGAAATAATAATTTCACCTCGTATACGGACTATCGTCATTTAAAACAATTTATACAGTATTACAGTTTAAATCAATCGAACTAAATATATGTCAAAAACCTAAAATGTACACAACGTGAGGCTACATATACCGTCTTTTGCTAGGTCAAAACGAAAAGAGGTCTTAAGTAAAAACATAAAAATAAGTTAAACAGTGATGAGGGTGGATCGTAGTTATGAAACTCACAATAATGATGGTTCCCAGAATGGCCCCGCATTTCATTTACGAGACAAGTTCGCAAAAACTTAACACTTCAAATGAAAAATAATGACATTCGCTCCTATTACAAATTCAATGAAAATGAATTCAATTTATCTCTCACTATCATTATGAGGCACTCATAATTTCGCTATCCATGTTCCGTTTGTTTTTATTTATGCTATAAATTACGACGAAATTTTACCTTCTTATCATAATAATAATTTAATCGTGCAAGATAAACTAGTATACTTTTGATAATACTGTTGTACGACTTATAAATATACAAAATAAGTTAATAAGAATTTAAACCTGTTGTTCTAGACTCATTAGCAACCTTGTAAAACGAAATAAGCGCCGCTAACTCAAAGATTAGGTTATTAAAAATCACCTGTATCCCTTTAAACTTAGAAGGTACTCACTTGTTGAAGGTTTGCTCGTACTGTTTTATTTCCTTTCTGCTAAATTCGTGGAACTCGGTGAATACATTGACGAATTTATATTTCGGTTTAATATCTAAGCCCTCCTCGAGTTTGTCGTTGATCGCCTGTCTCCTCATTAAAATTCCGCTTAGTTCTTCGGTAGCTGCCATTTTTCGCGCGTTTAAAGTTATGTCTGCGCTCTTGCACTCGCGTGTCGACTTGAGAGCGACCTTGCTAAGACTGGCAATCGGTGCGACTAGCGTGTTGGTGCGGGCCGCGATTCCGTGCCTCTTACCTAGCGCCTACTAAATGCTCTGCGCAATCTGGGGCTTGGAGCGATTTAACTCCGCGCACTTAAACTAGCGACGAATACTGAAACCACAGTTATGAGAGACAATTAAAGTAAATATTGAACTCACGAATGACTCACAACTACATTGACATCATTACATAATCAGTCATCTTTTGGCTGACGTAATTACTTATGAACTAATGTATTAAAATTATACTCTTGGGTCCCTACCAACCCTTGTTTAATGTACGAAAATTGTTATGGGAAATGCTACTGTCATTAATTTTATTTATGCTTTTCGTTTAGTAATTAAGTATATTTAACTAGGGACAAACTTACAATATTGTTTATTGTACGAAGTTGAAGACTGAGATGTTATTAAGAGCCATTGATGTGGCTAATAATCATCAATGTTTTTTTTTATACTTTTTAACTCTTGAACCTTTTTATTCAATTTTATAATGTAACAAAAATAAGAGAAATATTTTATATTATCATTAAAGTTATTTTTGAAAATAAGTCTCATATACCAAAAATATATCCAGCGCCGATGTTGCGTATTGAAGTGTAGTTAAATAGTTTAACTATAAAACTTGTTAATGAATATTAAAATATATTTAAGAAATACTAAGGAAATAATTTAAATTATAGCCTCGCGTGATAGAGAAACAGACATCCATCCATACAAGCAATTATTATATTAGCGGGATATTTAACACAAGAGAATTTTAACCTAGTACTTAATTCACTCACATCCACTAGACAACTTTCGAGTGTTCTCAGGTTTAGAACGTCGACTTCCTTTTTTGAATTTGATTTACTTTGAAAGGAAGTGACAAATTTAAAGAGAATTTCGTTTCTATTACAGGAAGTTGACGTTCTCGACAATTTTTGAATATCGAGACTTCGAACAGTGTTTGAGGCATTCAACTTTATTTCTATGTGCGCATATATTCCTTGCTTGTATGGTGAAGTTGAATATAGTGGGACTGGTACATTTTAGGGTAAGATTTAGTATGTCTTTCGTATATTGAATTATGACATGGGCATTGGGCATGGCTTAGTTCTAGCTAAGACACAACTCTGAACCCTTAGATCCAAAAATCTATGAGAATTATGGATGAAACGGATCACCAACAGACTTGCAATATTTTTTTTGTCAAATATACCAATAAAAATATATACCTAATGATAGTCTTTCCTCAGTACTGACGATGTATGTATGAAGGTGTTAAAATCTAAATACAAATTAGACTTATTTAACATAATACAAAGTACATTATTGAGTAAAAATAGTATGGATATTTGTTTTCTTAAATTAATAAAACAAACAATAAATACCAGCTTCTTCCTATCAAATTCAGCGAAGGGCTTTTCGAATTGTCAATCTCCAACGAATTACTGATCGGCTTGATTCTCTCTCTACGCAGAGACATTGCGTCTCTTTGCGTTTTCTACAAATTGTACTATGGTGAGTGTTCTAAAGAATTGTTTGGGTTGATCCCTCCTGCATCGTTTCAACACCATAGGAGCTGTATCAATTCTAAATTTCATCAACATCACCTTAATGGACGGAAGTCTTCCACAGTCCGTTTCACAAAACACTTTCATTTACGAAATAGCGAACTGTGGAATCGACTTCCTGTGGGGGTCTTCCCTGAGAGACACGACGTCCAATTCTTCAAAGTTAGAGTGCACTCCTTCCTCAAAGGCCGGCAACGCACTCACTTAAATTTGGGCGTCGCATAGGCTCATTTGCCTTACTTTTTGATTTACTTGCAGTGATGTAGATTAATTGAGCAGTGTTGGCCTAGTGGCTCAGCGTGCGACTCTCATACCTGAGGTCGTAGGTTCGATACCCGGCTGTGCACCAATGGACTTTCTTTCTATGTGCGCATTTAACATCGGTTGCTCGAACGGTGAAGGAAAACATCGTGAGGAAACCGGCTTGCCTTAGTCAACGGCGTGTGTCAGGCACTGGAGGCTGATCACCTACTTGCCTTTTAGATTGAAAAATGATCATGAAACAGATTCAGAAATCTGAGGCCAAGACCTAAAGAGGTTGTAGCGCCACTGATTTATTTTATGTAGATTAATTATACGAATGACAAAGTAAAAAGTCTTTGGTGATAGTCATGCCAAAACAAGGGAATACAATTACGCGCGCCATCTCTGTTCTATATTCGAAAGTCGAATGTATTTGTACAAGTCCATTCTGAAATGATTTAAAACGTAAAGCTGTCTAAGGGTGAAAATATGGAAGTGATGTGCAAATATAATTCGAAGAATGTACTGAACCGTACGCGATAATATAGTGTATTTTGGCTTAATTCGTAGTTTAATTTTAATTTTCTAATGTAGGAAAGGTGTTTGATACTAAATATGTTGAAAATTTATTTATTCACAAAAAAATACGCTATCCTTACCATACTTATCCTACCGTTAAGTTAAAAATTAAGTATTTTAAAATATATAAAATTAAATACATAAGATACACAATATCGCTACTGTGAACTCACTCTGCGAAATATAAAGATGTCGATAGGCGCAACGTCTTCATTAATATTAATGGGGATCTGTTCAGATTGGTTCTGGCCCTTGGAATAACAAACAGCCTTCGCTGTCGCTGTCGCACAAATCAAAGAACACTTGGGTTGCACACGAACCCTTGCAAGACTGAAGAAGTCCCAAGGGGGGCAGGGGTTGTCTTGCGTCGTCGTCTTAATTAAAACTATCTAGTAGAGGTGCTGGTCAGCTTTGGTTCCTAAATCGCATTACCAGGCTTCGGCTACTACGGCTACAAATCAGTACGATGACGTCATACCGTAAATCGCGCTAACAAAGTATGTATTTCCCGCTAAAAACACATATACAACTTCTGGACCTTAGCCACTCGGGCCTTCGAACCATTCAGTTCAGATCTCTGGTTCAATTAATTCACAGAATCGCTCTACTTGATTCGAATCAATATATTATGGTTCTAATGTAAGAAAACTTAGACATCCGGAAGCAGCCACTCCTCTACGGAAAACGAATTTATTAACGCCTATATGGAATGCTACCGAACATATTCCCAGTTTTTGTACTTGTTTAAATTGACAGTGAAAGCGTAGTTGAAACGTGTTACGAAATACGCACAATTCGCTCGTTGCGGTTTATATATTGGAATGAAACGGACGGTTAAAGCTTAAAAAATTTATTACGATTCCTAACAATTGCATCATTGATTGTTAACATTGCCTACAGATCAAAAGGACTGCGGTTCAATGTTTGTTATTGCAATTTTAGCGAGAAAATAAGTTGTATAGAGCAAGTGAAATCTTTAACGTGATCCTGACTGTACAAAAAAACATTTAAACATAGTAATTAATAAGATAATGAACCGCTAAAAAAATATTTTGATGAATTAGTTATTAAAAAAGGTTTTTTCGAATCTCTACTGGCGACCCTGGATAGCCCTAAGAAAATTGGTACTACTTGAACATCCTCTTGCCTGATATTGAGATGCACGTCCAATAAACGACGCTAAATATTTTTTTCATATTCATGTCGAGCGATGGAAATAAAAGGTAAAAAAAAAAAATAATTTTTGTTTGTAATTAAAAATTGGTTTTAAAGAAAAAAACTTGCCAATGCTCGGAGATACTGATAAATTGAAAAAAGAAAAAAAAATACAATTTTTAATGTAACAAGCCCTTATAAAACCAAAAAACATGACATACACGAAAAGATAATACAAATATTAAACAAAACAATTAAAATTATAAAAATTAAACGATCGTAAAGCGTGAGGGGAGCAACTATGGATATCCAGACCTAGATCGTTTATCAGAATGCTTAATCTGGACATCGGTGAGCTTTGGCCAAAACACGTTCTTGGGAAAGGAGGGACAAATGGAATGATAGTCGTATCGTATGCTGGCAACTTTTTTTGAGATGACACTGGAGAAATGTAGATGCCACATTAATTTTTTTTGTCTCGTAATAATGTGCTATGCTTATAAGGCTGAAGAGAGTGCCTGTGTCTGGCTTTCCTCTCGGGGCGTAACACTTAACTATTTAGGCAATCGCCACGCGTATAATACGAGTACTAAGAAAGCCTAATTGAGCAATATGTACAGCCTTGGCTCGCACATTATCATTTATCAGTAGTAACATAGTATAAATATCTAACATTTTGGCTCGAAAAATCGTATTACAATATACCAAATAACTATAATAGTATATTTCATTACAAGTGCGGAAAGCCTGTCATTGCAAAGAGTTTCGACAATTCAATGTCTACATTCCGAAAGCCGGGCGCAGCCGGGTGGGGTAAATGATCAATCGGAACAAGTTAGCAATTACGGTTCCGCAGATGATACTGTTTTAACAACTATTTTAATACAGTTGCGAAAAATTATGCAATTTAATAAAATAATAAAAAACAAATGAACCCTAAACTCAACTCACTAATCATTTATTTCTTATACAAATTATTGTTCACATATATATTGGTGACAGTTTTTTATACTAACTGAGAATTTAAGTTCATATTTATATACTGTTTGAGACAAATATTTCTTATTTCATATTGATTATTCTTGTATATTTAATATATAATATAACAAACAACTAAACGCGTACAAAGAACATTTTTGGAAGAATGGCGCCCCCGTAAAGGAATATAAGAGATTTTTTTTCATTTCACCCATTCTGGGTAGGCAAAGGGAACTATGCCCATACAGCCAAGTCTTCAGTACAATTTTTTATTGATATGAAATGAAATTTAATGAGATGAAATGAAATGTAACCCTAACTCATTGGATCAAATCATTAAATCTTATATTAATATTTGCATGAATCATAGAAATTTCTATGATTTTTTTGGTACCGCGCGGGCGGCGCGCCGCCGGGCGCGAAAACTTCGTCGTGTTGTTTTTTTCTTTTTAATAGACATTATTTTGACAGTTGGGAAAAAGAGAGGCACTAGTTCGGAAAATGTAAAAAAAAACCTGACAAGCGAATGTATTAGGCCACATGTTGAAGTGTATTTTACGTCCTGCTAATAGCCAATTTTTAGCAATTCAAATAATGAAAGTCTAATTACTTAAATTTTGCCTATAGTACATAAACACTGCAGAATTTTTGTATGGAATAATGAAAAACTTAATAGTAAACCATTAAATATCTTAATTACCAAAATTGCCACGCCTTCATGCTTTCCGTTGTATTATGTACAATTTAATCATAATTCTTCGAAGTACTTTTAATTTCATAAATGACACATATCCCGAGGGATAACACGAAATAGTTTATATAATTTGCAATTGACAAAAGTCGCATGTTAAATTTAACTTCGGTGTTGATCTAGGAGGTCGTCATGAAGAGACATTCCAGGTAATAAATTGTTTTATTTGATAAATTACTTTAAAACCTATAGTTTATATTTTTGGATCTCTCCCTTCTCTTCTTCGTCAGTTATTTATTTTTATTCATTTAAACTTCGTTACATGAAAATAAAAACAAAAAAACATTTTTTAGATTTATATTTCATTAAAAAATAAAATTACGTGTAACAGTGAATTATACTTTTATCATTAGATTTGTCTATCATGCTGGTTTATAGTTTTTCTGCGTTTTCCTTCGCTAACAGGCAAGCTTAATTGCTAGACAGTAGACCGGGTCTAGAACTGAATACCTTAGGGTAGTTGGTTGTTAAAATAATGCCAAGTTCGTCAAACATTAACGTTTACTGAACATAATTTGCTTAATTTAATTTCTTCTTGCGCAGTTAATTATAATACTGTATTGAAATAAACTCCTACGATATAATATCTCGGATATATAAGCTAATATTTAAATAAATTTGCTAATTACTCATACTGAATGGACGCGGTTATTAACTATAAATAATAAACAAATAATCAAAGTATAATACCTAGGTAACACTGAAAATGATTAGAAAATGAAAAACGGCTTAATGTAGAAAGTTGCCAATACTTTTATTGTTTTTCGAAGTAATCTCCGTTCCTCTTCACATTCGATGCATTCGATGGAACCACTGAGAAAAGCAGTGGGCACATTCTTCCTTAGTGGTCTCTTCTACGGCATTTTCGTATGCTTTCACCGTATCTTCAGGGGCCAGGGCTCGTAAAGCGAGTACCTCGAATTTTATCCTTAGTTCTTGGGAATAAATGTACCTAGTCGCTGTGGGCCATGTTAGAACTGTATGTCGGATGACTCGTTATCGTGATCGTGGTGAAGGAGGATCCTGCTTCGAGGGCGCAGCTGTCGAATTTCTTCCAAGGCAACAGGCAAACAGCGATTGACATTCGAACAACTGTCGCGAAATGACCTTTCCGACCACAGAATGAGGCAATCATCTTTTTTCCTTGACTTCTTCCTTTCTTTACCTTAGTTGGCCGATTCTCGAAAGGAAACACCCACTGAGCTGATTGTCTTTTGGTTTCGGGTTCGTAGCAATATATCCAGCTTTCGTCACCTGTGACGATGTCAAATATAGCATTTGAGTCACCGCCGTTGAACTTATCTAACATTTGGTGACACCAGTCCATGCGAAGGTGTTTCTGGTCGTCGGTTATAGTATGGGAAAGGCACAAAGCTTCCTGACTTCTAAATGTTTGTTTAATGTTTTTTAAACTTGACTCATACCAATGCCGTATATGCTAATAGGTCACTCTCTTATCTTCCTCTATCATGCGTCGCACAGCACTGATGTTATCTTCAGTAGTCGCGGTTAAAGGATGCGCATCAGCATTGAGATGGCTACGACCACGCTTTAACTCGTACAACCAATTGTAAATAGTGGCACGAGATGGATATTCATTAAGAAATGCTTATCGCAGCCTATCTTATGTTTGTTGTTAAGTAAGCCCACAACGAAAGTAATAATAATTCATTGACCGAAAATTTTATCGCATTAGGTTCATTTTCACGTGTAACAAGAGTTTTAGATTTGCCGCCAATTCACAAAAACAAATGACAAATAAATGCAATATACTACGTTACATTAGGTTACCAAAAAGATCTAAAATTGAAATTCAAAAAAGTTTTCATTAGCAATGTTTCTAACTGGCCAGTTCTAGACATTTTCAGTGTTACCGACGTATAATAAAATTATTTAAATAAATCGGCATTATTCCTTCTTTTTTTTATTTCGGTTACACTGATGAAAAGCACCAACAGACAGAGGTTTAGTTAAACTAATTTGTTGTATATTGTTTATCTACGTAAATAAAAATAAATTGATAGATTTTGTTAGCGTAGCTGCACCGTTGCATTGAAATTTTATAAGGCATTTAAAAAACGGTTCTTTCGTTACTCTGGAAATAAAAAAATAAAATAAAATACATTACAAATAATGCATTTATTTAACTAAAAATACATAGAAAGACATTACATATGACTGATCATTAATTCTTACTAGTTATTAAGACAACTTTTAACAAAAAGTATGGTTATCGAATCTACCTAACTAAAACAAATTTAATAACTACTTTGTTTAGCAATTTTTTAAACAAAGCACTACATATAGGCCATAAAAAAAAATATATATATTATATAAATATAAATACAACATTATTTTATTACTTACTTTGATACTTAGTCAGGATTTTAATATAATTTTATAAAACGACGCATTGCTAGCGCCATCTGTTGAGAAATACGTTGGAACGAGATTTGACAACTGTCAGTCTGGGCGGATGCCCATCATCATTAGAATCAGCCGTGTCTTTAATAATTGTAATGTGGGTGGGAACAAAAGAATCACCAAAGTCAACAGATGGCGCTAGCATTGCGCCGTCATATTATAATATTGCATAAATATTAAAATACACATGCGATATGAGATATCAACAGTAAGTAATAAAATAATATGTTGTATTTATACCCCCCCCCCTGTGGGGGGGGGGGGGGGGAAAAACCCAACCCCCCCCCCCCCCCCCCCAAGGGAAAAAAGGGCCACCCCCACAATATTTAAATTTTATATTTATTTTTTTTTTTTTTTTTTGAGCAAAAAAAAAAAAAAAACCAACCCCCCTTTTTTCCCCCCCCCACAAACCCCCCTTTTTTTTTTTTTAAATGATAAACCTACATGGAAAAAGAAGGTTGCCGGATCAGCTAGTATTTATATAAAAGCCTAATCCTTCTCAAGGCATTCCACATTTATCAATTTTTTTCTTTCTCCAGCTATCTTTCCCCGCCATTATCGCAATTTCTTCTATCTGGTATAAGGCCGGTCTATAACCAGATTAATACAAATGCATTATTAAAAATAATAAGATTGTAACGGTAACGATAGATTTTATGTAAAACTTAAGACCTAACAGGAAGAATAGATGTGAATTATATTAAGAATTCGTGTAGAAAACTCTAGAAATCGAAGTGATAAATCGAGAATATAGAAATAATTTAACATTTCTTACATAGACATACATGTACAAGGGAACCAAGACCATTCACAAATTCATTCAACATTCCTAATTTCTCTATATTTCAATTCCTCTATATCTTACATAATATACCTGAAGTACCTACCCATATCTAAAGGGCTACAGAAACATCTCAATATAGCAGAAATACCTGTTAACCTCATTGTTGATGTCGGTGAAATGCCTTCACAATTTATATTATATGCATATAATACATTATATTATTAATGTTGATATATGTATAACTTTTTTTTGCTAGATCAAACAGTCTTGGGAAAATTGATGATCCACTTTCCGACAGTCCAGTAACAAATGGCCATACAAATATTACCGCAGAGAAGAGAAGCACCTTCGATTCGGTGAAAGAGTATTTTATAGACTATACAACGAACTCTAACCTTCATGGTTTGAAGTATATTGGCGAAAAGCAGCGGACGTTCCTTGAAAAGTAAGTAGTTTTTTTTTAATGGCTCTGGCAGGATTTGTGCATTAGCCAGCGTCTAGTATAGGATTTTTTATAATTCGTGCTTGTCTTTTCGACCTTGAACTTTTCGAGAAATTCGACCGTGTCCTCCATGTACGGTTTAAGTACTCGCCCGGTACCGCACAACCCTCCCAAAGGCCGAGCACAAATTTAAATTAAATTAAAACTTGCCCTCGAACCGGGAATCGAACCCGGTACCCCTCACCTAGCTGCCACTTAATAAGACCGCTAGGCTATGAGGCCCCTCAATTCAGTATTATTTTAACCAATTTTTGGGATGTCATTGCTCATTATGCAACAAATTACAAATTTTAAGTTTAACTATTAAAAACATTGAAAAACCATTACGATTTTACCAATGTTATTCATTTACTATAGTTAATGTAAAAATGGTAAACCATTTGATCTGCCTAAGTAATTTAATGGACAAACGTTCTTGAAAATCTCGAAGTTTTATACAGTGGCGGATTTATAGATTTGCCGCCCGTAGGCTATTCAATTTTTGCCGCCTCTTAATTTTGATATCTTAGTCCACAATCATATCAATTTTCTATCAATAAAATTCCAACTTTATAATTTGTGCTCCATCATCCTCGTTACATCAACTTTTCCCATGTAGTTATTATTATTGAGAACTATGGTACCGTGTTAGATCCTTGATTATTTTTACAGCAAAGAATTATCAAAAAACATTATTTTAATAAATATCTCAATCGTATACCACTTTTAAAGTAAGGTAAGGTATGTCTTAAAACTATACAATACTTACAAAATATGAATTAAGCTTACGTAAAAAACATACATTTGGCGAATTGATTAACATATTATTACACTCACAGTTTAAAAAACAATACAATAAATATATTTTTCTTTATTATTTGTCAGCATTATGATTTAAGTTAAATTATAAAAGCATTACAATACTTTTTTGCGAGACTTTGAATTCGCAAAATCATTTATTATATCGTCGTACGAAATCTTGTTCATTAGCTCTGACTCTATGCACAAGAGAGCTAAAGCGTTTAGCTTTTCTTGACTTAAAGTCGATCGTAAGTAGTTCTTTTTCGTTTCTCTTCAAGCAAGAGAAGCTTCTTTCACCTGAACAATTTGCCGCTGGTGTACAAAGAGCCATACGAAGTGCTATATCCAAATTTGGATAAATGTTTCCTAGATTCTTTCTTGCAGGAATGAAGACAGACTTATTAATGATAGAAATTTTTTATTGAAATTTTTCAGACGAAAGGTTGAATAAAAAATTGCAGCTGAGTATTGTTTTATCTTATATAATAATTCATTCCGATTGGCATTTTCTGAAAAAGTTGGTTTGCGAAAAAGTTATCAAATCTATGATTAAACCTTTAATTTAAATAATTCGTGTACGACATGAAGCTTAAGGCCTGCTCATTTGGATTTTCCAAACTTTTTCTTATTGCAAATAAAATTATTAACTGATAAAATGTATCAATTTTCTAATGAGCAAATTGTCTCACTTCATATTTTGTGGAGGTTTTTTTATTGTCAAGTCACAGTCGTTCAACTATCAGTTATTTGATTAAAGATCTCTAAATTGAACTAGTTTTTATTTAATAAAAATTAGTCAATTTTAGTCAGTATTTATATTAGACCATCGATATTATATCGATTGAATTGGTAAGCAGATCTCATAATTATTAGGTACAGGAGAAAAAATTATACAGTTATCAGTGAAGAATATATTAAAAATTACTAAATTTCGATTAATATCGAATCGCGAATTCTAAAAGTTCATAATCATTCATGTATAATTAGTAAAGCTTTAGGAATTGTTCATGCAGAATTTGGTATATTTATTAATTAGCACTTATAGAGAATATTTCATTTTTGTTAATATTTAATTACTCTCAATTTCGAAATAGTAAAATTTTTTTTTAATTTGTAAACCGAAATAAAAAATTTATGAACTAAATTTGCCGCCCTTAAATTTGGCTAGTCTAGCCTACTCAGCCTTGGTAATCGCGATGTTTTATATTTGACTAAGGATTTATAAGTTCAATATAAATAAAATCCCTTCGAATAAGTTTTAAATGTTTTCAATTCTTCGTTCGAAGTGTTAATTAAAATTTGCTAGTTTGATGTATGTAAAAAAGTCAACTCAACTGAATTATTTACTGTTTTTGATATACAATATTATTTGAAAAAATACCATCGTATTAGTTCTAGAACGAACATAATGTATGTGATATATGCTTTACGCATGCAAGTTGCAAAGAACTTTGCAAGAAAATCGTTATTTTCTTGAGTTTTGGCAAAGTTAGCATAAAGATAAAAAATTTCTATTTGTTAATTGTTATTTAATAGTTGTTACATAGTCCTTCAAGAACAGAGCGTACCAATTCTTAAAAGGCCGGCAACGCACTCGCGAGCCCTCTGGCATTGAGAGTGTCCATGGGCGGCGGTATCACTTAACATCAGATGAGCCTCCTGCCCGTTTGCCCCCTGTTCTATAAAAATAAAATAGTGCCAAGTATTTTACTTTTGCAAAATTCACTATTAAAATTAAACAAAATTGTTTTTTGATCCTTGTGTTGTATAAATTAATCTGTACTAAAAGAAAATTGATATACATTTGAAAAGTGTCTGGCGTCAGCGTAATATTTTTAAGTTATTAGAATTAATGAATTATATATACGTATAATGTATTTAAATTGGAATTTTAGAGAGTAGATGCTTTAATTAAATCTAAAATGTGTATACTGTACATAGAAGAGTGCTTGTTAAAGTACGGAAGTGAATGTTTGACGTAGCAGAGGAAACGGAATAAATGCCGTTGAAATGAGACCGTTCAGAAGTATGTGTTCCATAACATTACGTCATAGGATAAGCAATAGTGTAGATCATGAGTAGCTTGGGATAAAAGAGTACGTCATAAAACCACCCCACACCCAACCGGGAGGGGGATTTTTTTTATTAAAAAGGGGGGGGAAAGGGGGGGGGGGGGGGCCCTCAAAAGGGAGGGGGGGGGGGTCTCTGTCTCCCCTTCGGAAAAAGGGCGTCAGTGTATAGATAAATAGATGCTTTAAACCTAATTGTCTTAGAGTAATAAAAATTTCAGATTATTTTGGGTGTTAATGTTCATATCATGTGTGCTGGTCTGTGGCTCTACCATAATGAAACTGTTCAATAAGTGGGCCGAAAATCCTGTCATCGTAAGCTTTGCAGAAACGTCTACACCAGTGTGGCAGGTATTGTTTTCGTTGTTTTTTATCTATGAGATGATGCCAAACTTTCCTATTTTGTCAAGAATTTGTATACGTCAAATCAATAATGTCAATAGTCAGTTTCTGACAGATCGTGAAGCTTTCTTTACAAATTGTATTGTAGAATGATTGTTAATGGAACGCCGTATGTTCATGCTTTCGTTTATCTTATATTAGCCAGTATGTTTATTAATTTATCCATAACAATTCCATCATCGAACGTCGAGGCAGAATGCGCAATTCCATCCTATCCATCTCATGCCTAGCGTTCCTCCACATGCCGCTTTTTAAGGCAATTTCTACCGCGCACCACCTTTGTAGAACCAGCTGCCAGTAGAGGTATTTCCAAACCAATACGACTTAGGACTCTTTCAGAAAAGAGCGTATCATTCCCTAAAGGTCAGCATCACATCCGCTGGTTGCAGGTGTTCATGGGCGGCGGTTATTACTTTAATAAAATTTTGCAGACAAATTATTATTTTTATCATCTTTATAGGTAGCTTGCTAAAAGTTTCACGGGTTTGCAAAGAAGGCCGTACCATAGACAATTTAATTAGTAAATTTAAAAAATGTTAATTAACAATGCAGAAATATGTCATTCTTCTCATATCACATCCTTTTATATAAAATTGTTTTTCCAGATACCGTACCCCGCCGTGACCCTTTGCATTGAGACAAAAGCTAAACAGACTAAATTCAACTTCACAGAATACTATCATCTATACAGAAATGAAAGTACATTTGCAAATTTAACAGAAGAGGAGTAAGTAAACTATAGACAGATAAAACTCTTTGATTGACTTATGGCCACTCGTAACATTATAATTTACTAAAAAAAAAAAAGAACAACCGCCCCCCCCCCCCGCCGCGAACAAACCCCACCCCCCCCCAAAAACAACAAAAAAAAACAACCAACCACCCCAACCGGGGGGGAGGGGAGGGGGGGGACATACACACTCACAGAAGAAATATATATATATATAAAGATGTATGTATATGACATTATGTTATCGTTTTCACGATCTAAATTTAATGAATGGGGATTAGGATGAGAGATGAAATAGGGATATCCCTCATTAACCGATTTGAAAAAAAGAAGATTATGAGTTTGTACTGTATGTATGTAATACTGTTGGAATTAGGTAATATTTAGGATCTATTTAAGCTTCTAAGAGCGTATGCGGTATGGAGGATTGAGGAAGGAAGGTGATGTTCTTCTTCCGACCTGAATAGAGGTTCCTCAACTAGTCTAACGACAGTTGTATATCCTAAGCAGTCGGAATATCTTTGTTTACGCGTTTTAGGGTATAATGTCATCGCATTGATTGTATTGGAATATTTTTTTGATTTGGTATATTTTTTAATTAGTTCGATAGGCAGATAAAGACTACGGTCACAGCAGTACTTAACAATTTTATTGCACAAGTACGGCTCCGTGGATTTACTTATAATAACATTAGATATTCATCAGGCGTAACACGTTTGAAGATGTCAGCATGGTCTGTGACGACCACCTCGCGCCAACCAATGGACGAGAAACCTCAATGGGCAATGAAACAATTGAAAACTTAAGAAGGGTTAGTTATAACTTACAATATTAAAAATATCCCCCCCCCCGCCCCCCCCAACCCCCAACAAAGAGGGGGAGGGGAGGGGGGGGGGGGGGGGGGGGGGCGGGCGCGGGGGGGGGGGGGAAAAAAAAAAAAAATTTTTTTTTTTGGGCCCCGGGGGGGGGGGGGGGGGGCGCCGCGGGGGGGGGCCAAAACCGGGGGGGGGGGGGGCGGGGGGAAAAAAGAAAAGAAGGAAAAAAAAAAAAAACCCTTTTTGGCGGGGGTTTGAGCCAACCCCGCGCCAGAGCCAAAAAAAAAAAAGATATTTCATATAAATAGTGTTTGTTACCATGGAAACCATTAGTTGATTTTTTTTTTTTATAATTAGAAAAGAGTCGAAAGTGTTTAGGCTTAAATTAAATTTAAGTGATACTGCTTATTCTTGAAAATGGTTTGATATAATTAGAAAAAAGTCAGTAAAATTGTTCAATTAATATATACCAACTCAACTAAGTGCTTTTACCAACCTTCTATATGGGCGTAGAGCGGGCAAGTAAGAACAGGCAAGAAACTTTCCACCACTCTTTTTAATCGCTAAGTTTTGAGTCATACAAATTGTTTGAACTGGAGCAAATCAATCCCAAGGATTAGGATTATTTAAGTATTCGTCAAACTTATAAAAATCTCTATTGATTAATTAAGGTTTAACGAGTTTAAATTTATTTAGTGATAATTCTCTAATTTGACGACTCATTGGTCTAGTGGTTAGTAATCCTCACTGCGTATCCATGGGTCCCGGGTTCGATCCCCGGCTGAGACGAACATAGATGTGATGACCATTGGTGTTGTTCTTAGGTCTTGAGTGTTCAAATATGTATTTATATGTCTATCTATCTATAATATGTATGTACATCCGTTGCCTAGTACCCATAACACAAGCTTCACCAGCTTAGCATAGGACTAGGTCAATTGGTGTGAATTGTCTTTTAAAAAAAAAAACTTCGTTGGGAGATTGTTTTAAAAACGAATACAATTTCCATAACTAACTGACGTTCATAAGTGTACATTAAGTAACGTTAAGTAATAAATAATATTTTGATTTGATTATTTATTGTTTCGTATTTTTCTATTGTAAATTAGTGTTCTGACTCAATATAAGTATTGATTATTTACACACACATAGGTATTACTGATTCTTCTTGAATCATACTGATATTGTCACTGTCATGGTTTTAGAATAACCCAACGCACACTGCTACTTTTAAAGCTGCGATTAGTTTCTTAATATTTGTACCATTTATGCAGCTATCCCCCGACATGAATGACATATTCCTCGGCTGCAAGTGGAAGGATGTACCACGGAACAATTGCGCTGATGTGTTTTACGAAGTGCTTACTGAAGAAGGATTTTGCTACACTTTTAATAGCCTTGGAGCGGACGAACTTTTCAGACTGGAGAAGTATGTAAAACTATTATAATTATTTGGATATTTAATACGAATTAATTACATTATACGTTATACATGTGTTTAAAGAGAAATGTGCTGTTTTTGATACCTACTTATTTATTATTATAAAATAATTCTACATACACCAACATTTGACGCACCTGGCCTAGGTTTGATACCCAGCGAAAGATTATTTTTCATATTGGTTGAGAAGTCTCACGTTATGACTGCAATGTGCCCATTTCCTATTGCGAGGCTCTAGTCCCCTGTTTCCCTAAGTAAGGCTCACGCCCCACAATTTGATTGTTAAGAGGGCAATTCGAAAATGGCTTCGACGTTTTTCATTGAAAATTTACTTACTGTGTTTCGTTAATAATTTCCTAGTGATTTCTTCCTTAAACATGTTGAGTTTGTTAAAGTGAGCAATTTCATTTTTAATAATAAAAATTATTCAAGTTACATAGAGAGGGAGAGGGGGGCATGACACAAAAAGGTCACATAAGAATTAATTTATATCTTTTTATCTACTTTATTTCTTATACAATATTTAAATAAAACTTTTTCTATACAGCTTGCACAAGGATTATAATTATATGGCCTTTGACCACAAAAATATATCTTGGACCTTGGACGGAGGCTATCCGCCGGACTCACCATTGGATTCATATCCTTGGAGGGGATCTGTATGTTTAAATTTATATAAAAGACCTGCAAACACTTAATGTATATAACCCTGAAGATGTTGGTTTAGATTCCCGAGGATTAATGCGGTTAAGCCCATAAGCCGTATCACCTATTGGCTCCGGTTTCCGAAGCCAAAAGCCTAAGAATGTAATTTTCACTTAAGATAATATAAAAATACTACTCAATAATCCAGGGGCGCTACAGCCCATGTGCATGACAAATGACAAATAGGCGATTAGCGTTATGTGCCTGACAGATGTCAGTTGTAGGGTCTAACCTTCAGTTTCAGAAACAAGACTTAGCGCTATGTGCGAGTATTTTGACATACGGTTGTCACTATTCGACCTTCGTTTCAGAACATATCGGTTTCCTCACGATGTGTTCACCAAACAAGCACCTTCTAGACCGCACTTCATCATTCAATACGTGGGTAACACTGAAAATTTTTAAAATTGGCCAGTTAGAATCATTGCTTATGAAAACTTTTTTGAATTTAAATTTTAGGACTCTGGTAACCTAATTTAGTATATTGCATTAATTTGTCATTTGGCGGCAAATCTAGAACACATGACTTTCGTTAAGGGCTTACTCAACAACAAAGCTATAATAGGCTGCGATTAGCATTTCTTAATAAAGCCCCATCTCGTGCCACTATTTACAATTGGTTTAACGAGTTTAAGCATGGACGTAGCAATCTCAATGATGATCCGCGTGAGGGACGTCCTTTAACAGTGACTACTGAAGATAACATCAGTGCTGTGCGACGCATGATAGAGGAAGATTGACCTAACAGCAGATACGGGAAAGCCCAGGCATTGGTATGAGTCAAGTTCAAAAAATATTACACGAACATTAAGGCGTCGGGAAGCTTTTTACCAGATGGATTCCCCATACTTTAACCGACGTCCAGAAACACCTTCGCATGAACTGGTGTCGCCAAATGTTAGATAAGTGTAACTGCGGTGACTCAAATGCTGTATTTGTCATCGTCACAGGTGATGAAAACTGGATATATTTCTACGATCTTCGGAGATTAACGGAGATTACTTCGTAAAACAATAAAAGTATTAAGCCGTTTTTCATATTCTAAAAACTTTCAGTGTTACCAAGGTACTAGACCATTTATTAAAGTGAAAAAAATGCAGAGCCCCATATTGACTATATAAAGACTAAATATAATTTGGTAATTCTAATTAATTGCTTGCGCAAAAAAAATTAAATAAAGTATAAAACTCTAAACATTAACTTTATTACATTCCAGGGCTACGGAGCCAAAGCTGGTCTAACATTCCTTTTAAAAGCGCACGCTATTGACTTGGATTATCTTTGTAAAGGACCCGTACAAGGATTTAAGGTATTTCCAACTGCGGCCGTGTTTTACATGCGTTGATGGCGTTTTAAACGTTCATAGCATTTTGTTTTAATAAAAACAATTAGAATAAAGTTTACGCTAAACGGTCTAATGGTTAATGTCTGGTCATCTAGATTCTTTTACACAATCCAGCCGAGCTACCACGCCTCTCCCAACAATTCTTCAGAGCACCGCTCTCTCAAGAAGTAATTGTTGCAGTCAAACCCAAGATGATGACTACTTCCGAAGGCTTGAGGTCCTATGACCCTGATAGGTAAGGTTTTCTAACAAGTAACTAGCATTAGCCTCATGCCATGCCAAGGTAAAGACGGTTTACAGAACTATGTCGAACATAAACATCAGAATAGGTATCTCTGTCAAATGGAGGTTACAGAGTAAGGGCGCTGTCCTGACTCTCCAGTCTTGTCCCAGGAGTGTCAGGACAGCTGAGTCACTTCATGTCATGTGTGATGTCAGAGCTTCAATCCCTTTTTCTTTTTTACTTTTTCGCTTGACTCTTGTGTGGTAAAAAGAAACAATATACTTATTAAGTCAAATCAATGTTTTTTATAAATTTTTTCAACGATTATTAACAAAATTCAAGGAAATATGTTAGAGAGAAGACCGCGTGGTCAAGAGCGCTCCGTTATGAATATGTTAAAAGCTGGAGGGGATCGGATAGAAACGCCGTAAATCTCTTCAAGGGTTTATTTTCAATTAAATCTACGGAGGAATTTGTTAACACTATAAACTTGAAATACTACCAATAAAATTCACTAAATACACACACAAAATACTGTCACTAATTACTCTAATATCATCGCACTTCACACAGTACTTGTATTCACTTCTCTTCACTATATTCGCACTTTGTCACTAGGTGTTTATCGCTTGGTATCGCATTCAAAACTGAACTAATGGTGCGTTTCGGCTCGCTTTATATATCCCTGGGAGCGATGTTCGAGGAACTCTCTAGGCGGCAGTGGCAGCGGGGAGGGCGATAGCACAATTCTAGAACGTGCGTACTAGCTATCTCTTTCGCACATTGCTCAGTCCTTTCGTGACGGCGTTCTAGAGTGCTCGGTCTAGCTTCGAGAAGGTTCCGATCTTCCTCTCTCTCGCGTATCGTTCCGTCCTTGTCCCACACCTAGAAAATTCGTTCTAGAACATTCCTTCGTCAATGGGGTATAACCAGGCCTGAAAACGCCTGAAAACGGGTTTCCTGAAAAGTGTACAATTCGACTACACGTGTTCTGAAAGGCCTGAAAAAAATGTTTCAGGCTCCTGAAAACTAGGGTAACATTATGTAAATTGCGATTTTCTAATATGTGATTGACCCTTCCCTGAAACGGTCAGAAATCACATTTCAGCCTGCTGAAAAGTTCTCTAAATAGTGGAAAAATCTAGAAACATTGTAGTCGACCCGTCTTCGTAACACTACCCCCTCCTTAGACAGTGCCGAGCATCATCACTTTCATTCACCGTTATCCTTTCCCATGGAGACCGAGTCTGCGGGGATCCTTAATAGCTGCACAATCTTTACATTTCTTGATCCAGTCTTCAACATCTTCACGATAGTGTATCCAATAAAATATTTCTTTAATCTTCATAAGAGTCCTCTTTACTCCTAAATGTCCACTAGACAAGTCAGTATTAAACATTTCCAATATGTCGCGAACCTTGGATCTTGGCACCACTATCTGAAATGATCGCCTTGAGCATTTTTCAATTTGCGACATAACACTCCATTATGTAGAACTAAACTATCCCATTAGCCCAGTAACTCTTAGTAGTGGTACTTGTAGATGCGACTTTACTCCATGCGGCTTGACAGCTGAAGATTTCATCCAATCAGAATTGGTTTAATGTCACCATCTTCTTGTGTGTATCTGCATAAATTTCACCCCAATCTGAATGGGAGTGGGTAGGTTCTAAAAGTTCTACATGGCCAATCTCCTTTCTGTCCTTTTTGTGACCTTTTCACATAGCGTTGAGACAATCTGAACTTCTTGTAACCTCTCTTTCATGGGCAGATAACATGTCCGGAAAATTTTCTTAATTGTTCCTCTGCCTTTGATAGTTGTCTTGACAAGGCTTCCTCATAGGTCTCAGTATCTTTCCACTCTTGTTGATTACTGGCCTGTCCGTCCACATTGATAACTCTACAGACGTCATAACCACTATTTGTAGAGTGTCCTTTAAAGAAACTTCCTGTTCTCCACACTTAAAGATTCCTTTTTCCAGATCTATTTTACAATTGTACAGCTTCATAAAGTCTAACCCGATTATGCAGTCATCTACTATGTCGGCAAGAACAACCTTGTGTCTGTAAAATCTTCCACCAATCTTGAAGGTTGCGATACCTTCTCCCCGATCGGTTATACGCTGACCTGTAGCTGTAACAAGCTGTACAATTCCTGAGAAGGGCTTCCATAAAATGACTTCAGAAGTTGGTATCTGATTAGTTCGTGAAGCTCGTATAGTGTAGTAATTATCATGACAACTCCGTCGATAACCAAGGTATTCCGCGTCTAACCTTCACATACTGAAGTCTTTCTTTGGGCACGAAAACCTCGTGCCCCACTTCCCCAGAGGTAAAGGTTGGTCCACGTTGACACGAGTTTGGTTTTTCCGTGACAGCCCTAATGCGGTAAGGTCGAGGAATCTTTCGAATCGCCTCTATCTCAGCGCATGGGCAAGAGCATCCTTCAGGTTCTTGTGGTGACCAAGATTCACACTAATCCTACTTCACGATCTCTTATTCTCAATAAGGTTTGCACTAATATCTTGTCTGCTACATTGGTAGGATGGTAGGCTTTTCTTACAGTTTCTATTTAGACCCATTTTGAAGCTCTCACTCGTCGCTGCGCTCTCTCCCGTAATTGAGCCCTATAGACTGGCTCAAATTTGAGTCCCCATAACGTGACTCAGAGCATCCAGCAGGCGCGTCAGTGTCACTTTACCTGTCATGACTTCTAACACGTCAGGGCTTCGCCTCGCAGTCCCAACATAAGGGCGGTGACAGCCTGATCGTCATTCACCGTTTGACTCTGCCACAGTCTCAAACTGTATTTTGTACGCGCCAGGGGAAGATGTACCGTCAAGAGGGGAGGTAGCTTTCAGATTTAGATGGTGCTACAGTCGTTACGACACCTTTGGTCTTCAGGCACTGCATCTCTTGTTCTAATCCGAGAATACGTTTGTCCTGTTTCGAAAATTTGCAGTCCATATCAGATTCCAAGTTCTCGATTTTTTTATCTACTTCTTGTTTTAGATCTCCTAATCTTTCTCCGATACGGCAAGCTGTTCCTCCATCAAAGACGTGTCTGAGCCTGCTCTTCCACGATTTGGGTGCTGTTCCTTTAGGGAGCCTTTCCTCCATCAATGCCGAACCTGTTCCTTGTGACGTGCCTGGTCCTCTGAGTTCTGTTCTTCCATCATTTGTCGTGCCTGTTCCTCGTGACGACGTGCCTGTTCATCCATATAGAGTGTTGAGCCTGTTCTTCCATCATTTGGCGCAGGGCAAGGAGGATGTTGCTATGTTGCTTTCGCCCATCCGCGCGGTTCGCATCGAAACTTTGTGCCGGGGGGTGCGTGCTGATTGTGCCCTTGTCTGCACTCCTCCGGTGGAGACTCGGCAAAACTCCTCTTGATTCTCCCTCGGGGGTAATTGGCATTTTTCATCCCACTTCTGACACCAAAATGTTAGAGTAGGGGATGGATAGAAACGCCGTAAATCTCTTCAAGGGTTTATTTTCAATTAAATCTACGAGGAATTTGTTAACACTATAAACTTGAAATTACGCACAAAAAATTCACTAAATACACACACAAAATACTGTCACTAATTACTCTAATATCACGCACTTCACAAGTACTTGTATTCACTTCTCTTCACTATATTGACTTTGTCACTCAGGTTTATGTGGTATCGATTCAAAACTGAACTAATGGTGGTTTCGGCTCGCTATATATCCCTGGGAGCGATGTTGAGAACTCTCTAGGGGCAGTGCCATGAGTAGGATCGCACAATTCTAGAACGTGCGTACTAGCTATCTCTTCGACATTGCTCAGTCTTGTGTACGGGTTTAGAGTGCTCGGTCTAGCTTCGAGGGGGAGGGTTCGATCTTCCCTCTCTCTCGCGTATGTTGTCCTTGTCCCACACCTAGAAAATTCGTTCTAGAACATTCCTTCGTCAATGGGGTATAACCAGGCCTGAAAACGCCTGAAAACGGGTTTCCTGACTGAAAGTGTACAATTCGACTACACGTGTTCTGAAACGGCCTGAAAAAATGTTTCAGGCTCCTGAAAACTAGGGGTAACATTATGTAAATTGCGATTTTCTAATATGTGATTGACCCTTCCCTGAAACGGTCAGAAATCACATTTCAGCCTGCTGAAAAGTTCTCTAAATAGTGGAAAAATTAGAAACATTGTAGTGACTTTCGTCTGTTAAAAGCTCTAATAGTCTGATGGCTGAGAAGACATATTCATGAAGTCGCAACAGAGAAATTGATATTGTTACTAGCTTATTCGTAAAAAATCTTTTTATGTACACCTGGGTATACAACGATCTTTAATGTTTCAGAAAAATCTGCATAGTCATTTTTGACGAGTGAAAAGCAGAAACATCGTGACACGAAATGTATAGATTAATTATAACATTTCCTGTTTTAGGCGCCAATGCTATTTCCCAAGTGAACGGTATCTGAAATATTTTAAAATTTATACACAACAAAATTGTGAGATGGAGTGTCTTGCAAACTTCACAAATGCACGATGTGGGTGCGTTCACTTTGGGATGCCGCGTAAGTTGTCTTCTTTGTCTTACAAAAAGGTTACAAATCTGTTTCATCATCGTCTAGTCTCATCGTTGGACGTCGGTAGAATACGAAATTTCACCCGTATCACCTCGACGTCCGTAGTCCCACATCTGAGGGTTTAAGACAGTTTTTGCCGCGAACCAATTCGACTTAGGGTCCTGCAATAAAAGAGCGTACCAAATCTTAAAAGGCCTTCAACGCACTCGCGAGCCCCATGGCATTAGGCATGTCCATGGGCGGCGGTATCACATAACATCAGGTGAGCCTCCTGCCCGCTTGCCCCTTGTACAATAAAAAAAAATTGTGCGTGTACTAGGTGTACACACGTAAGAAGTGAAACTTCTTTATGATCTTATTTTTCGAAAAATGATCTACTATATGCAACTTTACAGAAATTCGTTAAATTAGATAAAGTTTAACAAAAGGCTTTTATTATCATAGACATGAATACAAATATTTCATTTTACCTTATTACTACGAAGATTATTATAGAATTTCATTAATTGTAATAGAATTATTACTATCATTGAAAAACGTGACGATTTGCTACAAAATTTCTCCCATACGTCGATAAAAAAGTTTCATTCCAACGCCGATAAAGAAGTTTGACTTCAAAAAGCAACATGGCGCGTAACCGAAAAATGTGACGCGTAACGAAAAAATGTTACACTAAATTTTTTTCCAACCTCGATAAAGAAGTTTCACTTCAATAATCCAATAGGCAGCCTTCTGTGTCTGAAACCGCCTCATGTTTTCTTTCTTTAAAGTTTGAATAGTCTAACTAAACTATCAATATTATGTAATTATATTTATTATTACATTATATGAGTATAAGCAATATCATTATTATGCTGTAGGCCTTGACAAGTAATCTCTATTATTCTCTATATCTCTATTCCATAACTCATACTCCCCACGGCAGTCCGACTAGAGTACCTATATCGAGATCAGGGTCAGGTCTTTTTGTGATCACCCAAGAGCTTCCAAACCTAGAGCTAGTTTTAATATGAAATTTGGCATACCGACAGTGTCCAAGACGAAGTTACGATATGATCTATGATAAAACCACTGGCGCTACAACTTTTTAAGGGTTCGGCCTTTTGTTTCAATGATATCTATGAATTAGTTCATTACACTTCGGCCTAACGCATCAGTCAGGAAAAGTAAAGCCAAATATATTTTTCTTGACCCTAACATAATATGCACGGTGCGTAATGTATTTTTAATATTTTAGATGGTCCAAATATGGCCACGTGTAACTCTGGAAAAATGGCGTGTATAAAAAAGTCGCAAAGTGAGTAATTTTTATTATTTTCGGGTAGTATTATTCTCAAGTAACAAAGTTTGATGCATAAAATCTTTTGAAACATAACAAATACGTTCGGATTCAGCGGTATTTTGTTTTGTTTAACCAGAAACTTAAGACCCGAGTCGTTTAAAGAGATAAATAATTAAAATGAAATAAAAAAATCAGTGGCGCTATAACATTTTTTAGGTCTGGTCAGATTTTTGTATCTGTTTCATAATCATTTGTCAATCTAATAGGCAAGTAGGTGATCAGCCTCCTCTGCCTGACACACGCCGTCGACTTTTTGGGTCTAAGGCAAGCCGGTTTCCTCACGATGATTTCCTTCACCGTTCGAGCGAATTTTAAATGCGCACTTAGAAAGAAAGTCCATTGGTGCACAGCCGGGGATCGAACCTACGGCGTTAGGAATGAGAGTTGTACGCTGAAGCTACTACTACACTGCTTTTCAAGAGATACTTGACTAAAAATGCTCGAAGCGAGATTGAAAGAGATATATCTTGAAAACGGACTTTTTTCCATTCATTTTGGTTACCATAGATTTAAAGTGAACGTTCTATTATATAATTGGAAAATTAATTACAAAATGCATATTTTTTTATTGAGAAAAAGCTCGCCAACGCTCGGCACACTGACACATTGGTAAAAACAAACAAAAAATAAAATTTTTAATGTGACAAGCACTTAAAGGCAAACATGATATACATATAGAGATACCTATGATTAAACAAAACAAACATTACAAAAAAAAACTACTAATTAAAGAAAAAATTCAAATTACAAAAAACTAAGAAGTTCAGTAAAAACTACGCGCAACGATTGTTCAGTTATTTTCATTAATTTATTCATATTGTTAAATTGGTAATTATCGGATCATAAAATATGTAACAATATTTAAATAACACTTCAGTGGAACTGGTGACAGTCGAAATGAAATCAGGAATGGCGGGAGATGACGAAAACGATACGTTAATTGGCGAAGCCCGCGAAGTTGCGTTACGCTGTAAATGTCTGCCTGCGTGCACTTCCATAGAATATGAAGCTGAGACATCGCAGGCTGATTATGATTGGAAATCTCTCTTTAGAGCGTACAAACTGCCAATGAACAATGACACAGTGGAGGAAGAGTAAGTACCTTCATTTTTTATCGCACATTAAAAACATCTGTTATTGACAGGTCTTTTTCAATAGCTATCCCGACTTAATATTGAGTTTTAAGCTATTGCATAGATTTTATCGCAGGCTTTGAGCGCGGCGACCGAATCAAGAAATTCCGTAACGAAAAAACCTAACACACGATGACGTAATATAGGTGCGGCCAATACGCTTAGCGGAACAGAACGCATACTGCGTATTCACATCTCTGGGGCCTTAGTCAAGATGCCTTAACAGTAGTGTATGTAGAACGTCAAAAACTAAATTTGTATGAAAACTTTTCGACACGAACTGTCATTTCCATACAAATTAAGTTTTCGCTTTCACATACAGCTACTGTCCCAATCTAGTCTAAAAACCCACCTTGTGCGTAAGCGCGACCGGTGCAGCCGGTACGCGTTAGAGTGAGACAAAATATATAGGCGTGTTAATCTGAGTCTCGTATAGTGGTAGATTGAATTAATATCATTGAAAGAAACTGCATAATTAAAAAATAAATAAATAATTATAATTGCATAAGTTGATAAAAAATGCTATGCAATAGCTTTACCGCGGCAGTCCCCGAGTGCCACACGTTTTTTATTTAGTTAAAATTTTCTTGCAGCGCATTATTCGCACGAGTGTTCGTGTTTTTCAAAGAAGCTCAGTTCATAACATCACGCAGGTCGGAGTTGTATGGACCAACTGATTTTCTCGCTAATTGCGGCGGTTTATTGGGGCTCTTCATGGGCTTTTCAATATTGAGTGTGGTTGAAATCATCTACTTCTTGACTCTAAGGTAAATCAGTGTTATTGTCTTATTCTGATTTTGGTAACATTAGTTAGTTATAAGACTGTGTTTGCAATATTTGCTTTGAATTTTTCATTGACTGAAATCAAAACGTCCAAAATATACAAAAGTATCCAGCTAGTTTTGATATAAAGTAAAGAATAAATCAAAAGGTGATTGAATTCTTGTTCTACCAACTTGTATAAGTGTTGAGACAATTGACAATTCTGCTTGAAGTAGGATTTTTGTTTGTCTTTTAATTTACCTTCTTATTTGAATCCTTGTTGCAGGCTGTACTACCTATTATGGAAGAAAAAGGATTCGAAAATTAACGCTGATCTTAATAATAAACGATTAGCTTAAGCTTTTCACTAATATAAAATTGTGTTGCATCTTTTTATTTTTTTTAAACCAGAAACCAAAACTTAAAAAAATATATACAAAAACAGGATGGCATGATTAACCACATCTTATGAAAATATGTAAGCCAAGCTACGACAAATAAAATATGACTATATGAAAATGTTGTTTTCACTATAAATACATCATACATCCTCCCACGTCTAAGTGAAATGGTCCGCAAGTGTTACTATAACGGGATTTTCATCCCATTTTTTCCAGACTTTGGCTATTCTATTACAGCCCAAAATAATCTGAAAATACACAAATAATTTAACAAATCGTAAAGATACCAGCTCCTTCCACTTGACCGTATTCAACGAAGAGCTGTTCGAATCAATGACGACCAATCCCTTTCCGAGCGGCTCTCCTATCGCCACGGAGAGTGTTTAGAGGAGTTGTTCGTAATTATTCTTGCAGCTGAGTTCCATTATCAGACGTCGAAGCAGTATACGAAACTCCACCCGATCACCTTGACATCCGTCGGTCCACTACTGAACGTTGTTAAACTAGCTGTCCTCTGAAGTATTTCTGAACCAATTTGCCTTAGGGTCCTTCACGAAAAGAGCGTACCATGCTTTGAAAGGCTGGCAACGCACTCGCGTGCCCTCTGGCATTAAGAGTGTACCTGGGCGGGTGGTATCACATAGGATCAAGTGAGCCCTCTGCCCATTTACCCTATAAAAAAATCCTGATTTTCAAGCTTTAGCTTAGTAGTGATTTTTGGTAGCGTTTTTAATAAAGAAATCTTCATTTTTTTAACACGCTTATATTAGCTTCACTTGTATGTATGTATATATGTATGTATGTATGTATGTATGTATGTATGTATGTATGTAAACTAAAAAATAAAAAATAAATAATAGTTTAAAAAAACTAGAACACACGCTTTATATAGAAAACTAAACTAAAAAACAGAAAATAAATTTTAATAAATATTAATTAAGAATAATGTAATTTTTTTTTATAAATATAAGTTATTAATAGTTTGAATAAGAAAAAAAATGTTTTATTGTAAAAAAAGCGTGGGGTGCATGGTGTCAATAGTTATGAATATTTAATTAACAGATATGAGAAGGATTATCATTTCGATAATATCTTGAAAAGCACCCCCACTTTTTTTACAATAAAACATTTTTTTCTTATTCAAACTATTAATAACTTATATTTATTAATTTTTTTTACATTATTCTTAATTAATATTTATTAAAATTTATTACTGATAATTTTTAGCAGACATTTTTCTTTCAAGCCGGAATACATTTTTTTGTACTAGAACCTTTAGGCGAAAATCGTATTAAATAAGCATTGAACAATTGAGCTTAACAGGAAAATGCTTTTAATGATACTTAGTTTACGACAATATTTTTCTGTCTTTCGCCCTCACACCATGAAAATTAGAGTTGTCAGAGTAGTCAATCAAATATTGTTGAAATGTAAGTCTTTTTCTTTAATTATTGTGATGTATCTCCATTTCGATAGAACTCCTCCGAGATTTAGTGCTAATGCTGAGCTGAGTACCGGATCTGACTTAGAAGTGCAATGTTGACATATTGCAGCAACTTTTGTATACATTTCGAACTTGCCTATGGTGTAAACTGAAGAACAGATACATTTTTACGTCTGGTACCTCATATATTGCCTCGCCTTGTATGTCGTACTGGTAAGCCACTTCTCATTCATCCTTTCCACATAGACAATCACGGTGATAAACTTTACAAAACATAATAAAGTAACACTTTCGAAATAGAGAAGAAGAAAAAGAAAGAACAAATTTTAGTTTTGATTTTGGTAATGAAGTGAATTACTTATTTAAAGATACTTATTCGCCATCTCTAAATAACTACTTATTCGATTGTATTTGAATGAGAGGTGAGAGAACTCCTAGTTAGGTTTTAACACACGGAATTTGGCAGGTTCCATTAATTTTGAACCTTGGGAAGGAATTACGGACGATATTATTAATATTTTGTAAGAGTTTACGTGAGTTTCGTTCTGTATTTAGACCATTTCCGCGCCGGCTAGAGATTTCCGATTGTACAGTGAGATCAAATCCTAATTTATCTATAGCAGGTAGAACGTTGTAACGGGTGCGGCAATACAAGTATTTGGGAACTTGGGTTACAAACGAGTGGAATCCTGATCAGGAAATTAGATCTCGAATCGAAATTGCTCAAGGATCTTTCAACAAAATGAATAAAGTTTTGTGCTGCCGTCACTTCACCATTAAACTCCGAGTCCGACTTCTCCTTTGTTACATATGGCCAATTGTTCCGTACGGCTGTGAAGCTTGGACGATTAAAGAAGATACCTCGCCGGCGCTTAAAAGCAGTTGAGATGTGGTGCTATCGTCGCATGCTTCGAATAAGCTGGATGTGGAGTTGCAATGTCGAAAAAACTTTTGCAGGAAGTTGCGTACCTGGGCCACGTGTTGCGCCATAACCGCTACCACCTCCTTCAATTAATTATAATGGGTAAAATCCAGGGTAAACGGCGTGTTGGTAGGAGAAAGAAATCATGGCTTCGCAACGTTCGAGAATGGACGGGTATTGCAACTGCGGAAGAGTTGCTGCATCTGGCACAGGACAAGACACGCTTCAAGATGTTGACGACCAACCTCCATTAATGGAGAGGCAATAAAAGAAAAATAATGTAGAGAATGTAGTATATTGCATTCATTTGTCATTTGTTTTTGTGAATTGGGCGAGAAAATTCGGTCAATGATTTATTATGACTTTCGTTGTGGGCTTACTCAACAGCAAAGGCTGCATTAGCATTTCTTAATGAAGCCCCATCTCGTGCCACTATTTGCAATTGGTTTAACGAGTTTAAGCGTGCACGTAGCAATCTCAATGATGATCCGCGCGAGGGACGACCTTTAACAGCGACTACTGAAGATAACATCAGTGCTGTGCGACGCATGATAGAGGAAGATAAGAGAGTGACCTATCAGCAGATACGGGCAAGCCTAGGCATTGCTATGAGTCAAGTTAAAAAAATATTACACGAACATTTAGGCGTCAGGAAGCTTTGTACCAGATGGATTCCCCATACTTTAATCGACGACCAGAAACACCTTGGCATGGACTGGTGTTGCCAAATGTTAGATAAGTTCAACGGCGGTGTCTCAAATGCTGTATTTGACATCGTCACAGGTGATGAAAGCTGGATATATTGCTACGACCCCGAAACCAAAAGACAATCAGCTCAGTGGGTATTTCCTTTCGAGGATCGGCCAACTAAGGTAAAGAAGGAAGAAGTCAAGGAAAAAAGATGATTGCCTCATTATTTGGTCGGAAAGGTCATTTCGCGACAGTTGTGCTGAAGGTGGAAGGATAGTTACTGCCGACAGGTATGTCAATCGCTGTTTGCCTGTTGTCTTGGAAAAAATTCGACAGCAGCGCCCTCGAAGCAGGATCCTTCTTCACCACGACAATGCTTCAGCGCACACCGCAAAACGGACTGTTGAATATTTGATTATGGCAGGTGTCGATATAATGAGTCATCCGTCATACAGTCGTGACCTGGCGCCCTACGAATTTAATTTATTCCCAAGAACTAAAGATAAAATTCGAGGTATTCGCTTTACGAGCCCTGAAGATGCGGTGAAAGCGTACGAAATTGCCATAGAAAAGACCCCTAAGGAAGAATGGGCCCACTGCTTTTCTCAGTGGTTCCATGATGGTGAGAGGAACGGAGATTACTTCGAAAAACAATAAAAGTATTGGAATTTTTCCACACTAAGCCGTTTTTCATTTTCTAAACATTTTCATTGTTACCTAGGTATCCACCTATTTGTATAATAATGCATAATATTAAATCATCTAAATATTGTTCATATCAACTCTTAGAGAACAATTGTAACGTAACCACAATATTGTTTCTTTAGAACGATGATAAGTTGTTCCAAGTACACAAACAACTTCTAGAATTCAGCCACTGGGGCGTTTAGACCGGCCAGTCAGCACTTAGACTGGTCGATGGTTCTCCCTTAAGGTTAGAGGAAGGTCACAACTTCCTTCCTTTAGTTTTTTTGCATATGCGATCGTTTTAGTAGAAAACGACTAAAACTTAATAGATCTCCACCAAAATAAAACAGTGGACATGTTTACTGAATTTATTTAATAAGATTAAATGTTATATTTAAATATTTAAGAGTAAATAATGCATTTTTAAAGACGATTGTCTAACATCTATAACTTTACAAGTGGGTGTCATTTAATCTATTTGGTAGGATTTTTATTAAAAAGAAATGGACTGTAATAATAATAAATAAGAAACATGATTTTTATTAGGAATAAAACAGTCGGAGTTCTAAAATTAAACTACTGAATCTTTGGCGACCTCGACGGTCTGGCCGCAATTATCGTTACACCGGAGACGGCTCGCCCTGCATTGAGTTCGAAAAGGCCACGCTATGTGGCAGCAAAGTTGGGAAGCAAAATGTGTATCGCGAGTACGTACCTCTCCCCAATGCTCGCTGGTGAATTTGAACTTCCTAACGAACTACTTAATGAGTCACCCGAGACATTTAGTCATCGCTGGGATCTGAATGAAAGTCTGTGGCCTGGGGTTCACGGATGTCACCCACGAGGAAAAGCGTTGGTGGACTGGGCAGCGGCGCACTGTTTGGTAGTGGCCAACAGGGGCTCTGAAGCTACGTGTTCGAACAAACGGAGAATCGATTGTGGATGTGACTTTCACGAGCCCCATCTTTCGTGCTGTGTTCAGGACTGGGAGGTCCTGACGGGGGTTGAGGACGCTTTCGGACCACCGGTATATCCGCTTCCGACTCTCTCTCGGCCAAGCCTAGCTCGGACCCTCAGAACTGGGCCCAAAATGGGCGACTTGGGTCTTAACAAGGAAAGGCGGAATTGGCTACGATTGTGAGGCCTGGTGCCCGATCCAGCCTCCGTAAATAGAGGAAGAGGAGAGTGGTTTCGTGGCCAATGACTTGCGTGGATGCCGCAATGAAAGAAGACCCTAGCTCACCGGACCAGTGTATTCTGGTGGTCAGAGAACTCGCCAGTTGGGGTAGTTGTGTAGCAGCTGTCGAGGCTAACAGGACTGCAGAAGGCGACCAATTCGATAGAAGAGGAAAAACAAGCATATAGCGTATACCGAGATAAACTGGCTGGAATAGGTATGCCGAAGCAAAAAAGAAAGCATGGCAAGAACTGCTTGACACCCTGGAGCGGGATCCTGGGGACCCCGTATCAGATTGTCACAAACAGCTCGCTGTGGGCCCCGCCATCACAGAAAACATGGGGCCGGAACTGCTCAGAAGTGGTGGCGGAACTTTTTCCTGAACGCACCCCTGACTCCCAATGAGAGACTACGGAACACAGTGTCACAGTTCTGAAGTATCTCCTTGACTGAAGACAGCAATAGCGGCATGACACTAAAAACTGACCTGTCCCGATGATGACGGACGAGTGTAGCTTGGCCCTCGAGTGGTCTTGAATGTTTCGAGGCCTCCTACGGAATTCTAGAAATGGCCTCTTTCCTATGAAGACTGGTTTATTCTTCAAAAGTGAAAACTCAGAGTCACCATCAGCGATACTATATTTTGATGAAGCGGAACTCTTCGATATTATTGGTCGATTTACAATCATTGGAAACTATAGGACCAAACATAGGCTCAATTGCTTCCGGAAAATAGTCACATGCGAATTGCGCCCCTGCGAAGCGTCTGGAGGAAGTTAGGGGAGAGTGGTTTCGGTATGTAATGCGAACGCTTTCAATTTTACATGGACTGTATGCGGACGCCTGACCACTTACCGGCCTATATAAGAAAATGTGTAGATCGTACCTCAACGGCCGCCGGGTTATCTTCCCGAAACAAAATGGATAGGAGTCACCTATCAAGTGGGGTCCAAGGTTGTTTGGCCCCTTTTTGGAACATAGGTTACGATAGGGTGCTGGAGCGAAACTAGTCCTGAGTGTCAACTATATGCTATGCAGACGACACCCTCGTGGTCGCTATTGGAGAAAATTTTAAGGAAGCGACCTCGAGCGACAGTGGAGTAGCTAGGGTGGTTTCTGAAATCAAGAAGCTCGGTTGTGCCCTTCAGAAATCAGAAGCTATATGCTTCTACGCACAGAAAAGCTCCACCTCAAGACGAGACACATTGTCGGCGGAGTAGTATCCGGGTCAGTACCAGTCAAATACTTGGTGATTTTACCACGGTGGACTTTAGACCACACTTCGTGGACTTGCCCCTAAGCTACGCCACCGCAAACATGCTCTCGCGCATAATGCCAAACCTCGGCGGGCCGAGTGGGGGTGTCGCCTCTTATACGCTAATGATCGGGCAAAAGACTAGGTGTCCCATATGGCCACAAACTGACGGGTACAATGGCAATACTCAGGCAGTCGCAGCGAGTGTCGTGCCAGGTGGAGGGCGTACCGACTGTGTCTTATGACGCAGTGTGTGTTATAGCGGTACCGGATGGCACCTCGATGGGCTGCTTTTAGCGAAGTATATTGAGGAGGGCGAAGCTCGGGATAAAGGGGATAACCCCACACTGGAACAATTAAACTGGGAGCCTTAGAAGACCAGCAATGTTAGTAGAGTGGGAAAGCGAGCTGGGGGTGAGTGCGGTAAATATACTACCGAAGCCCTCAGACCTTTGCTTCAACTTTGGGTAAAGAGGCGCTGGGGTCACCTCAGCTATCGACTTGTGCAGATGCTGTCCGAAGGATGCTTTGGTAGTTATCTGAAAAGTAGTAGGGTGGAGGAGTCACCAACCTGTCACCACTGTGTCGGAGACAACCGAGACCCTGCATACACTGAGGGACTGCCCAGATGGGAAGTGGAAAGGAGACCTTTGTAAGATGCTTCCAGGGCGAGGACGCAATACTGCCAAACTAGTGAAAGCCATATTGAGCGCAGGAAATGACGCTGTGGAAAATCTTCTATAATTTCTGGAGTCGGTCATGAAAGTCAAAGAAGAAGCGGGAAGAACCAGGGAGCTTTGTCGAACCCGTCCGCGGCGGCGAAAGAAACCGAGGCCCGTCAAATCCTCGCCACCTAAAGAGTGCCCAAGGGGGAAGAGGGGTCCATGTTCAAAAGAAGGGATGTATCCATCCCTGCAAGACTGGACCCGATCTCCCTAGCTATTCCTAAAAGCGTATGGCCCGATCTGTGAAGGATACTTGTGTTCAAGTATCTTCACAAATCAACAATGGGCGGGGAGAGGCGGACAAACTGCCGCATCGATGTGGGAAGCGGATAAGGCTCTGCTGTTACGCATCCCGCCTAAGGCGATTGTTGGTGGGCCTTGGGTTTTAGTGGGTATGACATTCGCGAGTCCCACATAACCCTCCCGATAAGCATGACGCGGTAGGGTATGGAAGGCATTTCCCAAGTAAAAAAAAAAAAAACTACTGAATCTAGTATGATTTTCCTTATCAACAAATATTGTTATATTTTATGATAACGATAACTTTCACAACCCATTACTAAGACAAGATGATCGGAAGATACAAGTTAGAGTTTAACATACAACCTATCAAAGAATTATAAAAGAAATGTTAACGCCAAGGCGTTTTTATATTGGATGGACAGGTGACGAACGAGCGGCGAGCACTGAATAAAGTGCTAAACGCCGCTCATGGACGTGTTACATTCTGGTGTGTTGCCGAGCTATGAGGGTACGGTACTTTTTTAACCTTATAAATTGAATAACATTTGCTTCCACTGAATAAAAATCAATAGGATAAGGTCAATTGACAGTAAATTATTTTGCAAATGTCGCCACAGAACATTGCAAGAACCAGTACACCATATTATAAAACCGTATACCATATAACGATTTATTAAATTTTTCTGTTAATCCATACAAAAGTATTGTTTATAAAATTCAAAAAAACTGTCGAATATTTACAACAAAGTTGGTACCTACATTGAAAATGTTGTCAATTATCAACAAACCCTGGCAGTGCATTTTTTCGACTATTAATAAAAACTAAAAACCTTTGTACACATTTGTGTGAGTACGAGTAGAAGCATACATTACAAACGAAAAATTAATTTTCATACATTTCTGCTGTGTGCCTATGATAGTAATGTGGTATATATTTTTGATGTGAAACATCTATAGCCGCACGTAAAACCGTGGTATATGATGGTATATATATATAGTCTATATGCAGTAGTGAGTACGGTGTGTGTATTTCGAAGTCACTGATTAATTAGTCTAGTCTAGAATTAAGTAGTCACGATTTGAAATAAATTCGTAAATTTTTGTATTTAATGAAAATAAATGTTTATTCAATAAATAGTCATCGTTATCTGGAAAAAAATCGTAATATTTTATTTTATCATTATGACATATTTAGTTCCTATCACAATCTGTTCTTTTCTGCATATTACTGTTACAAAATAATGTCGATGTTGTCACATATGCCAGGCGTCCCGTGACGGCTCACATTTTCAACATCAGTAGCTCTGTCATTCGTTTGAATTTATTTAATAAGTCTAAAATACTGTGCAAATATGTAAAAAAGTCCTTAACATCAAAAGCGCAACAGGCAAAATTATTTTTAAAACAAGTTTTTGTTATATGTTTAAACCGGCCTCTAAAAAACCGAAGGGTATTTTTTATCAAAAAAATTACGTTACCGCTTTTCAAATATTAAGTTCAAGTTAAAAATTTAATAAAAAGATAATCACTATAAATAAAACCAAAAATTGTTTATGCCGTTTTTATTAATTTATACCGTATTTTAACTACCATTATGTCGGCTACTCGACTGCAATCTCACATTGTCTCGCTTAGGAAATAAAAATTAATTGAACTAAAATAAAATTAATAGCAGATTTTTCTAATTTTTATTCATTTACATCAAATTGCCATACAATGGTTACAAACCAAATATATTTTGCTCTGTTCTACATCTCGCAACTATTAGCAAGTTAGCTAAAAATAATCAAAAAAGGAGTATTAGAGACAAATATAGGCAATTCTCATTAGTTCTTGCGATGAGCCCGATTGCGACGCATGTTTGTATGGCACTGCGGACAATACCATTTGCCTTTCGGAGGTGCCGTGATACCAACGCACGGGTAGTGGAACCACTCGTACGGGCACTGGAACAAGCAAATTTTCATAATTAGGCGCCACAACCATTAAGGCATATCATTTCAAGGCCATTACGAAATGGTTCTCTATATTGAAGAACACTGAGTCTAATGGGTTAGGAAATACCAAGACGGGAAGAGTGTTCCATATATGGCCTTGTAAAATAGTTAGTGATATAGTGAATAGTTGATGATAGAATGGCCATAATTGTACATGAATAAATATATTTTGACTATGGTTCGTTTTTTTTTTTAAATTTCGAGAACTTACATCGTGGTTGTCACAGGCGACCATATCTCCGTACGACACCTGGTTACAAATACAGTAACGCGGCTCGTTGGGGTCGTAGGCCCATTCCTCTTCTACCGGCTCTTCGATGACTACTTTGTTCACGTTTGAATTATTAATGGGCCTGCAACAAATATTAAATAACACTCATATTTATTAAAATATATTTTAATTACCTATCTATATCTAATAAATATTTAAAAAAAAAATACATTTTTACTTTAATTTTTAATCTTAATATATATACAACTTTTACAAATTTAAACAGAAAAAAATACATTCATTTGTAAAATAGTGCAGTAATTAATTAAATAAACAAATAACACAGGTAAGTTGTAGTTACATTCGCAATTTTTCTATAGATTCATTTGATAGCCGTACTTTGAAGACCACCAGGCGAACATACAAATATACGAAGGCCTCTTAACAATAACCACTCGTACATTATAACGAAACCGTACATTCGTATGATTCATTCGTGAACATATGATATAAAAAAATACGGCTTAAAGCTATACTTACACAAGTGTAGGCGACGATGATCGACTGGCGGCCATTGACGCCTGCCCGTGAAGAGATGCGGCGCTCGACGAATAGCTTTTCCTAAAATGTATTATATTAGAGAATCTTTCTCGTATATAATCTCTATATACTCTATAATACTAGAAAAATACAATAATATTTGAATTTGGCACCCCTTACACAATAGTACTGATCAAAAAATGATTATTAAGCATCTGTATCGTTTTATAAACAGAATATTATCAAAATGTTCCAGAACGTTTTATTAAACAAAATCTGTTACATACAATACATGCCAATACCGTGCCTTTGAAATAATGTTAAGAGTATAATTATTTCATTAATAAAAAATAAATTTAATAAAATCCGAATCTGCCGCAGCCACAGATTAGTAAAAAATAGAATGTAAACATTAAAGTATGGTTTGACGTTCGAAATTCGAATACAATACGAAATTATAAATTAACGGCCAGTATTAAACTCTAGTATGAATAAACTATAAATGTGTCAGAGATCGGATTGTCTATGAATTTTCAGTGCTAAAAATTAAATTGTGACATGTTCTTAATATGAAATTAGTTATGACAAGTATGGGTTGTGCTGTTTATTTAATATACTTTAAAGAATATTGAATTATGTATTTTTATAATTGTTACTAGTAGACTCGGCCAAGCGTTGCTGTGGCTAAGGCTTTTGTTATAATTAACAAAAGCTAGTAAACTATTCAAGGGAAACGGTAGGAGAACACCAGTCATGACCACCATGCTTTTTTGGTGGTTATGCCATTAAATTGTAGCTTATGTGAAACGTTGGTACTTTCAACACAGCGCCATCTGTTAGAATTGTGACTGTCAAATAATAAACAAATAATTTGTAATAAAATAATATGACGGGTATAAATGAAGATGTAAGCTATCCTATCTTTTAAGTTAGTTCAAACTGCACACGGTATACAAATTTGATTGAAATCAGTTAAGTAGTTTAGGAGTCCATAGCGGACAAACAACGTGACGCGTAATTTATATATTTTAAGATGTATTATGTAGTTTGATGCATTAGTTTTCCTGTTGGTATATATTTTTTTGGTTAAATATATAAACTAATTGTTTTTACGCAAAGTTCTCTGTGTAAACCAAACTTACTTCTGTTTGTGGCGTTTGTTAGAGCTTCCAGAAGAGTGGGCGTGGCCACTGTGATGTCCGCTCGACACTACGGTCGAGCCTGAAATTTAATTTTATTTTATTGGCATATGAAGTAATGTTAGCCGTGTTTTTGCCTTAATAACCTACATCCCTAAGAAAAGTAATCATATAATTTTTTTTAGAATTAATGATAGTTTACGTTACCGCAAAATGAAAGGAATATATTTACCGACTAACTGCCGAACCCAATAATCAATCCACAATTGTTTTCAATTTGCATCCCAATAACCAAACCCTACGATGACAATCCATTTTTGGCGGATAAAATGCTCTTTGTCGTTCCATTTTACCGAGTTTTCACTCATAATTGATAATCAATGTAAACCAAATAAAGTAAATAAAACCGTACAAATAACATTAAAATATATATGTATATACGTGTATATTTAAAAAACTGGCGAAAGTTAAAATCTGTTAAAATAATAAACTGTTGAAATCGAGCTTTCGTCAACTGTCATTTTCATACAAAGGTCTATCCACAGACACCGATACGACCTCCCTTGGATAGCTTGTATCGACAGATGGTTATTACAATCCGTCGATTGGCTATTGGCACACTTTTTACACCATTTGGATTAAAATTACTATCTCAGATGGTGGATTATGGATGGAGATATGCTATTGGGTTCGGGCCTTAATGTGGGGTTTGTAACATACCATGATCATGATGCGTCGTATGATGTGTCGTATGCGCATGTGAGAGGTCTCCGGCCACCGCTTCGTAGGACGCTTTGAGGGACGCCGTGCGACGCCCTTGCTGCATCTACGAAAATATTATTTTATATTTACTAATTATTACATTAAACGACATCTCCAACCCTTATCTATCGAATAACTGTATACTAATCGATCTATAAATAAAGAAAGCAACACTTTATGTGTAAATAAAGTGTTGCTTTAATTAATGATATAATAAAAAATATGTCGAATAAAATGATATACCTATTTAGAACGATACTATGAAGCATTCTAATTTGTTATAAAAGTAAAAAACTACACCGAGCCAAGACACTTGGCCAGGTCAAGAACAAGTATCGTATCACCACCATTTTTGAAGTTATACTTCTTCAGGCGCGTTATGAAAAATTGATGAGAGTGAAATTTTACGATGCGCGCGCACCGTGACACAAAATTAACAGAATGAAGTTAGTGGCGCATGTTGGCACGCACGCCGCCTCTGTTCACTGTGTATTTAAAACACGTGTTTTCATTTTGTTTTCATTATACAAGTGCGAATTTTATATGTGCGTCTGAATTATAATCAGAACTGATTTAAATTGAATATTTAAATCAATACTTATTAATATTAGAAAATAATAATAAATATAATATTAATAAATATTTATTTATTAAATTTTTCAAATGTAAACTGAACTTTATTGACTATAACGACTCCTTTTCCAGTCTTTGATTATTTAATTGTAATTAATTATTTGCATGCAATCAAAAACTATTTTTAATAATGCCAAAGAAGTATAACTTCTTACGCGCGTATATAAGTACACGCACCCTTTTTTTAAAGGCTCGTTTAACGATACAATTAGGTAAACATTGTAAATATAAATATAGTAATTTATGCAATTGTCATATAATAGAGGGTATTAAAAAATGTGTAGTTTTTTCAAAGTAAGATTACACGAGTTTTTTAATACCTAATTATATGTAGTTGCATACACTACTTCATTTAAAAATGTCTTGGCTTTTTTCCCTTTATATCCTTGTGATTTACGTTTCAGAAGTGATTTTTCTGGCAAAAGACTATTCGTCATTTTCTAGAATGTCAGGTGGAGTTAAATTTTCATCGGTATCGTCGGTGTTGCTTGACATTTTTGCTACTAAAGTTTTATCTAACAAAATATTTCTTAAATTCGTATGTACGAAATAGCGCCAATAGAAAAAGTCTTAGCATTGGTCTATTGGCTCGGAACCAGCGCGTTGCGCGCGCAGCGCTCTCACCACAGATTATGTGTACCTTCTTAAATTGAATTGAAACCTCCTTGGTCGGGACACATTGTACTTTAATAATTAAAATTATTTTAAAGCATTGTTTTGTTACGGGAATAATACTTTAATTAAATTTTTTAATTATCTTAAAGAAGTATGTAAATAAAATATGCCAATATAAGTCTGTATTTCATTTCATATTTAGAATATTACTGAATGAGATTATATAAAAAATATTAAAATATTCCATATTTAATTATTTAATATATTATGTATATTAAATATTACCTGTTGCGTAGCAGCAATCGCTTGACTGGCTGCTGCCGCTATGGCACTTCCCGCGTGACCCAACGAGTACGAGTCACGACCCAAAGCAGCCTAGGAAATACATACATCTTATCATACAACGGACATACAAATTAATGCTAAAATATAATGAGCAACAATTATGACTAACACACGTAACACTTCATCAAATTCAAAGTATTAATATTAAATACTAGCTGTGTTCTGCGGTTCCACCCGCATTAATTCGGTCGTAGCACGATGTTCTATAGCCTGAAGCTTTTCTCCGTAAATACTTTTAAATGCAAAAAAGAATATTTTTAAGACATAATATGGTATCGACTTTGTGTAGATATTGATGTCTTCTTTAAAATTGTTTTACATCACTTTGCTCTATTGTCAATGGTTTTGGCAGCGTACCCGATTTAGGACTACAATTATAATAAGGAATTTTTTCTATAGCATATGTTGATCAGGGATAACTTAACTAAAAATCGGTCCTGTACTTTTGGACCCTATTCAATTCAATGCAAATAAATGCAATCAAAACTCTCCTCAATATAATATTAGTGTAGATTAAAAAAATGTGTGCGTGTACTAGTGTACACACGTAAGAAGTGAAACCTCTTTGTGACCTTATTTTTCGAAAAATGATCTACTTTATGCAACTTTACAGAAATTGGTTAAATAAAGTTAAATTAGATAAAGTTTAAAAAAAGGCTTTTATTATTATAGACATGAAAACAAATAATACAATTATTTAATTTTACCTTATTACTACTAAGATTATTACGGAATTTCATTAATTGTAATAGAATTATTACTATCATTGTTATCGTTATTATATATTTTTGTTATTAATATAAATTTTATACATTTTATGAACGCACTACATGGTTTTTGACATAAATTATAATGATTTAAAAGCATAATTTCTATTTATAACTAAATTAAATACTGCAATATTTATTAAATATAACGTGAAAAAATTATCCAATATAAATAACAGTACGTTGCGGTAAGCCTGAAGTTGTTTTCAGAGGTAGGCAAACTTCACAAACAACAAATCTTGCAACTAATCAATAAATTGGATCCGAAATCACCGGACAAGAAAAAGATGGCGCGTAACGGAAAAATGTGACGCGTACGCGAATGTAAATTTTTTCCAACGTCGATAAAGAAGTTTCACTTCAAAAAAAACTTTATATTAAAGACACTGTGAACTGTCAAAGGCGATGCAGGCAGTTCTTGGATGGAATATCATGATTTTGTTTATAATGTTAATTGTTATTGATGTCATAAACATTGATACATAACACATAATAAACAGATGAAATGCTTGGTCTCTGGCGTGGAACGGTAATTTTAATAAAGTGAAGAAGACCACAAGCAAATTAATGCATTAAAAATGAGCTTATGAAGGATAAAGTGAATCAATAAGCTAAGAAGTAAATTCGTCAAAATAAATCAAATTATATTACTATTATATTCTATAATATACCTGTATAGCAGAATCAGTTCTAGATAGACTTCCGTTACTTCCATGGGAACGAGCTTCCCTATTACTCCAACTCTCGCGACGTTTCTCTGCTCTGATGCGGTACCTAACATTAGATTTTATATTAAACACATAATAAAAAAATAAGATATATACTAGATAATTGTCAACATGACATAGCAATTAATGGCAAACTGCTGAATAACTTAAGATACGCTGATGACACGATCTTAATCGCCGAGAGCCTCGATGGTCTACAGAATTTAGTCAATTCAGTTGCGGCCGTGAGTTCTGAATTTGGTATTAGTATCAATGCGAAAAAGTCAAAATATATGACAATAAGCCGAACACCGGAGCTTTTCACGCAACATATATACCTCAATCAGACCTTGGAACGTGTCTCGAAAATACGATATATAGGCACAGTGATTGATAAAAAGGGTGACCATAGCATCGAAATCCGCTGCAGAATTGAACAAGCTCCGCCTTTTCCAAACTAAAAAAAGTACTTTGTGACAAGCGCCTAAATTTACAGCTTAGAACTCGCATTGCGCGATGTTACGTCTTCTCTGTGCTGCTCTACGGCCTAGAATCTTGGACGCTGACAGAGACTATGTCCAAAAAACTGGAAGCGTTTGAGATCTGGGTTTATCGACGTATGCTTAAAATATCTTGACAGAATGCAGAAGAACAAAGAAGTGCGTATGACTGTTAAGAAAAGGTTGAGTATTTCGGACACGTTTTACGTAACTCCAAAAAATACGAGCTCCTTCAACTAATCATACAAGGCAAAGTGGCAGGTAGAACCTGGCAACAGACGCACGTCCTGGTTGAAAAACTTAAGACAATGGTTTGGTCAAAGTACCAAGTCATTGTTTAGAAGCGTGGCATCCAAAATCAAACTACCCATGATGATCGCCAACCTTCGCAAGGAGATGGCACTATAAGAAGATATATACCAACGGAACGAAACCGCTACCTGTTCCGTAATCATTTCTAATATTTTCCTTCACGAGCGAGTGTTAAGTGCGTACATAGACAGTAAGTCCATTGGTGCACAGCCGGAGATCGAACCGAGATGACGTCGTACCCGAGAGGTGAGAACCGCACATTGATGCCACTTCGCTAACACTAGCATTCAAAAAATATAATGTCTGATATTTAAGTACACAGATAAAATAATCAAGTTTATTTTTCACTTTTTTGTAATATTGTAATGATATATAAACATTGTAAGTCACCTATTGCCATAATGTTGCACAGCTTACTATGCCAATGGTGTATATTAATTTATCATTTCTATATAGAACACATATATTTTTGTATTTTTTTGGTTTACATTAAACCTAAGTTAGGTAGGTACTATTGCTATAACTGTACTTCTCCTATTATTCTTTATCACATAATCTGACTTTAGATGATGTCTTAATTTACACCTTCCACTTTATAAGATAAATCATGCTTATTCTTTAAATTTTCATTATTTGCTAGTTAGTATACAAAAAACTCAGTTGTTGATTAAATAAACCTGCTGATATTGGCCAATCAACAATTCACCAAGCAATGGCTTTATTTGCCAGAGGAAAACAACTTTTACACATGATCAAAAATCTGTTATAATATACAATGAGCAAAAAACCACTCAATTGCAACACTTTCATATTAAAAACTATAAGAAGTTTCAAAATTTCTAAGTTTTCCCAAATTTAATCTTGATATGTCAGACCCTAAGCTGACTTTAATACATCACTGGTCAGCAGTGCTTATTAGAGACAATTGAAATTTAAAAATAAAAATGAGGCAATTCCTAGATAACTTTCACAAATTATGTATACATAATGATTGAAGTACCAATCGAAAACATTATTTTCTTGCAATCAACACAAATTATTAATTAATACTATGTCTTTCGTAAAAGGGCATAAAAAATTACTTTACACTCACCTACTTTCCTTATAATGGTTATTATTTGATGATGTGTTATGGTTTGTATTAGAATCAAGATCGAGGGATCTTTTCTCTAACAATTCTGTAATCCCCTTATTATCAGCTTCAAGTTCACATTTAAACTTATGAAGCTCTGTATCTGTAACACAATTGATAAAGGTTATTTTATCAAAGCATAAACAACATATATAGATATTAAATAACCTTTTTTATTCAAAATTATTCAGTCCATGCAAAATACATAGGTTGCAATTACAAGCACTATAAATTAATAATTAAGTAAATTATTGTATTAAATCTGCTTACTCTGGATCTTTAAGTTATATATCTAATTCTATTAATTATTTGAATATAATAAATAAAAAAATTATGTAATTTAAAAAATAGGCACAGTTCTCACAGAAAAATACAAATAGCTACAAGTAGTTTCTTTATAGAAATAATTATCAATTCAATTAGTAATTTCAAATGTCTTACCTAATCTACGCAAGTATCTATCCACTAGATCATACATTTGATTTGAAAGAGTTACTTTTTCATCTGCTTCCTCCAAAGTCTTGTTATAACCCTTTTTAATATCGTCAAACTCAGTATCCGCTTGTTCTGAGTTCACATCACCTCGCCGACAGCCTCCGAACAAAGTACGAACTCGTTTTTCCAAGGTATCCATGTTATCTTTACAAGCAGTAAAAATTATTTAAAGGTGAGAAAAAAAATTTACAGTTAAATTTCTAATAACTAATAATTTTTAACTCACTTTGAACCGACAAATCCATTTCACGCATTTCTGTAAAGCGATCTCTTAGCTCTTGAGGTAGATGCTCGATCACTGGAATTATAATTATAAAACAAATTTAATAAGTAAATATTTAGTTTAACAAAATTGCCATTTAAATTTAAATAACGCGCCAAAACAAGTTAATGATTCCTGTTATATACAGAAGGCATACCAACCGTAATGGAGGTCGAGCTTTGTGATATTGAAAGTAAAAATATATTATACATACTTTCTAAATAATCCTCGAGGTATAACATTTTGGTAAGTTGATTTTTTTCTTTCTCACTCAATTACACTTTTGTCAAACACGTCTTTATAAAAACTTAATAAATATAATGTAGTTGTTAAAATTATTCGATATAAAACATACGTCACAACGAGTTACGTAGACGCCCTACTATTGTGACAGTGTTCTTACAGATTCTAAACGTCTTCTCTTAACAGAGTACTAAAGCAATGTAACATTAAAATTTTAAACGTTTGGGTGAGCCCGAGGCGTGAGGTCTGAGGGGTGACGAGGTTCGACGCTCTTTGCAGTACAGCCAACTTTCGAAAATTCCGTGGTTACATCCCTTACAATATAAAGTCTTATGCTATACTATACTTGTTTTATGGCCTGTTAATCGCTAATTTAACTAAATAATCAAACATATATTAATGGATAACCCGTATCACTATTAAATATTTAAATACATATCTTGTAAATGTTGATTCAGAAATGATAAGCTTTCTGATCTTGCGCTATAATTAATTCCAGAAAATGATTCGAAGACCTTTAACTGAAATAAAGTTGAGACTTGAAGATTTACAGGAATATGAAAATTCCCGCAGAGAACAAAACCATTTGTCCATAGTACAAGAATTAAGAGACGAAAGTTCCACTATTATAACCCCTACTAATGGAGGACCAAAAACTACAGAAGAAATACACAATAGAATTGGTTTTGCTCCGAAAAAAAAAAGCAGTGAGTCAAGACTGTAATGTACTTAGAGAATGATACTGTAAGCGCATATTAAAATACTTGTTTAATATCTATGATTTTTAATGAATTACGCAATATCTACTAACAATGGTAAGTAATAAAAGATTGCCACGAAAGGCTTAGACAGGATTTATACAACATAAATAATAATTTACATTAAATTCTTTTAAAAATACTTATAATCAAACATTTAATTATTATTCATGCAGATTTACTGTAAAGGCTACTTAACAGTATAAAAAGGTATTTAGTATAAGACATAGCTTATGTGGCGTTATGAAGTAAAATAACTTCTAAATAATCATTTATTTATTTAAAAAATGCATAATTAAAAATGAATATTGAAATTCGATAAAAGAAAAGACTTTGAATAAATTTCATGATCGATGCTAAGCAAGAGGAAGCTGCCTTCACTGGTCTTAGTCTGGTCTAGCTTAGTCTGCTATCTCACATCGTTGATCGGTGAAGTCGATTTACGCTTAGGTTTAATTAAGTACAGATCATTGTATTGTACAATTTAATAAAGAAGTATTAAGTAAAATTGTTTTTTTTTTAATGGGATAAAGGGTAATTATCTGTTTTGCCTAGTTAGGCCCTTTGTTCCATTAGAGCGTAATAAAGACATTATACAGAATCTAGAAGAGCAGACACGATAAAATTATAGAACAGGACAAAGCGCATATTATTATGAGCAACCATATTATATTTTTTATAGTTGGTTTGTGATTTAAACACTTTTGCTTATTAACATGATTGGTTAACGCCAAACGTGTTAATTTCTTTTAAAGAGGCTTTCTTTAGTCACAGTAAATATAATATATTATATGTCTAAAATCTAAATGTCCTAAAAGACATAACATTTAATATTTTTCTATTAGTCTACAACATTAATTATAATATGATAAACATATTAGAATTCTTGAACGCGTGTTGGTTGTGCTATCTATTACGATGCCTTTTTTTGGAAAAAAGCATTTTGGTAGAAAGTCAATAATAATGTTCTGTGTATTCGGCAAGATTTACAGATTAAACAAAGAAATAGACCATTAGTGTCAATTTTCAGATTTAACTTTTTAATATTTTCTGTTAATATTTTCTTTTCTAGATTGTTCATTTCAATTTTCAAGCATAAATTTCAAATTTCAATCACAATTCAGTATTCACATTTATGAATTTAAATTATTGTAATTGGTCACTACTCCCTGGTTTGAGAGCATATTCGGTATCTTAAGGCTAATATTCATCGTTTAAACTATTGAATAGTAACCAGTAACAGGCTTTTACAACTTGAAATAGAAATCATTGTTCATTAAAAGCATTTAAAACGTTACACGTGGTATTCAATAGAAAAAGTATTGCATCTGGTCTATTATAAAGACGATCTATTATGTCTAACACCAAGATGAATGAGGTTTGTTAATGCGGTTTTTCTTTATCAAATTTATAAGTTCAAATGTGTAGACATTGTTGTGTATATACATATATGTGTGGGAATACTTCTACATGTAATCCACTATTCGTTTTGCTTTAGTCTTTATAAACAGTGTAGTAAAATTTAGAAGTTTATTCGTTTTTAAGCTATATTTTACGTTAGTATATATACTACTATACTAACAATAACCGAATGCATATAGACCATGACAATATTTTAGGACATACCTTTACTCTGTCATTATCAAGAATTTGAAACAGACTTTCCAATAAGAAAGAGCTCTAGTGACGAGTGGCTTAAAATCACCAAACTACTTATACATATAAATCTTTTTAGTTTAAGTAGATTTGTCTTTCTGCCAAGTATGTTTAAGCTGTGATAAAAATGGACAAAATACAGATTGATGTTGTAGTTGGTGTTAGAGGATATTACAAAAAGAGTAGTATACTGTAAGGGTGTTCCTACTAAAATTGTAACAAACAATTTAAAAAATTATATCAAATGATTAAGTACATATATGATTTTTTGTATAAATCCTAATAGTTAATCATTTGTTGTTGATCATTTTAGTAGTAAATTAAAGGGTTTTTATTTTTCTTAATTTTTAAAACAAAATAAATCAATTCGTTTGTTTATTATTTTTATAAATTTAATTTTCCTTTTTCTGTAGTTGCGGAGCGACATAGATGAGTTTAAAGTTCTATTAAATCAGGCAAATCGAAAAAGGGTGCAAGATTTTTTATCTTTAGAAATTCGTAAATTAGAAACAGAGTGGATTAACCTGAAGGAAAACATGAAAGAGACTCCATTGGAAGTTGTTAAACCTGCGCCATCAGTATCTGCTCAAAAGAAGAGGTTTCAGATTAAATTAAATGGATATGGTAATTATATCAAAAAATCTTTATTTCTTAATTTCAAGATTCAGCAGCAATTTTTTTTAAATTGTCATTAAGTTGCACATGCAAAAAACAATATCACAACTGGAATATACTATGTAATCTATACTGTTTTATTAAAAGAAAACATATTTATTATTTAATTAAAGAGTTGCATAAAGATTCCTGAACATTGCTCAAGAAGTAATGCTGCTTAACTACTAGATCATTCCAACATAGTGAAATAAACATGCATTTATATTTCTAACTGCAGTGTGATCCTAGCGGTATATGTTTGCCTCTCATTGCAACCCTGGCAGTGCACCATTAAAGTACTTTTCACAACAAAAACTAGGATCACTGATTGTCATAGAGATCTCTATTACAATGAACAATGTGTCAGGAAGAGAAAGCTATTTGACACAAAACTGTTTACTTTCTATTTTAATTTTAACCAATACATAAACATTCTAGGCTGGGATCAGTCAGACAAGTATGTAAAGGTATTTGTCACTTTAAAAGATGTTCAGACTATACCAAAAGAGCGAGTTACCTGTAATTTAACCGAGAAGTCCATGGAACTGTATGTTGAAGACTTGGACAGCAAGGATTACAAATTGGTGATCAACAATTTACTTTATCCCATTAATGTTGCTGAATCCCATTGGAAACAGAAGACAGGTATTAATTTATTTTGAATATATTTTTAGTACAAATATACTTGCACATTCCCCCTAGTTTCTTCCTTACTAGTGTTGCCTAGAAGCGAACACAAATTGTACTGCAACAAAGTTAATAAATAATAAATTAAAAAATATTTTCAATTACAGTAACATTTACCCAATTCCTAAAAGACAAATATTTCCTTAAAACTCATAAGTTTGCTCTTATGAAAGTTAAATTGGCAGCTTATCTACAACTTCACTAGCACTTTTACATATATATGTAACCTTCTTTCACATTAATATTTTCTCATTTATTACTCTGCTCATAATTACCCATAAAAAAAGGGAATGAACATAAAATGTAAATAAAGAAAATTTTATGTGGAAAGCAGTATTTAAATATATAAAAATTAAATCAAGATTAAGTGTAAATTCAGAATCAAGACTTAGAGTACTGACCCCCATATTTCTGTCTCGTAAAAACATAATATTAATTTGATATAACGAGAGACATACTAATAATAATAATAATAATAATAATAAAGCCTTTATTTCGTTCCACACCATTTACATTACATGCTAATACAACTGAACTAAAAATTTTGTGTTAATGTGGTTAGTAATACAGTATATGTAATATTATTTAGTAATTTAATATTGAAATAAATGTTAGTATTATTAGTACCATATTTTATTTTCCTAGGTATGGATCCCTATCTTGGGTATAGGCCTCCTCTAGCCGCTTCCAGTCCTCTCTGTCCTGACCCCTGATCATCCATTCTTTTCCGGCAACATGGACAATGTCATCGACCCAGGTTTCTGAGGTCTGCCAACTCTCCTTTTTCCCCTTGGACCTAGCCTTTAGTAGCTGTAAGTGTCCATCTATCATCTTTCAAGCGAGATATATGTCCTGCCCATTTCCATTTTAGCTTCAGTGCATGCTTTAAGGCATCTGTAACTTATTCTTTCCTTATTGTTTCGTGTCTGATTTTGTGTTCCTTTTTAATTTTAGCATACTGCGCCCATTGCTCTCTGACATGACCTTACTTTACTTTTGGTTTTGTTATCAAATACCCATGTTTGGCATGCATATGTTAGGCATGGTAGTAGGCAAGTGTCCATTACATCTTTTTTTCTGAACTGTAATTTCCTTTCAGAATCTCCTTATGTGACCAGTACCTGTTCCAGGTAATGTTTATTCTCCTGCAAATTTCCTTGTCATTGTTGGTGGTGTCAAACGATACCTGCTTCCCTAGATAGATATATGACTCTACATACTCTATTATTTTGTCATTTACTTTTGGTTTGGAGGCTATTTGACATGATTTTAGTTTTGTTGGGGTTCATACTCAGACCTACTTTTTACTTTCCACATCCAGGATTTGCAGATTTTTTCCAGCGCTGATGCAGTTTCACTAAAAACAGCTATGTCATCTGCGAATCTGAGATGTTAGGTTATTTATTAACGGTATGCCCGCTTCCCCAATCAATATTTTGAAAGACACTTTCTAGGACTGTATAATTTTTGGGGACAGAGGATCACCCTGTCTTACGCCCCGTCTAGTGGGAAACTCTGCACCTTTCTTTCTAGTTTTATTCTACTTGTGCTTTTAGAATATAGGTCTTTAATGATTTGTATATATCTATCTTCCACTTTATTTTTTTCCAATGTCTGCCATATAGATGTGTGTTTATGCTGTCGAACGCTTTGGAATAGTCCACAAAAGCTATATAGAGTGGTCTATTGAATTCCTTAATTTCTCTATAGTTGTTCTAAAGCATGGATGTGGTCCACAGTTGAGAAACCTGAACGAAATCCTGCCTGCTCCATTGGTTGGTTGTTATCAATTGTTTTGTTATTCGACTAAGTAGGACTGATGAGAATACTTATAGATGGTAGGTATCAAACTAATTGGTCTATAGTTACCAATATCCAACGGGTTTCCTTTTTTATAGTAACACAATGTCTGAGTGGCACCACTGTGTAGGACATAGCCTGTTCCAGCACTATGTTAAATAATTTTGTTATGATCCTAGTGTTGGTTTGCTTCAGGTCCTACTTTTGTCAGGTTTTAGTTTGCAAATATATTTATGTACGTCTTGTTCATCAATGGCTTGTAGTATTTCCTCCAATTTGGTGGTTGGGCCAACTGCTCTGTCATCCTGATGTTCGTAGAGGTTTCTATAGAATTCAGTAGCACACTCCATGATTCCTTTTCTAGTTTTCTTTCTCTGTGTCCATTTTCTAGTTTTGTTATCCATTTTTGTGTGTTTAGCTCCTTGCCCCCTCTTCGTACTTCGATATTGTTTAGGTTTTTTTTAAAATATGTTTTCTGTTTTTTATAATCTTTTCTCTTTTTTTCCTTTGAATAAATTCTTAATTTGATCTTATCTTCCTTGTTTTTAATTTTTTTTGATTAATTGAGCGCCATTTATTAGTTTTTGAGTAGATTATAATTATTTATTGTTTTGTGTCTTTATCTATTTTTAGCTTGTTTAATTATTAATTCTAGGCTTATATTTGAACATATTATTATTATATATCTCTTTAAGGCGGGTATTAATATTATCCTTAGGTTCTTCAAATACTCTGATTTTTCATTGTGGTTTCAGGAGATTTTGGTAACATTACAATTTCTTTCTTGATAAATTGTGTTCAGTATTACAGAGGCTCTGACTAATGATGGTCAGATGGAAAATCTATTTTATTTATAATTTCCATGTTTATTATGCACTTGGGGTGATTACTCATTATAAATCTATTCATTTTTTTTGTCCATTAGGGAAATCCAGGTCTATCTACGACTAAGTTTTTTCTTGAAGTAAGTTTCATTATACAGACTTGTTTCAAAGGCATATTGCTTTCACCTCTCTGGTTACGCTTGATAACCATAATTGCTAGTATAATTTTTCTTTATGTTTGGTTGACCAACTTACATTGAAATCTCCTAATCAATACATTTTTGTCAGGTGTTTCATGGGCTTTTTCAAGTTCTTCATAGAATTTATTGATTTCAATTTCATCTGCTTCTTCGGTTGGTGGTAACTTGATGAGTGATATGAGTGTTCTCCAAATTTCATGGAGAGGGCTACCCGTTCAGATATACCAGTGAACTCGATAATATTGGTTTGTGTTTACGACTGATAAGAAACCCAACTCCATATAATCCAGGTGTTTTCCATGTAACAGAGGATGTGTTCATGATGTTCTTCTATATTAGATCCCATTTTTCTGACTTCTGCTAATCCTAATACATCTATTTATATTTTTCAACGAGTGCACAAGTTCTATCAATTTTTTGTTGATCTAAAGTTCTCATTGTAAGTTCCAATTTTCAACACTCTTGTTTGTTTTTTGTTTGTTGTAGAGGGTTTTGGTCTGATTCCCACGGGGACCAGCCGGATTGGGGAATGATTTTCTAATGTTTTCTTATATTTTTTTTCTTGTTTATCCGGCTGTCGAATTCCTATGTTTGTTTTGATGTAGGGTAGGGTGTAAGAGATTTCTTCCTCGCTTCAAGTTGACCTGCTTGTTTTGTTGTTCTGTGGTTCAATTGTCTTTTGGGCGTATTTTGGTGGTGAAATTGACATAGAACGCTCGGTTTGCTTTCTCTTTGTTTGTATGCTATCCCGTTGAAGTTTGTCATATTTCATACTGCATCTTTCCCTTCTGTCTTTCTTCTATCAACTGTTGTTGGATTCCCTTCTTTTAGTTATACATTTTTAGGATAGTCTTTATTTAAATAGATTCCGGCAGCTTTTTCTTATTTTTATTGTTTTTTTTCCAAGCATGTAGAGAGATGATAACAGGTTTGTTTTTCTTATCTACCCCTTTTTCCTAGCGGTATATATTATTAGTTATCGAACTATTATTTTTGATGAATATTTAGTGACTATTTTATTTTTTTTGAAATCTCTTCCTTTTAAATCCAAAGGCTATAATATATTTTTGTTTTCGGTCTAAATTATCAATTTTCTGGTAGGTTCTTGTTTTGATTTAATCTTTCTTTACTAGAGTGTTTTCCTCCATTTTTGATAATTAAATTGATTGTTTTTGCATTTCTATTTTTCTAAGTTTAAGATTATGATCATTCTTTAGATCACGAATCGGAACTTGAGAGACATACTTAATGCTAATCATCCTTAGTAATCTCTACTCTGAATCTTAAGTCCTTATTCTAATTCATATCTCAAGTCACAATTTCTTGAGAACCGTCAAATATGTCAAACTTCATACAGAAAAAGTGGTTAGACTGCTCTTAAACCTAGATTTAAGTTTAATATACATTTTAGAATAGAGTGCAAAGCACTAGTTGTAGTACAAAAAGAAACAACTTGCAAAATCAATCTACAGTTTATATCTAGTTATATTTACTGAATGTGTTCTTATCATAAAAAATCTGTGTTTCTGATGATTTCTTAATTTGGGTTTAAATTTAATTAGGTATATTGGCTATGTTTAATATTATTAACAATATAAATATGATGCTGAATTTCAAGGTTAGGTTCAACCTTACCCTTAGAATAGATCTACACTAAAAAGGATACTTATATTAAAAAAAGCCATTTAAATGGTATATTAGTATACAGTATTAATCTTTAGAAAACTAAATTAAGCATTTCATGCAGATTATGAGTGAGGCTCGTCCTCAGTAGGCAAATGTTAGCCGGACTGAGTTAGCGGGTATGGTTTATACCCCTTCATATATTTCAAATGGAGTTTCAAGTTTGAAGTTTTGCCTCACGTAATTTGACGTTAGAGCCCGACTATTTAGTGAGGGCCGACTCCCACCAAAACCGGTTTTGGCACGAAAATTATTTGATCTGCAGCTAACTCAAATTTCCGTTCGTTGCAAATTTGCGGCCCACTCAGTCAGCCGCTAACTGTTTGCCTACTGGGGACGCAGCCTAATAAACTAATATCTATTGATTTATGAGAAAATTTATAATAAATTTGCAGCATTGTTAAACATTTTATGCCTTACAAATTAATACATATGAATTATATGGGATTATCAAAAATAATTGGTTTCTCATTATCTTGTTATGATTTAGTGATAGGCGGTTGGAGAAATATTTTATTTGGTGCATAATTGGTAATACTTTTTTCCAGACATGGTTGTAATATTCCTTGCAAAATCTGAACCCACCAAATGGTCCCACATGACTGAAATAGAGAAAAAATTTGAAGACAAACGTAGTAACCGTTTGAAGCCAGAACCAGTTGAAACTGATAATAAGGATCCTCAGGCATCTATTATGAGTCTTATGAAAAATATGTAAGTTTCCTTATTTTATACTTTGTACATTGACTGTGAACCAATAGATTTTTTTATATTTTTCTTGTTTGGAAAGGGGCATTAGAGTTCTACATATTATGTTCAATATATTTATGACTCAGTTGTTCAAATAAATCATTTTTAGAGGCCTTTGGTAAAAAATAGCAAATGTGTCATCCTTAATAATAGTTTCAACGTTATCAATATTTAAATTGAATAAATAAATTATACCACTCAATAAATTTTTCTTAACATTTTGTAAAACTTTCAGTAAAAAGATCTTTGTCTTTGATTGGTGTTGTCACTTATCAAACTAGGGATCTACTGTCTATGAATGAATAAAAACTTCAAACAATTTAAAGACAATGTAAGATTCAAAGCGTAGTGTATTAACAATTTTATACATAATTTTATTTTAATTTTTCAGGTATGAAACTGGGGATGATGAAATGAAGAAAATGATCACCAAAGCCTTCTATGAAGGGCAACAAAAAAATAAAACTAACACTTTAGATTTGTGAATTAGGTGTTAACTGGTATTTAGCTCTAAGTTAAATTGTAATCTTAAGTTTTGAAATAAAAACATATTTCAAATAACAGGTTTATTATTATTTTAGATACATTTTTTAATTTTACTAAATTTTATATTAACAATATCATTTTCCACGCCTGCATGTCTGTGTAGTTACTCAATTTTGTTTGCTGGTATAGGAAGCCACTGGAAATACCTAAAAATTAAGAAGTATTATAGACACCAATATAATAGTACAATTAGCTAGACAACGCACGATAATCATTTTTAATCCTACTTACCAGATTTTCCTCTTAGTAGAATCTGTTCTGTTCCAAACCTTGAAAACAATACTACAAATGTAAATAGCTTGAAGAGCGTAAAACGCGGCTTGCCATGTAAATGATGAGTTTTCTTCATTAACCATGTTACTCAATGTGTTCCTTGAATAATCAAAGTTCAGTTCGTATTCGCGTGTTCTTTTGTTTTTTCCCAACTGCTGCGTCAACCTTGGTTCCCTTATCTGACGTCTAATAACTGAGTGACTGATTCTTCCATTAGCACTAATATCGGTTGTTAATCTCTTGTCCACGTTTCTGTTCACATTTTGTCGCATCCTAGTATCCTCATCACTTTCACCTTTAGAGTTAGATCTTCGAATTTGGCTCTTATCAAAACTGGTGCGCCTCATCGAGTGAGTGTAGGTCCTTTGTTGTCGACGCTCAAAAGTTCTGTCATCACTACTCCTCTGATAATGCCTCTCTGTGTTATCTCTTAGTATTTCGGTGGATTCTCTGAATCTTTCAGCAGACCTTGTTCTATCTCGTCTGTTAATTGAACGAAGTCTTACGTCAGTGTTACGTTCGTTTATTCGGACATTCCTGTCCATACTGTTTCTAATCCTGTCAGATTCTCTGGTGTGTCGGAAAATGTTCCTTTCAGTTTCTCTCAAAGGTAAACGATGGTTATTATTAAGACGAGCATCACGTTCGTTAGGATGGGTATTTCGTACTTCTCGCCTTACTACAGTGTTTCTATTAATAGAATCTCTATAATACGAATTTGCAAGATCAATATTTGTTTTTATCATGCGTTGTCTAACTTGTACGTGTGTACGAGCGTCTTGGGCCATCTGAAGATTTCTTTCCCTAACAGTTGTTTCCCTATTATCTCGGACATTCATTATTTCTAAAGATCTGAGGAGACCTACGTCGAGTGAACGATGATTTTCATTTTCGCGAACATTGCGTTCATAATGTCGCACTTCAGTATCGCGTTCCATAGCATACATTGCTCTTGATGCCCCGGTATTAGCGAAACTTACTCTTTCAAATGATCGCGAAGACATATCTCGCACTCTGCTTATAGACCGTTCATTTAAGCGAAGCTCATATCTATTTAAATGTTCATTTTTGATTTCTGCTTCGCGCCTTACTGCAATAGTCTCCACTCGTTGGTAGTCATTTGAAATGCTTCGGGGTTTACGGATATCATGCCTCGATGGTGTGACTCTTTTCATTTGCCTTAACTCAACAGAAGGAGCTACACGGTCTCTTTGTTTATCTGATCTTGTGTCCTTATTTATAGTTTGCCTATTTTCTTTATTTATGCCAGCCCTATATTGAGGACCATTTATTTTTCTAATATTATCTACAGAATCGCGGAGCAGACTGGAACTATCCCTTTTTTCAATTTCTCTGTTTATCCTCGAAACCTGTTGACGATCTTCCAAAGATCTTATCATTCTATTTTTCGAATTACTCGATTCACAACGAACTTCTCGAGTGTTTTCCCTTCTAATTTCGTTAAATCTGTTCAAAGATGGCAAACGTTCCTTGATATCGCGCATTTGTCTAATATCTGATCTGGTACGCAAATTATTTGAATTACGAAGAGTACGGCGTTCATTGGCATCATCTACTCGTTCTGCAGACAATACGCGGTTCTTAACCAGTCTAGAATAATGTGTTTTTTCTGCTAGCCTCTGGCGAAAACTAAGACGATAATAATTGGTTTGAAAGCGACTTAAACCTTGATTATCATTTCTAGATTGATCAGTTCGAGTGTATGTTCTTGATTCGCGTCTGTTCTCCTGCAGTATTGGTATGTCTCGATATTTCTCTCTTACTGGTATTTCCGGGGACCCTTTTCGAAGTGGTAAGTTTCTTTGAGCAAGCGATCGAATATCCGGATGATAAGAACGCAGTGAGCGTTCACGAGAATATTCCCTTCCATCAACAAGACTTATGTCTGCTTTTATGGTGTTTAAAACACAAAGTAATACTAGAAGCGGAAAATTCCAGTTATACATAGTACTGCTATCCTCTTGTATTTATTATATTTTAGCTGTTGAACTGAGGGTTGTTGGTATCGAACTGACTTTGAAGCAGTCTCGCCGTCCTTTTATATCGTTTTGGTGGCTGTTTCGAATAAATTTGTATTAAACGCCAGAGTGAACCCAATTTCCATTATCCTACGCGAGAGCGACTCAAGCCCCGTCACATATTTTTCATTTTATCATTGAATGAATCTAAACGAATTTGTCGATACTATAATAAATTGTGTGTTACTCAGGAATAGTGTAGAATATCTTTTCGCATTGGAAAAGTACATAGTAAGTTTTTTCTTGATATGATGAAATAAACTCTGAAATTTTAATTTTATTACTATATAGTAAAGTATAAATTACTGGTTCTAGATGTAGCCTTATTTGGTACTTTGTATTATGGATAATACATCTAATTACTTTTGACATTCAGACTTTGCTCATCCTTCTGGTTTGTAAACCGGTTAATTACAGAAAAAAATATTTATGTACCTAAGAAAATTATGTATCTACCCACAAATTAATCGAAGTATCTAGCTATTGCATTACTTTTAACTAGACAATAAAAGGTTTTCTAATAACTTATCAGGCAGATATTAGTAAAATATATCGGTAAGTTGCAAAAATATCTAGGAAGAAATACAACTTATGTTGCTAGGTGTACCATTCACACGTTATCAGCGGGGTCCCAGCTGCACAAGAAAATTTGTCTCCGCGACCTATATTATCTGATTCAACTCATTGAAGCGTTTAATTAAACGGTTTACAGTAATTGGGTATAATTCACTAGATATAAATAAATCTTACTCATGTATGTGTATCCGCGTCTTATATATACATCTTACATCTTTTATATATTAGTATGTAGTGCAAAATACGTATTATTTTTACTAAAATTGTTAACCATATGGTTAAATACATGAATATTTATAAATTAAAATGTGTAAAAAGGCTCTGATTGGGATACCTATTAATTACTTATTATGTCCAAATAATATTTCTATAATTTTATAATAAAGCTCCCACAAGCTTCGTTTGGCCTAATATGATTTTATTACTTAGCCTTCCTTTTAAGTAGCTACATACCAACATATGGAAGATTTTGCTATGCTACCCGATAGAGATTAGCTTTTCCGGAATAAAAAGCCTAAGTACATATAGTACAGTAAATAAAACTAAATTCAGAAATTTTTCTCTCCATAGGCTTCCAGAGTTGAGGAACAAATAAAATTGTTACTCAAATTGGTCCAGACGTCTTCGAGATTGGCACTTAGCAATATATTTTGCGAATCTTTTTATTTTTACAGAAATTTTAGATATAGCATAAAACTCATCAGGCACCAAGATTTTACACTATAATCTGTCAACCTTAATAAATTTATGTACTGTGGTCATCATCTTATAAGCACATAATATTCTTATCTTATAATTTTTTTTTTAGATAACTTTTTAAAGACTGATAATTCAATATTTTAGGATGATAAAGAAAAGTCAAAATGGGCAACCAAAGGTTTATTTTATTTAAATCTTAATCCTAATTGTATCCGTAGGATTGCATGACGGCGGTGAAGGGTGCTGTCGTCTTTGCAACTTTTTCACCGGCCTCCTTAGTGATTTTCTGAAATAATAAAAATACATTAATTTCTTATTCCAATAAATAATACAATGTACATTATAATACAATCTTCAGTTAATATTTTTGTATCATAAACATCAAATAATGTAGGTAAAAAATCATCATCAAAAGCTTTTTTATTTTCCTCCTAATTAAATAACTATTGTATTTAATTTGTCAGGATAATGCAGTATTATTTTCCTCCTAATTTCAAGAATTCTACTCTCATTTTTTTTTAGTAATGTACAACAAAAGTACTGTAGCTGGTGATATGACCAGAACCAGTACCTACTGTTGTGTATACTCATCTATACCAAATTGTAACAACAGGAACTGTTCATACTTTCTTTATATTTAAAATACTTGGTGGAAACTACAGGGCAATTGCAAAACTTACTTTTACAAAACTTTAGTAATATATTTATTTATTATTTATTTTTAATATTACAAACCTTAAGTTTCCTCTCATATGCGATTTTGTGGATTGCCTTGAACTTTCTCTTGTCCTCTAGCTTGCGGACAACTCCGCGGTACTTCCATCCAACTTCATGTGACAGACGGCCAACATGACAGTACTAGTAAAAAAAGTTTTATCTTAATAACAATATTGTATACTTTATATACTATATATAAATGATCGGTCTATCAGAATTATTCAATAGCAACATATTAACATTCAGTCGCAAATTACCCAAAAATTAACATCATTGAAACTATATTATTCACTTCATGTATGATAATGTGGCCATGTTTTTATTTGGTAATAGGCTTGAACTGCTACTTAAATTGGATAAATTTGTTTAAAGAAAGATGCATTTTCAAAAGGACTTTCAGTCAAGATGAAATTATAATAGCTGTAAAGTTTCTTACCTTAATCAAAAATGTGTGCTAATTAGATTTTATTACTACTAGCTAATAGACTGAAAGATGTTTCTAAGATTAAGAAACTTACAGGAAATATAAAAAAATCCATAATTCTTAATGACTCTTGTAATAAGACTCAACCCTTCAAAGTTAAGTTAATAATAGTTGTTTGGTAAATGAAAGCATTATGCGAAAACAATCAACATCTACCTAAAATAAAGACTAGGCCCAAAATCATGTAACCATGAGGTTATTCATATTGACTGCTGTATTTTGGAGTTTTACAGTATTTTGGAGTGAAGCAGGTTAGATAAAAAATTTAGTACCAACCTTACGACCAGGTTTAAGACAGAATACTCTTAAAGCCGCAGGCACAACCACTCTGCGGCGGTTGTCATAAGGTGGGGGACAGCCGTCATATGAACGGAGTCTTCGGAGAGCATCCTTTCCACGTTCAGTCTTGTGAGGAATCATGCCTATAATAATTGCTTACTTTTAATAGTCCATTTTATGAAGAAATAATTGGTATTGATTGTTTGAGTATTTCATAGTAAAAGGTTTATCACAACAAATCAAATAATGTAGGTATATAAATAATCATAGAGTATTAAAGAAAACTAATCAAATGACACTGCATTTTTTTTTGTACAGTTAAAATAAGATTAAAAACTAAGATATATGTATTAAAGATTTAAGTCATACCTCTGACAGTTTTCCACAAGATCTTAGATGGTGCTCTGAAGTGGAAAGGACCCCGGGCTGGATTTACATTGCAGCGTTTGCGCAAAAATGACATAAACTTCAACTTATTCCTGAAATATTAATACTGAACCATTATAATCTTATTTTACAATATAATAATATCTACAAATAAAGCATTTATCAGACAAAATTATAATACAACATATTTACATTCAGTCGCAAATTACCCATTAAATAAACATCATTTCATTCTACTACATTAGAACATACAAGAAAATTACAATGTTAACTGTTCAAGCTCCCATGAGATCGGACACATTTTTCAACTGTAATAATAATTAAATAATTTGACAAAATTACTACTAAGTAATAAAAATGGCAACCTATAAACTTAGTAATGGCATTGCTCTCACCTGAAGAAGTTTCCTGAGATGTTGATTTGTTCACATCTTACAACAACAACTTTGTTTCCTTCGAGGAGGACCTTCGAAATTACTGCGGCCAAGCGACCGAGTAAATGGCCACGGCCATCAATAACTATGGCCTGAAAGGTAAATACAAAGGAACAATTGATGAGGGTAAAATCGGAACACACCTAACCTAAAAACTATACATGACAACAATAGCCACATTCACTAACTGAGCAGAAGAAATAGATTCTTCAGCGTGGGTTCGTAAAGTTTAAAGGGATATAAGTTAATTAAACGTTATAATGGATATTAAACACATAATAAGCTCTGGTTAGCAAGGACCACATACACGTGCACAACTAGCCGCAATGTATTCCACATTTCTCTAATAACGATGCTTAATAATATTATAATTTAAATTATAAACTTCTCAAACAGTTTATTAACAAAATTAGATAAATTATTACATTATTATACAGTTTTTAGGCTCACCTTATTGCTAAAGCCCGTCATTTTCACGACAACAAAACGGAAAAGGATAACTTTTTAAAACAAGATGGCTACCGGATCAATGGTTTTTAACAGTTGCCAGTAACAATATTGATATAAGTTATTAAAATTATACATAATAAAGTAATTTCATAAATATCATCAAAATGTGCTAATACAAGGGATTGGATGAATTCAATTCAATCTTTGTTATTTAATTAACAGCATCCTAAAATCACAACCGTCTGTTAGGTGATAATTATAGTTGAAACACGTTGGCCAAAAAATAAAAATCAATATTCTGTGGCAAGCCCCCCGTAAAAACTTCTATCGCATTTTAAAATTTCTACATATTTTGATATTTGTTGTCTGTTAAACTTGTCATATGTCTAGTTCAGAAAGTAAACATTATTAAAATAAAAAATAATGAGAAATGAGAATAATGTTTAATTTGTGTTTTATTAAGTAATGAGATATTTTTAAGTTTTCTTATTCATAACTGTTTCTGGATATTTTACACGACATTTAGGAGAAACCAATTGTTTTATAACACGTCAGTTTGTATTTCTGGTACTTATGTATAGGGTTTACTGAGGGATGAGCCTAATCAGTACCTAGAGACGAAAATAGACAATTTGCGTAATGGATATCCCTTACAGAAAGATTTTAATTTACATGTTAACGTTTGCTGCATATGCTTATACTGGTATAGGATCTACTATGCTTAGAAATCTTAAAGATGCAGTTTTATCAGCAGAATCAGTTTTCGGTGATGTGTTTAAAAATGTCATTACTGTAGCAGAAAAATTCAAGTCACTGCACGATATTTTTGATGCTGCTGTAGAAGAAGACTGTATATTTTTATGTCCTGGGGGTAAGTTTTGTCATATGTTAGATATATCTTTCCTTCAGGGGTTACACAATTTATTTATTTTAAAAATGATTTCTTTCAGGCAACAAGCCTGTTCGCAATAGAAATCATTCTCCAAAATCTGATGGCTGTGGCTCATTGGGGTTTGAGATATCTTCTGAGTATTTGCCACTTGAACAAATGACAAAATGTTGTGATGTACATGATATTTGTTACGATACATGTAATAGTGGAAAAGAAATCTGTGATTTGGAGTTTAAGAGATGTCTTTACAGTTACTGTGATACATATAAAAGTATTAATGTTGCTGCCGATGCAATTACAAAAGGTAAATAGCATATTCTTTAGACAAATACAAAAATTTTGGGCTAGTGTGTAGTATTACCATATTAGGATATTCCAATTATTTAAAATATCCTGCTTGTGATAAAGATTTAATCTTATAATTTCACACTCATTCATGCCCCTTATTTTTATGATTGAATCTGGATTTCAGATTGATGTGTGTATCTCTTGTGTACTTGTCTTTTTCCTAAGGCCAACCTAATGTGCCTGCAGGCCTTTATTCTACTTTGACCAAATGGTTAATATTTTAAAAGAAGCTGCATAGGCTAAATATCTAACATTTATTGTATAATGTAGTTAAAAGGATAACTAAATAACATACTCAACTAATTACGTTGAATTATCTGACACTTAAAAAATTAATCACTTGAATACTTTGTAACATTACTTTATTATAGCATATTTTGTTTTTTCATTTACAGGATGCAAGGGTGCTGCAAAGTTATTGTTTACTGGAACACTGACATTAGGCTGCAAATCATATTTAGATGCTCAAAACAAGGCCTGCTATTGTCCTCCAACAAAAAACAGAAATAAAAAATATGCAACAGGAAATGGGGACTTATGATATTTTTTTATCAGAGAAGTGTTTTCTTAGCCACAGAAGTACACAGTAGTCTAGATTATGATTATAAAACTAAGTAACATCTATTTCATTATAAGAAGTTTTTCTAATGTGGAGGAAATGGGTATATAAACAAAATAGCAGTATTTTTAAATTTATTTGTAAGGTTAGGTTTAATTTTAATTTTTGATATTTTAATGGCTGTGATATTGCTGCTTAATAAAAGAAATAATTTAAGCAGTAAGTTTATACAGCGCATGCTACAATTTGTTTTGTTATCATTGTTTACTAGTCATTATAGTATTTTATTTACCTGCCATGCCATTAATTGCACATTGTATTTGGAAAAATAATCTCATATTTTATTGTTGAAACTATGCACATGAAGGCAGCTAAAATAAGTTTGGTGCTCATTTACTGCATATAAAGAAAGAGATAGATACACCTTTTGAAAATAAAAATTTACATTTATATCAATTTTTATTTTAGCAATAAAAATTACATCTTACCCTTTTGGGTTTACATATTTTCTTAAAAATATTTATATGCTAAATTTTGAGTATAGGCCCCCTAGAAGTCACTGAAAATCATGAAAATTTAAAACACACAAGATATAGATTTCATCAATGACAAAGGCCATTATTAATAAATAAGATATTTTTACAAACTAATGGACGCAGTCAATGCATGTTATATCTTTACACAAGTCAAGCTTAAAAAAATAAATGTAAATAAATGCATTCAATAATATATTATTTACTTTGTTTGCTTTTACCATGTAAAAAATGATAAGGAATTGCGATTAAATATCTTTGAAAAAAAACCATGATTATGTTAAGAGCTCTTTGATTTCATCCTTTTCTGCCGCCTCAATATAAGGTGTGCCATCTGGTGCTTTTCCATTCTTGGAGGCCCCCTATAAGCATATTTTTTGTATAAAGACAAGTTTCTAGAAATTCACTTTTAGAATAATAATTATGATCATGTTCAACATGTTAATTAAGCAATTTTTTATACAGTGTTATTAAAGATATTTGATTCATATAATTAACTAGACATAATAGACATAACATTAACTTGAGAAGTAAATAGTTGAAGGACTTAACTACATAATATTTTTTATAGTAAAAATTTTCTTACATGTTTAAGCAGTGTTTTGACACAATCTGTGTGGCCTTCCCAAATAGCTGCTAAGATCACAGATATACCATGTTTATCTTCAACCTAAAAATAATAAAAGATTGCAAGAAATAGGTATTTATCTTTACTATTATAAATTTCCTTACGCATTTTGCCATACATTTGGATCAGCCCCTTTATCCAATAAGTAATTCAAAACAGCAGTTTGACCATAGTCTGCAGCATAATGAAGAGGAACTCTGCCATCAATGCGTGCATTGACATCAATTTTCTAGAAAATTTTACACATTAAGAAAATAAAGCAGCGGAACTTTAGTAATAGATGTTATAACAACTAAGCAAAATTAAAGCAAGCCGGACGACAATAAGTCCCAAGCAATTTTATGGTTGACGAGTTCGCGACATCTTACGTGCTTCTCCACGATGTCTTTGACTTGATCAATATCGCCATTTTTAATTCCCCAAACTAATTCGCTCATATTTATTTATTGAATATCGTAGTTATCAGTAAAAACAAGAATATAATTCCAAATTTCTCTTTTTCTTTTCTGAAAAATACAACAGATTATTTATTAGACTGACAAGTGATTAGTGACAATTAACTAGACAATCTTGCTATCGATTATAGAATATATATTATAATGTCTTAAGTGCCCTGTAAACGATCAAATTGTTTGTCAAATTTGTTTGCCAAACTTCACGTTTTCATCAAACAATAGCTTAAACGATTTAGATGTAGTAAATAATATTAATTTGCCGCATTTTCATGATTATGAATAATAATCATATAAAAATGTAGGACAGATATTTTTAATACTTGTTTTGCGCACACATTTTTTCGTCTGATTTTGTTAACTGAAGAAAGGACACAGCCCGGAGAATCCCTTACTTATCTTAAAATCCATTGTAAATATTATATTTATATGAAAAATAAGTCAACGAGTTTTCCGTTTTATTAAATAAACTTATGCTTGTATACTTTCAAAATAAGAAATCTTGACATTGTTATCGACCTTTGCGTGCTATTACTATGCAGTATGCATGTCGTTCACAATTGTTTTAAATAAATAAATTTTGTTGTTATCCATCAGTGAAAGAAGCACCATATTTATTCATTCAAGTAATGATTTATGACATTTATTAAATGCTTTTTGTGCGTGGAAAGTTATGTTTTGCTCTCCTTATTTCAGTAGTTTTATATATAAGGTAACGATATTCTAATTAGTCATATTATTATTAATTCATAGTAAATCATTATGGTTAGAAGTTCTATAAAAAAAAATACAAATTCTTTCAAGTCCCTGCTGAGTTCCCTACACTGCAGGGCCTAATTTTACAGTATTGCCATTGTATTCAATTCATTCTGGTTTTGTAGTTCTTACCTGTAGGTACGATAGAATTCAAAAGGTAAATGTAAATGGAGCTATATCACAGGGATCCTCTGTTACTATGGGAGTACCGCAAGGCTCCTACTCCTACTTGGTCCCTTCTTATTCCTCGTCTATATAAATGACCTACCATTTCTTGTAAAGGAGCTTTACGAGATAGTACTGTTTCGCTTTTATTTAAAGTGAAACGACAAAATCCATCACTTCATAACGTAAACAGTGCCATCTCCAGTGTAGTTCACTGGTTTAATAACTAAACGAAAAGAAGACAAAATGTGTTAAATTTGTAACTACAAATGTAAAAAGTAGTCATTCTCAAATAATAATTAAAGACGAGGAAATAGACTGTTGTGTTGTTTGTTGATAATGCGGTGTTCTTGGGAATTACTTTAGATAGCCGACACATAGAAGGTCTTTCGAATAGGCTAAGTTCCGCAGCGTTCGCAGTAAAAAGATACGCGATCTTACGGATGAGAACACAGCAAAGCTTGTTTAGTTTAGCTATTTTCATAGTATTATGTCATATGGTGTTATTTTGTGGGGTAATGCAGCTGACATTAAATCGATATTTGTAGTGCAAAAGCGGGCTGTAAGAGCGATCTGTGGGTTGTCCCCACGGGAGTCGGTCCGAAGCAAGTTTAAGGAATTACATATTTTGACTCTGGCAAGTCAATACATTTTTGAGAGTATTTTGTATGTGCGGAATAATATAGATATCTTTAAAAAGAATAGTAGCTTCCATAATTATAGTACTCGTAATAAAGACAAAATTAGCGCACCAACCAGAAGGCTGCATAAAACGAGTAATTCTTTCCAAGGCAATTGTATACGTTTTTTCAACAAAATCCCTAGTGAGATACAAGCGTTGTCAATAAATAAATTTAAATCGTACATTAAAGTAAAACTGCTTGCTAAGGCTTATTATAATATAAATGAATATTTAAACGATCCTAGTGCTTGGATATGAGTTGCTCCAGTATATATAGGTAACACGACTGAATCTCTCGGCTGCATTTCCAGACTCTGGGGTGATCGTCAACATCCACGACTGTTTTAATGTAAAGTGGGAGCAAACCGTGATCCATGTGGTATCCAATTATTTCAGTATTATTATTATTTTCTTATGTAGCCAAGTCCACATTTCAAGGATCGTCATGCTCGCTTAAATGTCATTGCTTGTGGCGGCGTCCATGCGTCGGGTTGTCTCTCTCCCTAAAATATGGCGAGGGGGCCGATGGCTGGCCATGCGTCATACTCGTGAACGGGTGCTACTTGTGGTGACTGGTCGTACTTGAATTCGTGTATGCGGTGATGTTAATTATTTCGGCTATGTGTTTGCGTGTTGTTCCCACGAGAATGTAAGTGCGTGCTCCTATTTCACCATGCCTCCTGCTGATAGAGGACAACTCTTTGTTTTTAATTTATGTTATTATTATTAATTACTTAAGATGTCATGTGGAACATGGTTTAATGGTTGCAGCTCCTTACAAACGTTGTGTAAAAAAAAAAAAACATTGCGATTAAAAATAGTGGCGGAGAGTTTATTGCCAGTTCTTCTCTTCCGTTCTACGCCCTTGATTTGAGAACTGGCACTAAATGTAAAATTAGAAGCATTTATATGTATTTCTTTACAGACATGTCATAAGTGTACAAAGTGTTACCAATATGATTAAATGATTTTTGAATTTGAATTTGTACCTGTAGGTAAGACGACTAAAACAAAACCTACTTACTACTACAGTAAGGCCGAGGCCTTACTTTTTTTATTTTTTTTATTTACTGTAGTAAGTCCTGTAGTACTATAGTAGAATATAACGAAATAGAATAGAATTAGTTAATCTTATTAAGTTAAGGAATATTTATTTTTATTAAAAGGAAATGCATAATGGATATTTAATTTCGTCTTAATAAGAAAAATTGGCAAGAATCTATAAGTATTAGAATATTTTATTCTATGGTGTACACAGATTTAGTATTCTGTGATATCGTTTAAATATTTAATATATGGTAGCCGTTACAGTTACATTTTGAAAATATTGTTTAATTTTATTATATACTTGTTAATAAATATAATGTTATATTAGTGATAGGAACTGCACATAAATCAATATTTTTAGATATAAAGAAGATGGAAAATTCGGAAAAAAGTCAACGCGATACCATAAAAATAACTTGGGTAAGTTTTGTTTTAGCAAGAATTAAAGATAATATGATGAAACGATATTATTGCTTATAATTATCAATATAGATATAAGGCTGAATTTTGGGTTTCAATTTGTTTTAATTAACCTTTTAATTTAATGTTTTCAGCGTCTTATCTTCAGGGAAATACAACCATTATTTAGAGAAATTGTGGAAAAGTTTGAGCTTTTACATAAATTTGATGAAAAAGAAAATGATGTTGTCGATAAAATGTGGAATGTGTACAAACTTTGCAATGATCAAATCAGGAAGTGTATTCTTATATTAATAGAAATGTTCAACCATAAAAAGGCTCACAATTATATTAATAAGGTTTGTTCTTGAACTGACTTGACTTGATTGGTAATGTGAATTTTTTATGCATTAGCTTTTACAGTTTTTTTTCGAAGATTAATGTTTCGAAAAACACATAGGTCATACATTTCTCGTTACTAGAAATTCCTTGTCTAGATATTTGTATAGATTTTTGTCCTGTACTGAGAATAATCTTTATAACAATAGGAATTTAAAAATACTAACTATACACCACAGTTTCACTTGCTTTAATTAATAATTCTGTGGTAGCATGATATTATAAAGTCATCAGTCAATTATAAAATCTAGATCTGGACACCCTTATTACCTATCAAACTATTATCATACCTATCTAATATGTAAAAAAATTAAATTAAAAATACAAGAAATAAAATTATATTTTCAAAGAAGTGCAATCACAGACACAGTCACAAAAGATTTTTTATGTTTATTTATGTATGAGACTACTGAGCCGCAGATGTATACATTGTGAAGCTATTAAATTGTCTATATGTTTCAGGAAAGCTTACAATGTATTCTGGAACGTCTATCTTGTTGCCATCAGAAGTTACAATCAATCAATTCACATGTAGATACACTATTTGGTACCAGTCATAGCATCACCGACGACTCCATAAATATCAACACTATGTATTTTGTTAATTGGATAGATCAGACATTTGATATTCTCAATAATCTTTCAAATACAGTTTATGAAACAGATTACAAAATCTCTGAGGAACATTACGAGCAATGGAAAGAAAATGTATGTGTTTGTATGTTGTATGTGTTGTGAGTGTTTTCATACTTTTCCATAAGTTGATTGTGGGTCATCTATTTGATACGGATCAATGAGTTGCAATAATTTTATACAGTAGTAATAAATGTTTGTTAGTAAAAGTCCGAACCATCACAGTCTAATGTAAAAAAACTGCTTACCTACATAACACTTATATAGAATATAAGTTTCTCAGGCCAACCATTAATAATGTAAATCACAAAGCTTATAATGTCATCTTCACTTGACATTTTTATTGAAGAAGGTTTTCCTCACAATAGATAGCTGTACTTGGTCTAATCTTTGAATCATTTTAATTGAAATATTAAGCACTAACAAAGCACTTGGAATTAAAATGAAATTTGAGAGGCCAATATAGGACTTTGAACATTATTTAGAACCTTGGTTAATTAATTTGCGGGCCTGCATTAATTTTAATATATTGTTTAATATATTGGTGATGAGTATTTTAAGATGTCATAGAAATAAATCATTATTTTTCAGCTTGTAATATGTGTTAGTGGAATTCATACATGTATAGATGAAATGTTGCTATCAGCTATGACTCTTTGTAAATACTGTCTGCCGATGGATCAGCATATTGTCAAGGCTCGATGTCAAGTGGTAAGTTAAATAAACATGTTAATTCTATTCAAGAATTACTTATAAATGAAATAACAATATCTTTTTACCATGACAACAAAAGAGAACTAAACATTGTGTAATGTGAATAAATTTGGGTTCATATCTGTTAAATTTTTATTGTATTTTATTCATAGATAATATTTTGTGTATGCCTTCATATTACATATACTCACATATAACAATAATGTTTCTCTATTTTATTATTAAAAAAAAAAAATTGGTTTGTTTAATTTCAGGTGCTAAGAGAAACAAAGGCCCTCTTATCTGACCTAATAAAAGGTGACTTAGATTCCGTATTTCATGCTTCCAAGGAGAATTTAATTCTGCCAATAAAACCGTCGAATATTAATGTACTAATAGATGTGTTAAAGGATGTTCTATATGTACTAGAAACAAACACAAACACAGCACTATTGGCGCTCCTCATCCATTGTTTCTCGTACAATATATGTCCGGTTGAGAAATTGAGAGACCATTTTGTTAACAAATGTGCCTGCAACGAAGAATGTGATTTTGTAAAGGAGTTTGATGTTTATAATGAACGGCTGATGCAAATTGGATCTTTTGCTATATCATGTTCGTCTGATGAAAATAGTATGTATAAATTGTACCATGACTTATAGTTTAACTAAGGTATATATTGATCCTATGTATGAACACTGACTGGCCTAGTGGCTTGAGCCTGCGAAGGTTGTGAGTTTGAATCAGGGCTGAGAACAGGATTTTTCCGTCTTTGTGCACATTTAGCACTCTAGCTCATACGATGAAAGAAAACATCGCAAGGAAACCCGAATTAGACTCAAAAATAGATACATGCACAATAGTACGATCACCTACTTGCTATTAAAAAAAATAGATACAAAAATTTTTAGATAGGGGTTGTAGCGCCAATATTTGTTTTAGCTTTTTGTATCATAAAGATTTTTATTTAATTTTCAGGAGTTCTAAGCCTTCGTAGTGGCTTAGCAAGTATAGAAGGCCTGGATTCACATTTAGTTCCCGCGGTGATGGTAGCACCGTTGAGCTATAACGCATCGTTATTGGTTAACATTTGGAAACGGGAAGTTGCTGATATAAGGGATCAGGTGTTTCTTATTGTTGATCCGACAGCTTTTGCGCAGGTATTCATTTTAATACTAAGATGTTTTAGTTGGTTAAAATCTTTTATTACTATTAATAGAAATCGGTACTAGGGTTGTCTGGAAAAGCGGAAAAGGCCGCTCGTTGTTTTCCAATCTTTAAGAGAACTAAAATCGTATTATATAATTTTCATATTTTATTTTTAATTTAACGTCCAAGAAACCTAATCTGAAATGTATGGCCGAAACAAAGGGATCGAGCCCCATATGTAATTTATTTTTACAATCCTTATCTATATCTTCTACGGACGGAAAATGACGTCACAAGTAAAATTTCGAATGTTGCCATTTACTAAGTGACGTCATAATTTTGAAGTTATACTTGTAGTAAAAATGATGAGAGTAAATTTTACGATGCGCGCGCATACCGTCACAAGAAACCGACACCCTGAAGTTAGCTATAGTCAACAGTTTAGTTTTTTCTACAAACGTAGAATAAAATTTTTGAAAAGATTTTTATCTTGTTACGCCAAAGAAGTATAACTTCTAAGTTTTTTAATTTTTAGAACTTAATCTATAAGATTGTTTTTAAATAACATAATATACTGAAAATATTTGTTGTAGATTATTAGTTTTCTACTAATTTAAAAAATGTGTTGCAATTATTATAATGAAGAAACGATTTTTTTAATAATCCTGCAATTTGACATATGACATCCCCTTATTATTTCAGAGAGCAAAGCAAATGATGCACAGTTCCTTACTTGAGATTATAAAAGATAAAGTTTACAACAACACTAAAGTGTGTGGTGTGATCAACACTGGTTGTGTGTTAAGTGATTTTTTTCACGTGTATCGAACCAACGAACCGGACGCTCTGACGCATCATGATAAGCTGCTACCATTGATAAGTGACTTGGATAAAGGTATCATTTAACTTATAAATTAATTTCATAAAAAGAAATTAATAAAAACTTTAAAATTGCAATATGTTATTAAAAATATATCAGTTATACCTGTATTAGTACGAGATCCGGCTGCAGGATTAGTGCGCTCATCTGTTATTTACTAAAAACCAAATTTTTATGTATATTCATAATTAGGAGAATGTATATCTACCAAGGTGCCTATCAAAATTTGGCCGCTAGTATTTTTAATGAAATTATTTTGAATTGTTTTTGGGAAAACTATTTCCTGAGGTCGTGCGTTCGGCTATGCACCAATGGATGTTGTGTGCGCATTAAACATTACGTACGGTAAACGCAATTATCGCGATACCTGCATGGCTTAGCCAAAAGTCGACGATGTGTAACATGCATAGAAGGAATCACCATTTCCTATTAGAAAAACCAAATGATCACGAAACAGATATAGAAATCTGAAGCCCAGACCTAAAAGTTGTGCCACTGGTTTTAATAAATCCTGTCATGTCTCGAATCCAAAAAAGTAGGCCAAATAAGAGGCTGAATTTGTGTATATAGATCAAAGAAACATGCAATCTAAGGTCATAATAGACTTTAGCCGGTAATATTATTAACGATTTCAAACAGGTGTTCGTTAGTGTATGTTGTAACGAAAAGATAAAGCTACGGTTTCCTAGAAAAGTCGTGCCGTTATCTAACGGCCGTAATGTAACGTTGGGTGACGTCACCCATACGTTGTCTAAATAACATCGGAGTAGGTTTTCTAGAGAACGTTGAGAGACCGTAACGTCAAATAGCAGTGCTGTCATTTGCATGACGGCCGTCATAGCGGTGATAAACAGTAGTTCAACGTTTTTCGCGTGTAGCGGTGCGCATATTTAATTAATACAATGACTTGAACGAGCGAAAATGATGAACAATTAATTTATTTTGTTAAAAATCATGAAGCTTTGTACAATATCAAATCCAAAGAGTACAGACAAGCTCAGATGAAGCAAAATTTGTGGAACGAAATTTCACTTTTTTTCGTCTTCTGATGACTCTTCATCATCCAAAAATACTAATAATGCTATGTCCAAATCGTCCATTCACGACCTAACTCTCGAGTGAGTACTGAGAGACTACTATTGAATACGGTCACACTACTTTCAAGGAAACCACAGCTTGGCCACCGTAAAGACGGTCGTAAGTTAACGGCACCGCTTTTCTAGGAAACCGTAGCTATATTGCTCTGAATTTTAATAGTTAACCCGTCGTGCGTTGGAATGTCGGCTTATAAAACATATCATTAACACTTCATATTATCACATTCACTTCTTCTTAACACATAATGCTAATTAATAATATTAAATTCCAGTGATTCCAGAATGCAAAATTGTCAGTAATATGTTGGCAACACACGACGACTTTAAATACAAAACGAAAATCACAGACTCAAAAGCGACTTTCGAACAATTAATTAAAAGATTAAAACTCCTCTATACAATAGTGAACAAAATAAATTGTCTATTATCACCCGAAGAAGATATTTTTGAGGAATCGATTAAAAATGAGACTTTCTCAGTGGCTAAGACAATGAATAAGAAAACGATGAATTTGACTAAAATGTTTCGGACGAATGTTAAGTCGTCTACGGCGAAGTTTCCTTTGGCGGTTTTGACTAAAAATTTCAAGGCGAAGACGGAACTGAGTTTTTCATTGAAATTGGATGAAATATGTGATATTTCGGATATAAAGGTGAGTTTTTGAAGTTATACTTCTTTAGGCGCGTTATGAAAAATTGATGAGAGTGAAATTTTACGCGCACACCGTGACACAAAATTAACAGAATGAAGTTGCCCGCAAAAGATGCTACGGCATTGGCCATAATTTAAAAACAACATTCGAATAATAATAGAATTTATATTACACTTAATGTAAGAGAATAATAATAAATATTTGTTTATTTAATTTTTCAAATGTAAAGTAAACTTTATTATACTATAATGACTCCTTTTCCAGTCTTTGAGTATTTAATTTTAATTAATTATTTGCTGCATGCAAATAATTAATTAAAATCAAAAACTATTTTTAATAATGCCAAAGAAGTATAACTTCTTACGCGCGTACATAAGTACACGCACCCTTTTTTTCATGCAAAGAAATGTAAAAATGTCTTATTGAGCGCTGTCAAATGTGTCAAACTTCATATAGATTGTTTGACAGCTCTATAGATAGAAGTTTGATTGACGTTCTAGAATACAGATAACAAAATTCGTAACTTATTGAAATAATAATTAGTCCGAGGCGAAATCTAAAACGTTTTTGACATACGGAATTCTTACAGTAAAGTACAGTAAATACATATTTTAGAAGATGATCCACACAAATGTATAGTAATTAATGATTTATTGTTAAAGGGCCGAAACACGTCGATTTTATATTCGCCGATGAAAAAGGGCTCATTACGAAAAGCTTTATTGAGTCGATGTATGAAAGTGGAAAATGTAGCACATCCTAATGAGGATGAAGAAGACGAAATGCTCAGCTTGCAAATAACGGGTAATTATTTTCACCAAAACTCTTGCATATGGAAATTGTTAATCTATGGTTAAAAAATCTAAATCTAATATACAAAATTCTCGTGTCACAATGTTCGTTCCCATAGTCCTCCGAAACGGCTCTACCGATTCTTATGAAATTTTTTACGCATATTCAGTAAGTTAGAGAATCCGACAACATCTATTTTTCAACCCCTAAATTTTTATTTTTTAGACAAAACTTATGTTTTTATTTTTTTATGATACATACAAAAATACACACAACGCTTTATTGTCACTCCTCTACGATCAACCCCTATTTCTTATGATAGTAGATATTTTTATTAAACTAAAAAAAAAATCCTAGAAATGACATGGCAAAACAACGTTTTCAGGCGTCGGGACGTGACGACCCCATCGCCCACTGGTGAAATAACCTGTGACAGAGGTTATTTCATCAGCGCAATCAGTCAACCCCTTCCTAGTGGGAGTGCCATGCTGTTGCCTTCGGGCTTCAGCCAAATGGGCAGGCACGACCGGGGCAGTACCACTGTCTCTCAGAAAACCGGCGTGAAGTGATGCAAAAGGTTCGCCTTCTTGTACTCGCGTTTCGTGCGGTGAGAGAGATTCCCGGAGCCCATCCCCCCCCACACAAGAAATATGAAGGTGCAGAAAAAACAGAATCTACCCCAGGGGGGTACCACACGCGCTCGCAGTGGAGAATCCCCCTCTGGGCGTCCACCACCGGGACACTCAGCACCCGGTGGTGGACGCACAGGCTGCCCTTCGTATTCTGGGGGGGGCAATTCTGCGCTCTACAAAAATAGTAATCGTCCTCGGGGCAAACGGAGCAATTATACAAAGGCACCCCCGTCCACACTCGCCGTGGACTTCACAAATGTTAGGGGGCTTAATTCTAACATCAACGCTGTCCACTATCATCTAGAGACTGCGAAGCCGGCCTTGCTCTTTCTTACCGAGACTCAGATATCCTCCCCGGCTGATACTTCCCACCTATCCTACCCGGGGTACAAATTGGAACATTCATTTGTGCCGCGGGCTGGAGTTTGCGTGTACGTCAGAGAGGATATCTGTTCTCGTCGCCTCGGGACGCTTGAAGGAAGGGACCTATCTAACCTCTGGCTGCGCGTAGACTGCGATGACCATCCGCGATTCTACGCATGCCTGTATAGGTCCCATAGCGGAAATACCGAAACTGACCGACTCATTGAGCACATCCAAATGGCTACAGATTCCCTGCTCGAAAGGGTTCCTACCGCTGAAATCGTGATACTTGGCGATTTTAACGCCCACCATGTCGATTGGCTCGGCTCTGAAACCACCGATCACGCGGGAAGATCCTTTCACGACTTTGCTTTAGCCTACGACCTGACACAAATGGTCCCTGCGATTACGCGAATACCAGATGTGGATGGTCATAAACCCTCTTTGTTGGACCTTCTGCTGACTTCTCATCCGGAGAACTATCAAGTCTCTGTTGACCCGCCATTGGGTTCATCAGATCATTGTGTGGTCCGGAGTACTGTGCCATCTACGCGCCCTTCACGGCCCCGCTTTATGGGTTGTCGCCGTATTTGGCACTATAAGTCAGCAGATTGGGACGGGATGCGGTCTTTCTTTGCGTCCTACCCTTGGGGGCCTATGTGCTTTTCGCCGGAAGCTCCAGATTCCGTCGCCGCCTCTGTCGCCGAAGTGGTTCTGCAGGGCATGGAACTCTTTATTCCATTTTCTGCGGTGCCGATCGGTGGCAAGTCTCAGCCCTGGTTTAAACGTTCTTGCAAGGCGGCCTCGCGTCGAAAGCGAGAATGCTTTAAAGGCATGGGCGGAAGCGGCGAAATCTCGTGATGCCAATACCAGCGAACTTAAAAAAGCATATAACTCAGCCTCCAGGTCCTTCAAACGGGAAATCACTAAGGCAAAGTCAGAGCACATTGCCAGATTTGGCGAGAGATTGGCCCAACTCCCATCAGGGACTCGAGCCTTCTGGTCTCTCGCCAAAGCTGTCCAAGGGAATTTTTGTCAGCCCGCCATTCCGCCACTGCTCAGGGAGGATGACTCTCTGGCCCACACTGCGAAGGAGAAGGCTGACCTTTTGGGCTGTCTCTTCGCGTCTAACTCGACTTTGGATGACCGAGGGAGATCACCACCGACCATTTCGCGGTGTGATTCTTCGATGCCGGAAATCACATTCCGGCAACGTGCTGTCCGCAAAGCACTATCTTCCTTGGACATTCATAAGTCGAGCGGGCCGGATGGTATCCCCCCAATTGTGCTGCGTACTTGTGCTCCTGAGTTGGCTCCGGTCTTAACGCGCCTTTTCCGGTACCTGTACTCGCTCGGCACTGTCCCGAAGTGCTGGAAGACCGCTTTGATACATCCGATCCCTAAAAAAGGCGATCGGTCTGATCCGTCCAACTATCGCCCAATAGCTATAACCTCCTTGTTCTCCAAAATAATGGAATCCATTGTTAATTGCCAGCTCTTGAGGTATCTAGAGGGCCACCAGCTGATTAGCGATTATCAGTACGGCTTTCGTCGTGGTCGTTCGGCTGGTGACCTTCTTGTATACCTTACTCATAGATGGGCAGAGGCAATTGAGTCCAAGGGGGAGGCGCTAGCGGTTAGTTTGGACATAGCGAAAGCCTTCGATCGGGTGTGGCACAGAGCACTGCTCTCGAAGCTTCCAGCCTATGGGCTTCCCGAGAAATTACGCAATTGGATCTCCAGCTTCCTGGCCGATCGGAGCATCAAGGTCGTCATCGACGGAGCATGTTCCGACCTAAAACCCGTAAACGCTGGGGTCCCACAAGGCTGTGTTCTATCCCCGACCCTATTTCTTCTGCATATCAATGATATGTTGAAACTTAGCAACATTCATTGCTATGCGGATGACAGTACTGGGGATACTTTTTACACTGGCCGGGCAGGTATTTCTCGGGCAGTTGTTGATGAGTACCGGAACAAACTTGTGTCTGAAGTTGAAACTCTACTTCGTGGAGTCTCAGATTGGGGCAGACAAAACCTAGTCCAATTTAACCCCAAGAAGACACAAGTTTGCGCGTTTTCCGCTAAAAAAACACCCTTTGTCGCTACTCCTCTTTTCGAAAACACTCTTCTTAAAGCCACAGCCAGCATTGGAATACTTGGCGTTGACATATCGAGCGACGTTCAGTTTCGCGGTCACTTGGAGGGAAAGGCTAAATTAGCCTCCAAAAAGCTTGGTGTGCTCAGCAAGGCGAGACGGTACTTCACTCCGGGCCACCGCATGCAACTATATAAAGCGCAAATTCGGCCCCACATGGAGTACTGCTCTCACCTCTGGGCGGGGGCTCCCCAGTACCAGCTCCTTCCACTTGACCGTATACAACGCAGAGCGGTTCGAATCGTTGACGACCAATCCCTCTCCGAGCGGCTTGATCCTTTGGCGTTGCGTAGAGATGTGGGGTCACTCTGCATCTTCTACCGCATTTACCATGGAGAGTGTTCAGAGGAGTTGTTCGGATTAATACCTGCAGCTGAGTTTCATCATCGGACGTCGAGGCAGAATACGAAATTCCACCCGTATCACCTCGACGTCCGACGTTCCACAACTGAGCGTTTCTCAAGGCAGTTTTTGCCGCGCACCACCACTATGTGGAACCAGCTGCCCACTGAAGTATTCCCGAACCAATTCGACTTAGGGTCCTTCAAGAAAAGAGCGTACCAATTTTTAAAAGGCCGGCAACGCACTCGCGAGCCCTCTGGCATTGAGAGTGTCCATGGGCGGCGGTATCACTTAACATCAGGTGAGCCTCCTGCCCGTTTGCCCCCGTTCTATAAAAAAAAAAAAAAAAAACGTTAGCCAGGTCAGCTAGTTTATTCATAAAGGTAACTTAATGTAAGCTTATGAACGTCACTCAAAATGTTTATAAATTTAAATTTAGTGCCAGTTATCAATCGAGAAAAGGAGACGTTAAGTAACGAAGTTGCAGACTACATTTGAAAAATACCATTATAAAAAATCTATGTTACTATTTGTGTTCATACCCAAAAAGATACTGAAAATTTTTATTTCTACGACCATTTTTTTTTGCTTCATGTGAAATACCAATTTATTAATTCACCGTAACTACTTTTTCTCTTTTTAATAATAAACAAAATTCACGACTTCATTGAAGTTTGTGTTATTTGCCTTAGTGATTCCATAATAAAATGATTTAAAATTATCACACAGATCATGAAATATTGACATTTCAGTGGTAATGAATAAGTAAATTCGCGGGAAAATAAGATTAAATTAAAATTTACAGATGTTTCACATGTCAAGACATTAATTCTGTATCAATATACTTTATGGCGTTGTAATGTTTATTTAATTTGTATGTAAGAGCAGTAAATAATAATTGTTTCTAAATTATTTTCAGAATTAAAAAAGTAAAAATAATCACATGGATAAACTTATTAGGAAAAAAAATTGCATAATTTTTTACACTATATATGAACAGTTCAATTAATTTTAGATTTCTTAAATTTTCAGATGTTTTAAACGACTTAAACAATTTGACAAAATCAAGACGAATGATGAACGTAACGTATAACGATAATGATTTAACGAATGATCTAAAATTATCAGTTAACGAAACAGTTACGAATATAACGTATGAAATGGACGAGCCGTCGAATATAGGAACTCTGGAAAGGATTAATGATCTGAAATTGGTGACTAGTAGACTGAGTGACTTAAAATCCGCACAAGAGACCAGCCTTTAACTTATTGATATTCAAATTGTCATAAGAAACTAAGGGAGACGCTTTTACACGTTATTAGCAATCTTTTAAATAACGGAGCTGAATAGTTGTATAAGAAATATATTTTTTAATTTAACAAAGTACAGTTATAGTCCTTTTCACGAAAGAAGTCCCCCAGACGCGGCGCTGCAATCGCATGACGTAATGTTGCCATTTATGAGTAAAAATTTTACCTATTTTATTTACATTTAGCAGATGTAATTTATCAAATAATACTATTTTCTGCGTACTTCGATGAAACAATATATCTGTTATGTAAAAAGTATATTTTTATTTACTTATATTGCGGTGTTCTACCTACTTACAGGGAAAAAGATAAGAAAATAGGGTAAAGAAAAGCAATACAATTGTTTATTCAGAGTTTTATTGCATAATTGTGATCAACGGCCATAGGGACATCACTGTCCGAAAAGTGTATTGAAACAGAATCAGATTCTGTTTCAGTATCACTAGCAGTTGATATAATTATTCGGTCCATCACTTCATCCATAAGGCCGTCATTTTTTAAATATTCCTCCTCTAAATGTTCGACATGCGAGCACTGAGCTGTCCAATCTTCAGCCGTAATAGACTCAAAGGCCTCTTTAGTTAATTTTAATATTTCTTTTGGGATCTTGTGCCACGTTCTTATCCGCCACCTTTCTTTTTACAAGGCTCCAGATATTCTCAATCGGGGGTTGAGGTCACAATGGTAGGCGGCACCTTAATACTTCGTGTCCGTGAGCTGTTAATAATTCATCCACTGCAAATATCGGTGGACCTTTATTTTGTTTGATTAGCTCATACAGCACAACTTTTGTCCAGGTGTCTTCAAAATATATACCCTTTTGCCGGAGCCACTCTTGCATACTACTTTTTATATTTGACATAGAAGGGGCTTTGTTTAATTGAGTGCAATGGTAATGAACGTTATCCATAACCGCCTAAAGCGACCTTTCAGGTAGATTAGCCAGGTCATCTAGTTTTTTCATCAACCTATTTTAATGAAATTTGCTGAAGTTCACGTCAAAATCGTTTTAATCTGAACTTTGATTGCGATTTGAACATTAAAAAGGCACCATTTAGAATCCATCTTTTGTTCCCGCATGAGCGATTATCCAGCGACTCCTGAAGATTCTGAGACGTACATTCTGGCTCCTCCTCACTCGCAACAACGTTTTGTATGATAAGCAAATTCTACGACCATTTTTTTTAGCTTCATCTGTAAGCCAATTTATATTACCGTAACTGCTTTCGTTTTTCCAACAGAATTCCGATTTATTGAAGTATTTTATTCAAATTTGCTTGTATGCCATAATGTAATGTTTTAGAGTTATCACACAGTATCATGAAATGGATTGACATTTCTGGTAATTGAAAAATTCTATTTAATATCCTGGGCAAATAGTTACCTTATAATTGATGGGTCCTCTCGTCAGAGCTGCCCGTAATTTAACCAATGTAGGTAAGTCTTAACTACGACTTGTAAGAAACTGTTACAATTTTTGCCGGATAGCGCACAAATCGAACCCGTCTAAGTCGAACTTTTCGGATGCACACGTAAGGCGACTCTTCACTAGGGTTACAATGTTTTACATGTCAAGTACACTCCGCTGTATCAATATCTTTATGGCGTTTGTAATGTTTGATTCAATTTGTCTGTCACACCTGTAAATAATAATTGTTTCTAAATTATGTTCAGAATTTAAAAAAGTAATAATAATCACATTTATAAACTACTTAGGTAATATATGCTTTAATTTTTACAGTATACGCTAGTTCCATTACTTTTTGTATTTGTTCAATTTTCAGATGTTTTAAACGAATTTATCAATTATCACAAAATCCAGACGAATACGTAGCTAAACAAATTTTTAACGAATGAACTCTAAAATTATCAGTTCATGGCGGCACTTTCGAACAGTTTACTGTATATAACGTCTTTATTCGTCCGCTCAACATAGGAACTCTTTCACCTTTAATATTAATTCTGATCTGAAATTTTGACTTTTGGCACTGTAGTCACTTAAAATGCACTAGAGATAGCCTTTAACTTATTCACATTCAAATTGTCACAACAAACTAAGTGATAACATTTACGACGAATTAGCAACATTTAAATAACGGAGCTGTCAAAGTTAGTTACCAAAAATATCCGCGGGATTTTTTAATTTAACAAAGTACAGTTACATTCATCTAACCTAAATGTTTACCGTCAAACGCGCAAATACGCGACCACAGATATGTAGAATTGTATTACGCCATAGACAATAGATATTGAGCTCTTCCTATTATTGTTTATTTTTGCTAGATGCAAAATTTATTTAGTCGAGATTTGTATAATCTGTGGCATATTCAAATCTTTGATATTCAGTTTAAGAATTGCGTCACTACTCACTACAGAATCATTTGGCGTTCTTAATTCAAATATGAGATATATAAATTATCGATTCAATAATGTACTAAATAAATTCCGTCTTTAAATAAAAATATTTTTCTGTTAATGTGATTAAATATTTTTGCAAATATGGCGTTTCTATTATTAATTTCATATATATATATAAGTATGACTTAGTATATAAATACTCCATTAAATATCTTTACCGTATATTGAAAACGTATAGCATTTGAGACACAGCAGTCAAACATTGTGTTAAGTCTCGTTCCCTAAAATAGTTATCCATTTTCGCCTAGTCGTATAAAATATTAATATCGCGACAGAATGTTCCCAGTGCGACCAATCAGCGCTGATTTATAACGCGAGTGTAAGTTTCGATCGACCTTTTGGTGCTTACGTAAAAACTACGAAGTTCGTTGGGTATAAATTCGTAACTAATGGGGTGTAGGACAGACAATATATGGCGTCTGCTGTTTATGCCAATCAATGTGATACGTTTTGCCCGACATCGAACCAAGAGAACTGTGAAGATACATATATGAAAACTAATTTGCGGATATTAATTTACAAGTACGGTTCTTGGGTCGACGCGATGCTGTAATAATAGAGAATATAATTTTCAATCTATATTATATGTTATAATCACGTACAACAAAATAATAAATTTAAATTTAAGCTAAAGTAAATACCATGATGAACAGTGTTGGCCAAGTGGCTTCGTGCGACTCTCATCCCAGAGGTCGTAGGTTCGATCCCCGGCTGTGTACCAATGGAATTTCTTGCTATGTGCGCATTTAACATTCGCTCGAACGGTGAAGGAAAACATTGTGAGAAAACCGACATATCTTAGACCCAAAAAGTCGACAGTGTGTGTCAGGCACTGGAGGCTGATCACCTACTTGCCTATTAAAAAACTTGTATTTTGGTTGATTAACGACGTTTAATGAATAAATATACTTTGTTATAAACTATATAATATGTTTTTGTGTACGACTGTTTATTTTTTGAATATGAAGTTGGCGACACTGCTGTTGTATTGAGTGCCAGTATTTTGCTGACCACAACTGTCACATCTATGTAAAAATAAAAAATAAAATCTATCGTTTTATCCCTTTAAATAGTTTTATTTAAGTGCTAACAAAATCTATACAAAAGCTCTTTTATACCAGCGTAATCTCAAGAATATATAAATAACGAAAATTAATTTTTAAATTGCTTATAAAACTTTACCCAGAAGCTACGCAATAAATTGTAGTCTATTTTAAACTATGTCTAATGGTCGTTTAGATTGCTCACCTTCAGACTTCAAGTGTTTCGACAACAAAGTGAGTACGTCCACAGGCTCATAATGGAAACTTTATAAGGTGAAAGGTACTCGACATTGGATTGTTTAATGATAAATAATAATAATAAAGCCACTTTAATTCCATAGTGTTACAAAAATTACATATGAAATGGGATTGGGGATGAACATCGTATCACCTCGACGTGCGCCGTTTCACAAATGAGCGTCTTTCAAGGCAGTTTTTGCCGCGTACCACCACCATGTGGAACCAGCTGCCTACTGAAGTATTTTCGAACCAATTAGACTTAGGGTCCTTCAAGAAAAGAGCGTACCACCTTCAAGAAAAGACCGGCAACGCACTCCCAAGCCCTCTGGCATGGAGAGTATCGATCGGCGGCGGTATCACTTAACATCAGATGAGCCTCTCCTGCCCGGACGCTGGACAGTGCGAGTCGAATACACAGCAAAAAGTTCAATTGTCCGGAACCTACAATTTCATAATCTCCCAGCAATATGTGCCTTCCGTTTCGTTATTCGTTATCCTTAAACCAAATTTGATCAAAGCTAAATCCCTACGAAGGGTATGACACCCTTAAACATATATACTACCTCTCGAACTTACCCAGGGGTCTTCGGGCCTGTACGCGGTTAGACTTCTAGGCTGGAGGAAACTCATAAAATCCTCCACACTATTGAAAAAGCTTTTTAAACTAAAGGTTGCTTTCCTATCAACTATATTTTAATTATTATTCGAGACCATTTAAGGTGGAAACATCGCGGATCTACACAAAATAAATCTAATGGTATTAACTGGTGACCTTTTAAACTCAATTAATTTATCTATCCCTTAGGACTCTGGAAGCTTTTAATACTCTTGATTGGCTTTCTCTTAGACATTCCTGTAACCTTGTAAAAGCATTAATTATTGAAAGATGGCGTTTCTGCATACGGGGTTAGAGAGGTTCCTCCCAGTGTTTAGACTCGCTTAAATTACAGTAGATCTACTGAAAAAATTGTACGATACGATCTGATTTGTATATACTACTATAAATTTGATACAATGGAAACTATACCTGTGAATCTTTATACTAACATATGATTACCTTACCTAGCGGTAATTACGACATACTTATATAACTTGACTTGAGAAAAGCACCAGTGGGATCACCGATACTATCTACCAGGCGCCAACTTAAATCGTTAATTAGCGCCTGTGCACTTGAACGGCGCAAGTCTCTACTCCAAAGGAAACAAAATCAAAGTTGGAAGAGAGAATCTTATATTTGTCATAGCTTATTGCTATTACTTAACAGCAATAAACTTTATATTTATGACAGGAATATTATTAATACATAAATCAAATGTATTCATTATGTAAATAACTTAATCACCATTCCATCAGTATTTTCTTATGACGTTGTCACGTTCAACTATCGTCAGTAAACCGACTTTACAGATAACCGATTTTTTTACAACACTCAAGTGCGTCATATTGAATACGGTAGCATTATATTGAATCCACCTATATTAGTATCTACAGGATTCTCTCATACCCGTGCCATCAGCATATCAGAAAATTGGAAATGATATCACTGAACGATCGGAGATTTACCGGCGTTATGTTCCTATACAAACTGTTAAATGGTCAAAACAAAATAATAACATTGTCATCCCTTATTCATTTCATTACATTGTTTAAAGTCAACATAAACTTCTAAATTCCCTCTGTTAAAATATGGGAGTTCTCTCATCTATCATTTGAATACGACAGAATGAACGTTACACATTCATAGCTTTCGTAGTGTCCTGATCAATTTTAAAAGAAGCGTGGTTACTTTGCGAATATTTAAATACGAATAATTATTAACTTGTTTTGGAAATAAAATATTTTTAATTTCTTTATTTTTTAATGTCCACCGTATCTAGTTGTTGTTGAATATTAGAACATTAGATTGTAACTTGATCTGAAGAACATTTTATTTTATGTGATATGGTGGTCTTTAATAAATAAATAAGTAATGTGTACTGATGTTAATCACTAAAAATCCTTTTAATATGTATTAATAATTTATTGTAACATTGTAGTCTAGTCGACAAGTTGAAAATGGTACAAAATAGAGATACTGCTCTTAAAATTATGTGCGATAGCTCATTGGATCCGGAATGACGTCTAGAAAATGTGCCAAAAATTAAAGATAAAAAAATGCCATTAGTTTTTAAAAAAAACTAAAAAAAACTCCTCGACTAAACTATTTATTAGGAAGCGCACATGATTTTTTGGGTGCGCGCGTGGCGTCAAAAGCGTTTACGGCACGTTAATTTATTTATTTAAGTATTGAATATTTTTTTAGCTACGCAAAAAAAATTTAAAGGGGGGGTTTTTTTTTTTTTTCCCTTTTTCCCCTTATCGACTAAACTATTGGACGAAAATGAGTTGAAAAGGTATTTTACGCGTTTCGATATTAGTTAAAATTCTGTATTTTTCAGTATATACAGTTATTTTAGCTGGCAACACTGGTATTTTCCTGGAAGTACTAACTACTAGCTCCTCCCATGGGTGCCACGCATGCGTGTAAATTCGCAAAACTCATATAAAAGCGACGCTACCAATTTTTAGTAGCATTCCCGCCAAGAATCCAAAGAGTTAGCAAGAAAATATCGACATTGAAAAGTTTAGTTTAGTGTCTGTGGATTTTTAGTTCTGTGAGTATATTTTGCCTTTTGTTCAGTGCGCCATAGATATAATTTAGTCAATTTTAATAGAACAAGTTTCAAGCGACAAATTGTATGGTAAATGATACTCAGACGTTAATATTCTTATAAAGCGAATAAAAGTTTTAGTTTAGCATTACTTTGAAAAGTGTAAATTTAAAAAACTTTTAAGTTACGAAAATACATTAATAAATACGTACGTTGCTCATACTTATTGTGGGACATAGGTAAACGGTTTATACGGCGGAAAAGAATGTTGTAATAATTGTTTTAAAAATTTGAATAAATTAATAAAAAAAATATAAAATTATTTTTTGAGAACTAAGTTAGGGTAACAGTTTTGAATACCATCGCACTTTTTTGATGATACTAATTATTTAGGAGTCTCGGAGGACCTTCATTTGAACACCTCCAAGTGAGTTTTGCTCCGGAAACGCGTCAAAAATTTTATAAAGATTTATAAAGTAAACTTTGCACTGTAAAACTAATTACCGCTAGTCTAGCATAAACCACATTCAAAATGGCCGATTAAGTTTATAAAATTAATAGGGATGTGAAAAATAATCGATTTTTTTAAAAGTGAAAACGATTTTTGTATTCGATTTTAATATTAAAAATAATTGAAAATTCGGCGACCAAATATTCATATACTAACTCTAACCTAACCAATCTAAATAATATTTGTTTTTGTGGACAGCTCCGATCTAAATAGTAATTGTTTATTCAAGCCTCGGCTTCTCGCCTGGTCCTTCGGCGACCAAATATTCATATACTAACTCTAACCTAACCAATCTAAAAAATTTTTTTTTTTGTGGACAGCTCCGATCTAAATAGTAATTGTTTATTCAAGCCTCGGCTTCTGGGTCCTGGGCCTTGGCGACCAAATATTCATATACTAACTCTAACCTAACCAATCTAAATAATATTTTTTTTGTGGACAGCTCCGATCTAAATAGTAATTGTTATTCAAGCCTGGTTAGTTGGTCGCCTTCGGCGACCAAATATTCATATACTAACTCTAACCTAACCAATCTAAATAAATTTTTTTTTTTGTGGACAGCTCCGATCTAAATAGTAATTGTTTATTCAAGCCTCGGCTTCTCGGCGACCAAATATTCATATACTAACTCTAACCTAACCAATCTAAAAAATTTTTTTGTGGACAGCTCGATCTAAATAGAATTTTATTCAATTTTACGCGGGGTGGGGGGGGTGCTCTTCCTCCGCGCCTCCGTATTATATACACTCTAGGGTAAGATAAGAAAAGACCCCGGGGAAGTGGGGTGCGCTGATTCGGTTTTGGGTACTTTTTGAATTAAAGTAACACTTTATTCTAGTAAAAATTAGATAATATAGAAAGTTGCAAACAATGAAATACAAGTACTAATTAGAAAATACAGACGAGTAGGTATCGATAATTTCAAAAATTTCGGAACCCTATAATCTATCAACACGAAATTAGGTTAATTTCAATGTTGATTATTCTATAACTTTAAATTTCAAAAATGAGGAAATAATCGATAAATAAATAAAACGATTATTAACAATCGATAAATTAAAAACACGATTTTTTTAAGTGAACGTCACATCACTTAAACCAATAGAAAAGTAGAAAATGGCGGATTGTTTACAAATTTTAATACATTACACAAAACTTTAAATTTTTTTAAAAATATTTAGACGCGTTTCCGGAGCAAACTATTGAGGTTTCAATAAGGTCCCCGACACCTCCTAGATAATTAATATCGTCAAAAATGCGGTGGTATTTAAAAAAACTGAATTATAAAAATGCATTTATGACTCCCTAACCATCAACTTTACGTAAATAAAATAGCAGGCGTAACCTTTACTCTTTACACATATAAGCTACGACCGAAAGCTCGTGTAACTGCAGGTAATTGAATCTGCCAAGTTTGTCCCCCTTTCGACAGGCTATTTATTATCTTGAGGAAGAGGGATTATCACTACATAAGAATTTAAATAATTAGATTGAAAATGCTTATGCAATAAAATATAATAGAATCTTATGGACACTTTATATTTAGTCCCCATTGACAATATATAATCTAATATAAAAAAAAAAATTGGTGATTTGCAATCTTTACATATTTTTGAATCAATCAAAAGTAGTTACATTTGCTACTCACTTCTAAAGTCGAGCAGGTTTAAATTAATATTTTACATGCGCGGAAATTAATTGTTATTTCTGTTGCTTTACCGAAGAAAGGAAATAAACAGAAATTGCACCAATTCTTTTTTACTGTCCAGAGAAACGACAGAAGAATTAATTATTGGTCACCCACCTTTTTTTTTAAAAAACATATTTTTTAAAATTGTTTGTAGGATGAGATTTGGCAAGCGGATCAACATGAAGAACCCTCGTCCTTTTTTTCTATTTACATTTACAGTTGTTTTCGCTATCTCAACTTATATAACTGAGGTAAAGTTTCATCTATATCTAGTCTATTGTTTTTAATTTAAAAAAATATTTATTAGTTAATTATTTTAGGTCCAATGTCTCCCAACTGAAAGCTCTTCCAATCCCTGGCCAACATTCCCTCGCAGAAATGTACAAGCACTCGCTAGAGATGGCTATCTTAGAAGTATCTCTCCCGATTACAAGAGAAGCATTTCTACATTAGCTAAAAACGGAATGCTTCCTACATTCAGAGCACCATACAGTGACACTGACCAACAGAACCAAGAGGATGATGAGGTCCATGAGAAACGGAACCTTGCTTCTCTTGCCCGGCTCCGAAGCTATACCACTATGAAGAGAAACATCCAAGCATTAGCTCGAGACGGCTTCCGTTTTGGAAGAGGACAGTACAGCCAACCAAATGACAAACGCAACGTAGCAGCATTAGCAAGAAACGGCCTACTTCACAAACGTGATGAATTAGCCGGAGATGAATACTACTTCCCATTTTACCAGAACCCAGTACCACCTCTCTCAGAAGTCGAGGGTCCTTACGATTTTAACGAAATATATGATTACCAACAGTCTCTTAATCCCGAAATGTACGCGCCGTTGCAGCAAATATCCAAGCGAAGTGACGTTGGATTGGCGCCCACTGATAGTATGAACAGATTGGATAGTGATGCAAATTGGTACTACAAAAGGGGAGTTGTAGGAATGCCAGTACATGGCCTTTACAGACCTGTATTCATCGACACCAACGGTACTCCACGTAACAAGAGATCCATATATTCGATCCCAGATGTTATCGATCACAATGATATTCCTGATTACGAATCTGAAAATGATGATAAGCGATCAGTCGGTGAGTTTTTTTCCTTCACTAATTGGACAACGTATTAATGATTTTAACGAATGGTTACTGTTACAGATGAAGAGATGCTTAACAATTTCGAAAAGCGCCATATTGGTTCGCTTGCTCGATTAGGTTGGTTACCGTCCTTTAGATATTCCGGAGGACGGTACAGTAGGTCCGGCCGCGCTAGGTTTCTGATTCCGAGTCAAATGGAAAGGTGTGATTTATCGGTGTTTTGTCGGGAATATTGATGTTAGGATTAGTGTCGGCTTTGAATGTGCACACACTGAGAATAATAAATTGACAGCATGATCGCTGCTGAATTAGTAAAAAGTGAACAATTAGAAATGTGAATTTGAAGAACCGACTTCAATGCTTCAATCTTCACAATGAATGTGTACAAAACAATTTGAGTAAATTTTTGGATTTATAGATAAATTTGAAGTCGGTAACAAATTAATTGTTTAGTGATTAGATTTATAAATGTTAGTTTAGCGAGGTTGGAGCATGAGATGGATGTGTATTAGAGCTTTGAACATTCTCCTTTCAAAGGTGTCTTGTTTGTGAGTGTTTAGTCGACTGATAAATTAGTTTCAAACTTTTGCTAAGTGGCCTTCTTTTGCAGGAAGCATACCTATGACGAGAATTTCGGGACTGGGTGAGTCAAATATAAAAATAAGCACCAATTAAACTTTTTGAAGATATACTTCTTTAGGCGCGTTATATAAAAATTGATGAGAGTGAAATTTTACGATGCGCGCGCACCGTGACACAAAATTAACAGAATGAAGTTGCCCACGGAAGATGCTACGGCATTGGACATAATTTAAAAACAACATTCGAATACTAATGTAGTTTATGTTACACTAAATGTAAGAGAATAATAATAAATATTTATTTATTTAATTTTTCAAATATAAACTGAACTTTATTGACTATAATGACTCCTTCTCCAGTCTTTGATTATTTAATTGTAATTTAATATTTGCATGCAATCTAAAACTATTTTATATATTACGCGCGTACATAAGTACACGCACCCTTTTTTTTAAATTAATAAAAATAAGTGGTTTTTAATATTAAACAGCTAAAAATATTTTAAACGCTATTGTCAGAAACTTTAGTGCAAATCAAGGACAAGCTAGTATTCAATACTTACTTAACTGTTAACTTACGTTTTTCAAACACTTATAAATTATGTATTCTATTAAAGTCTGATCTTTGTATAAAATTATTATAGTAAAATCATTTGTCACTTTTAATTATTATGAAATGGAAGTGATTAGGATAAAACATCCATTATTTTAAATATTGAGGGTTATAGCGTTTAGGACAATAGACAATAGATACTTCTTAAGTACAGCTTTATAAGTGAATCTTTTTTTATTATAGGCAATATCTCTCTGATTCCGATGCTGACACACTCGTCGATTCAAACAACTCCGACTTACCGCCGCCGCCAGTATCTGCTCACACGCACCCGACCGGCCGGTACCTCCACAGAACGCTAAACGATATTCCCAACGATATTTCTTCCTCAACCACATCCAAACAAGACGACCCGTTTGTCAAAAACCGCTGGCACAACAAGGCCCTCCCCAAGTTCTATTACTTCCGGTCACTCAAAGTCCCGTACCACACATCCGGAAAACGTTATCTGGACATTCCAGCCCTTGACAATTTACTTCTAAAGAAAACCTACAACAATAGTCTGCCAAGCCGACGTAAAAATCAGTAGCTATGCCACTGTCCGTTGGGTGAAGCTAAAGTGCGAAATTAATCTATTTTCTATCGAAAATCAGCTTTTGCCATCATTCAAGCTTTAATCTTCACACCACCGGATTGTTTGGGCATATATCAATAACTTATGCAGGGATCATGGATCTTGTAGACAATAATCTATATTATATTTATTTTAACAATGTTGTGATTACAATATATTTTTTAAACATATTGCTAGCGGTTCCTATCGGGTATCTTCTACAAAACGACTTCGGCCAGCACATGATTTAAAAGATTTTAATATAAGATAGGTTACTGTTGTCAATCGCAAATATTAATTCAATTAAGTAGATAGATAACTAAATTCTTAAATATTAATAAAAGTATAAGAAAAATGTGTTAATGAAATATTTTTATGTCAAATGGTCTCTTTAATGACTAGAGTTAGCTGTGTTTGACAAATAAAATCCTCTGAAATGCTTTAACTATTTTAAATCTTCTGACAATAAATGAATTATGCGACCACAAAGATAATAATCTTAATATCTCGTCTCTTCTAAATTTACATATCTAGTCCGTATTTTATTGTACTTTAGATTTTACTATGTATAATATTTTTATTGTAAATAAAATAACGATCAAAATTTGTGTCTTATTTCAAATATATTTGCCAAACTGTTTTAATTATACATTGCTTTGGTTTCAATTAATAAGCAGAGAACGGATTTCGTCAAAAATCAAGCCACGGCTAACCTGGAATTAGAAAAAAACACACTTAACTTACAAATTTAATTTAATTTTCATACAAATTCGTTATTTTAACGGAGTTGGAAATTAAAAGTAAGTATTTTCCGTTAAAATCTTGTAAGAGGTAATCTTTAGAAATTCTGAAACGTCTATAACGAAAGTTATTGGATATTTCTATATACAAAAACTTAATTTTGACTAAATATTTCACATTTGATAAACTATGTTTACCATATTTTACGTGCTGTTTTCGGAGCAGTTCCTGTTGGGGGTAGAGGAACAAAGACCTCCATTGCAGTTGGGAAGAAGTACCCCGCAATTGGTTGTGATGCTCACGTTATTTGGTAAACACAACCTTGCATTACTACAGTCGGCACATGAGAGTCCAGGCTGAAAATGTTAATTGCTTAAAATCGTTCAAAAGGAGGTCATCAATTTGCGCTGTAACCCTATCCTCAGTATAAGAGGGTGTCAGAACGATGTAAGGCCGGCAACTCACTCGCGAGCCGTCTGGAATTGAGAGTCCACGGGCGACGGTATCACTAACATTTGCATGTGTTTTAAATCTGTACGACGTCCTGGTGGACAGAAAAACTGTGTCCAGTTAATTTTTAAACTATTGTAAACTTCTTCCTTTCTGATTATGTATACAGTAAATAAAAAAAATATAAAAAGTGCAGACAGAAAGACCATCTCTTGAGTGATCCCAGTTAATGAAAGTCCACCCAAGTTCTACTTCGCTAATTCATCCTTGAAGCTCTTCAATGACCCACGACGTGATAAATTGTATCTTTAGTATATCAGTTCTCATGTAAGTGACTATTGTGTGTTATGAGAATAAGGGTCTGTTTCACAATGTATGGATAAAGTACCAAATAGCTATGCAACACATAAATTATTTGGAAGATAAATTGTGCTATTCGACATTTCATCGGACTCATAACTTATGATGCACTTTATGTGACGAATAGCGCTATCTGACAGTCGTGAAACGCAACAATAGTGTTTATCCTACCAATAAGTAATAAATAGCTAATTTGGAACGTATGTTCCAACTTATCCGTACATTGTGAAACAGACCCTAAATGTCTTTAAACCCAAATAAATGTAGGCACCTTGACAGTTACGGTAACAAACTAAACGAATATATGACATACTAAAATATCTTTTTTAGACAAACTTACTTCAGAATTATAATTGCAGGAACCTAAATTTGGTAGAAAAGGAAGAGATGGCAGCGATCTTTCCAATCTTTCCTCGTGATGTAAGATGTCCTGTGCCCGTTGAATTCCGATACTAATTGAGCTTGGCCACCGGAATCGTCTCTCTTCAGTATCCTCTCCATCTTCAGCCAGAATCATGTGAACTGCAAGCTTTGATTAAAACTACCTTTACATTTTGTATTCTACATACATATGAGACAGAATTATTAGACTTTTACATTTATAATGATCAAATTATCTAGTCGTTCTTGGCTTTGCACGCATTGAAGTTGTTCGAATCCCGGTTGTGCATCAATTATATTTTTACGTAAGTTATTAATTAATAATTAATTGATACTTGCTGGAAAACTCATAAAACGTACACACGTTTTATTATAAATACTTTTAATAACCCAAAATAATATTTTCACTTGAAATCGTCGCCCGGAGCAGTTAACCACGAAATCTATTCAGACAAGAATTCTACTATTCAGTGGTACGTATATTAACGATAATTTTGGACAAGTTTTGGTGAGTTTATGCAACTGTTGCATAGTGAGTGCACACACGAGTTTACATACACTAAAATCGATTTTTTAAATTGCTAATAAGAGCGAAATTGCAATATACCACAGACCATATAAATTGCGCGCTTAAACTATAATTAAACCTCCTCGGATCATAATTTCTTTAATCTATAGTTTATTGATATTCTTTATTATTATTTAGATAAACACACTAGCAGCTTAATAAGCTGATGTGCGCATATTTGCGGAAATTATCTAACCGGTTTTTAAAATAGTTCAAAGAGGGTGCACTAATTTCACTTTCTTCACTACGCGGCTTTGGAGAAAGTTCTTTAGGGAATTTGTACGTAATTTTGACACTCGTTATTCAAATACGATACATGAGATAAAATAGATGTCTTACCAGAGCAGTTGTTAACACAACGAAATATATTTTGTTATGAGCCATTTCACAACCGTCTAATTAATTATATTTAAGAAAGGCGAGATGGCGTATATATACAACCGTTAAATAATGGAACCCATTATGAAACGGATCGTGCTATATGCTTATAATAAGTAAATGTATTTTACCTTTGTAATGTAAATTTACGTAGAACCCAATAAAATCTTAGAAGTCTGTTTGTATAAATTTTGCAGGAAATTAAACTTACTTGATTGATACTTATTTTAAGTTTTACTTAAGACTATAGGGTGGGTACATTAAAAAATTAATAATTGTATTAGTTATAGTAATATTTTTATTAACGCCTCTACATTAATAACTACAGCACAATATATATATAAATATATATATATTACACTTCTAAATATTTTATGTTCTGCAGACAACTATGTAATGATGCTGACCAACACCTGAAAAATATAATAGTATTTTTACTTATTATACTAGAAAATAGTGCGTACCCAGGCTATAGTTAAGAAAAATTTAATTCAGAAGTTTTCGAAATCTTAAAAATATTGGTTTTATTTAATTGCTATTTCATTGAAAAGCGTCCGTAAAAGGACCGTCTTCTATAACTTACACTAGTATTTTTATATATTTAGCTACTTGTATATATTTAAAGACTAGATGAAAAACACAGACGAACAAGTTTTTGATGGATTATTTATTTTTTAGTTAAATTCCATAGTCAGATTATAAACCTTCAAATAATAACTATTGGAAGACACAGAAACTTGCTATAGATAATTATTTTTATTGATATAAAACCATAAATCAAGCTACTTTCATAAAATCAACAAAAAACCTTTTGCTACCTATCAATCTTATAAAGTATATTTTTAAATCATAGTATAATACCACCATACGCTTCATTATGAAACTCGACAAAAATTGTTCACTGTCCATTTTTCAGTTGTTGTGTTTGTTGGGTATTCACTATTTACAAGATGTATATTATTTATAATTATATATAATATGAATTACTAAAACAAATCATAAGTAACTTCTTAAATTGCTTTAAACGAGAAATTTTATAATTTACTAGCTGTCCCGGCTGTTGACTTCGTTTTGCCATGTATTAGTTCAATAAAAATAAATGTCTACTATAATAAAAAATAGGGGTTGATCTTAGAGGGCTGAAAATTAAAGGTTGTATATATTTTTGTATGCTGTATGATAAAAAATAAAAACAAAAAGTTGGGCTAAAAAATAAAAAAATAAACCCTTAACATTTAGGGGGATGAAAAATAGATGTTGTCCGTTTCCCAGACATACTGAATATGCATAAAAAATTTCATAAGAATCGGTAGAGCCGTTTCGGAGGAGTATGGGAACGAACATTGTGACACGGGAATTTTATATATTAAAGGTTTAACTGGACCTCGTCAAATAAACTTGTCGTATTGGCTGGGTAACAAAGTAGCTATCGTTTCATAAATGAGTTTTATTTAAATGTACTGGAGAGCAAAGGTGTTATGTCACCAAGTGGTGCTAAAAGATATGTATAATATAACTGTTTCGTGATTATATGTTGGTTTTCTAATAGGCAATAGGATTAGTGACACACGCCGATAACTTTTTGGATCTAAGGCATGCCGGTTTCCTCACAATGTTTACTTCACTGAGCGAGTGCTAAAAGTGCACATATACAGAAGTCCATTGGTGCATAGCCGGATTTCGAATCTACGACCTCTGAGTCTTGCGCCGAAGCCACTAGGCCAACACTCTGTATAGCTGTCATTACTGAAGTAAAAATTACCTTTTCGATGTATTTCATTCCATATTACAATTTTTCTTCTGATGTGAGACAATTAGAATTGCGGCAGCAAAGTCCATAGTCACAGAACGGTCTGTCAATGGTGCAGTCAAAAATATACTTTAGATTGTTCTTACTACAGAATTGTCGAAATGTAGAGTTAAAGCACGCCCAGCCAGGCTGAAAATAATTGGGTGAACTGAATAATTGCAATAATGGGTCACACATTTAGTTACTTACCGAAATTTTATTATTCTACATACGTTTAGTTAAAAATTATCAATGAAATTAACGTAAAGATTTACGATTCAAGCTTGTTTCGAGAGTTAGCTTTCAATAATGGCAGGTGTTAATTAACAAATAATTAGCTGTTATAATATAATATAAAATAAAAATTCAAAGCAAACCAGCCAGCTCATGAAATATCTCTTCCGTGGAGCGATTGATCAGAATCGATCCGAAAAAAAGTCAATAGTAATGCTGCAATTACAGAGCCGCGAGATACGCCTTTTCGTATGACGTAGAAACTAAAAAACGTAGAAAAGAAAAAAAATGTGTAATCGTTTAGTTTTTTGTTTTTATTTCACACCATGGCCATAAAACCCTTTCAGAATTTTCTAAAAAAATGCCATACTTATGAAATAAATAGCAAAGTAAAAAAGTCACCTCGTTGTTATAATCACAGCTGCCTTGTGGAGTCAAAATATGAATTTGCTGTTCCCTGATCCCGTTCCTGGAGCGGTTTTTGGAAATAGAGCCCCACCAATGACTTCTGCTGCCTTGGGCGTCATTGTCTTGAGCGGATATTAAATGAGCTGCAAGCTGAATTAAAATATTTAAGGTGCTACACCTTTTATTAGCAATTCCAGAAAAATTAAAACAAAATCTAGATTTAGTTGTATAAACGTAACACACAAAATGTTTTTGCTGTTGTAATAATATCTATCGTGTAGTTATGATAATGGTTTTCCTTGGCTTTTCAAAATTTAAACAAATCAGAGACTAATAAAAACCCAATTAATAAAAAACCTCTGGTTGCCATGCCATTTTTTTCTAATAAAATAAAATTACAGGCAGTACCAAATCACTGGTAAAAAGTTATACTTAAGAGGATGACAAAAATAATACCATTGCAGAAAACAGCAGAATGCACAAGTTTCCAGTGGCCATATTGCAATTTCAACATTTAGTCTGTGGATTATTTACAGACTGTGGACTTTTATATTTATAGTTTGCTGAGATAACCATTTTATGCAGAGGGAATATTTAATTTATAATTAGGGTTGAGCTTGGAATAAAATTATATTTATTAAGTCAACCTGGTAAATGGAATTGCTGTGCACATCCTAAGAGTATTAAGGTATATTTGTGATATAAGAATGCATAATTATAACAATAGTATAATTGTTTTCACAATACACAGAAGGAAAGGCACTAAGCAGGTATTTAAGAAATTATATTTAATTAATAAGGTTGTAATCGTATTTTCAGTCATAGTCAACAAATGATGTCAAATGTCAACTAACTTGCCTGGAATGAAATGAATTTCATCATGCCTCCTGCTGATAGAGGACAAATCCTTGTTTTTAATTTATTTTATGGTGTAATGATTGCAGCTCCTTACAAACGTTGTGTAAAACAAAAAACTTGATGAAAAAGAGTGGTGGAGAGTTTATTGCCAGTTCTTCTCTTCCGTTCTACTTCTTTTTTGACGTTTATAAGTGTACATTGTGTTACCTACATGAATAAATGATTTTTGACTTTTTAATTTTGAAGGGAAGATCCTCGAACTACTGATTATGTACTATATAACTTCTATATCTGCTGCAGTTGAATACACTTCGATATGACGATTGGGTAAGACGTCATTGTACTGATCTTAGCCACAGATTATATATATATTGCTACACGCTTAAAGGGGAAAGGATAATTCGTTAATTCGAAACACGTTTTTGTGATATATTTTTGAATTATTTTTAATTCGGTTGTAAAATTGAAAAGAAATGTTTTATATAGTTTTATAAAACTGAACCTTTCATTTGTATTACGACAATTAAAACAAGGCTGCTAATAACTTGTGCATTGTAAATAAATCATCAGCCCCGGCTTCAGAGGCGCACCTGGCAATAGAGACTTAATAGAGAGATATAATAAAATAAAAAAACGTGTGGCACTCGGGGACTGCCGCGGTAAAGCTATTGCATAATTTTTTTTTCAACTTATGCAATTATAATTATTTATTTATGCATTTTTTTTTAAATTTAATTCAAATGTTTTTTCTTTGATAAATTAATTCAATCTACCACTCTACCAGACTCAGACTAACTCGCCGATATAGTCTGTCTCACTCTAACCTAACTCTCACCGATCTCGTCAGTGAGATGTAAATACGCAGTATGCATTCTGTCCCGCTCTAACGCGCAAGGTTTTTTCGTTACGGAATTTCTGGATTCGGTCTCCACGCTCGAGGCCCGCGATAGAAGCTATGCAATAGCTAAATAATTAAATAATCTACAATTGGTTTCACATAAATTCATTTATTATTTATTGAAAAACTCGACTGAAAAAAAAATTTTTGGAAAATATTTGAGCCCACTCCTCGCCTCAAATTATTTTCCGGGGCCTCCTGACCTCTTAGACTCAACTCAAGTATATAAATTAATAATAAAGCATTTTTTCTATGAGTCCTAGAGAGAGAATGACTGAGAAATGAATTTTCGTTACAAGATATCTATTTACCAACCCTATTCTGTTTATTTACCAATTACCTGGTCATAACCATCTAACATAGATAAAGCACATATAAACCTTCTGACTATTCAGTGTTATTGTCAGTATTTTATTGTATGTAAATCAGGATAAATATATAAGAAAAGAATATTATATTTTATAAGATATATAAATTCATTATTATTTTAAATTTATTACAAGAGACGATGGCAAGAGACCGGATAGTATGAGTTTGATTCCATGGAAGATGGGCCGGGTGCTGGTATGGGATGCAAACTGTTCAGACACACCGGCCTCTTCCCATCTACTTGGAACCAACAACAACAGAGCTGGTGCGCCTTGTGATGGGGCTGTAAAAGCTAAAGCCTGCAAATACGGTGGTCTAGGCTCCGAATATGATTTTGTTCCATTCGGTTTCGAAACCCTTGGTCCGGGGTCCTAGCGCTATAAGGCTTTTTAAGGAAATATCAAAAAGGTTAGTCGAAATCACAAGAGACTGAAGAGCTGGCAGCTACTTCGGACAAAGAAATAGTCTAGCGATTCAAAGGGGGAACGCTGCCAGTATCTTCGGAACCTTGCCTAAAGGGACTCCTTTTAATTATATATTTTAGTTATTATATTTTAAGGTTAGTTATTGTTTTTATTATTTTTCTCTTTTGTGCATTTGTGTGTTGCAAATAAAGAAATACATATATGTAGATGTCTTGCGGGACCTTGATTGGAGCACCTCCAAGTGATTTTCGCTGCCGGAGTTGCGTCTAAGTATTTATAAGATATATGTTCTTAACCAACAGATAAAAAGAACTAGTCTCATATTAGACAAATTCTTACAGATTGTCGAGGAGATTACGAAATTCCACCCGTATCACCTCGACGTCCGCCGTTCCAAAACTGAGCGCTTTTTAAGGCACTGTTTGCACCTTGCACCACGACAATGTGGAACTAGACTATACTTAGGGAGAGTACCAATTCCAAAAAAGACCGGTAATTTGCGAGCTTTCTGTATAATGTCGATGGTCGACGGTATTGGTTAACATCAGATGAGCCTCTTGCCCGTTTGACCCCTGTTCTATATAAAAAGGACTCGATCGAAGTGATTTCTCAAGATTTTGATACAATTTTAATTAATTTTAAATAATAATTATACGACATACAAAACATATTCTGCTTACACTTGCGGGGTCGGTAGTGAAGAATATAGTATGTCTTTAATGCTCAATACTAAGTAATGTTTCTAGGAGAGTAGTTAGCCTTTTAGACATGTGAATTTCCTCACAAGCAAATTAGTTAAAAGCACAATTTGCTAGCGCGTGACTGGTGTCAATAGAAATTAGGCGAAATGACCAGTGTGAAAATTGATTTCAATAACTTTTCGATGTTATGTTCATTATATTCACAATAGCCATGATAGTAGATTTATTGAATGTGTAAATAGTTAATTGTTGCAACCACCATTATTGTTGCAATTCTTATGTTCTAATTTTGAATGGTTTTTACTATAAGTGATAAGTACTAAAGTACTCATCTATCTCTTTTCATCACCGGTTAAGAACAATTTAATAGAAAGAGATGAAAGCGTATTTTATTTATACATTATATATGTTTGTCTGAGATAAGGTCATCTTATTAAAACGAATAAAACAACAAAATCATTATCAGTGTTGTTTCGGGGTGGATATGAATAAAAATGCAACAGTAATTCGCAGAAATTATATTTCAAATAAGTTAGCCAGATAAGTGAGTTTTACAGGAAGAAAGTATACAAATCCATAACAAATAATCTGGTCAAGCAACGTGCCGAAACTTATCAATATGTTTAGCCAGCAGCTGTAGCGTTTAAGCATTGTGCTCCAGGGACGAGCGAACATCTACCACTGTTGCAGTACAGCAAGCAACGCCTCTGTCTGCCAATGTTGCCTGAGCCGCATGACAGCGCTTGATAACAGCCCACGCAGGACAAGCCAGGCTGAAAAAAAGTTTAACAATCAAGCGTTTAAATATCGAATTTCAGCTTTTCCCATTCGTGTGAGACTTTGTATCACCTCAGTGATTTTTCTTACGCGGCCTGTCAGTGAATCCGTTAGAATAATTCTAAGGTGGCTATGGAACATCACACACTCCAGATACGTACGTCAGGGTGTGTATGTGGGGTGTGTTCATAATGCAGGTGATTTACCGCTATTGATAGTGGCGTAACAATAGGGTGGCAGGGCTGGAAAAATGCCACGGGCCACCGACCTAAGAGGGCCCCTGCCCAGGAGCTATTATGTTCTATGGATGAATGTGAAGTCTCTAATACGCATTGGGCTAGCGTGGTACAGACCATTCCCTCTCGCCTAAGAGAGTAGGCCTATGGCCATTAGTGCGACATATACAACGTGTAATTGAGTACGCTGAAAATGCCGAAATTTATTAATATTAAACTGAGTACAACGTGACGATTTTTACTGATAGTGCCAAAGAATTTGCCATGGGACCCAGGTGGTATAGTTACGCCACTGGGTATGGATATTCTTAATACAAGTCAAAGTTTAAATAGTGGTCGTTGTGGCCGGGCTGCGCGATACAAAACTAACTTTTTGCATAGTTGGTGTTGAGGAACGTGAAACAAAGCATGTTTACGAGTCTGGTAAGCAGGAACATGGATGAAAAACAGAAACAAAGCCTTTAGAAAAGATCGATTTAACCCATGCAGTAATGATGTTAGAGTGAGATGCAATGATTTTTTTTAAAGAAATCTTTTTACGATTGTTTTTGTATTAAGGGCATTCATAAATAGATTTTTAATCTAAAACGATAGAAACTATACAGATATACATTCGTGTCCACATCATGTAACTTATTTTCACATTAAAAAAAATCAGTGGCACTACAACCTCTTTAGGTGTGGGCCTCAGATTTCAGAATCTGTTTCATGATCATTTTTAAATCTAATAGGCAATTAGGTGATCAGCCTGTGCCTGACACACGCCGTCAACTTTTGGGTCTAAGATATGTCGGTTTCCTCATGATGTTTTCCTTCACCGTTCGAGCAAATGTTAAATGCGCACATAGAAAGAAAGTACATTGCGACCTCAGGTATGAGAGTCGCACGCTGAAGCCACTAGTCCAACTCTGCTCTTCACATTAATCAATGTAAAAGTAATTTTAAATAGTTAGTCAATAGTTGTCAGTGTACATTTAGTTTAATACTTACTGTTTCTGTGTAGTTACAAGTCACTATAGCACTAGAAACAGTCAATCGTTGATTGGAACTTTCGCTGGTGGTTTCCTGGTTTTCTTGGCCTTCCTGGTCTTTCTGATTACTCACATCTCTAGTTTGTCGGTTACCGAAGAATGGTAAAAACTGACCGAAGAAGTCGAGTGGGTTAAAATTGCCAGGAAACAAACTAGCCTTTTCCTGTTGTTCAGTTTCGTTGGAATTGTCCGCTAAAATTAAATTTACGGCCAGCTGAAATGAAAAATTAAAGAAATATTTTTATATAATAAAAAACTTAAATAAGAAGACATGTTATTAAACAGAAATAACACAGATTCTTTGATATCTTAACTATTTTACACTTTATTAGGCAGTAAAACCCTCTCTAAACCTTTATAAATAAATATAAAGCTAAGCGTCTAATAAATAAAGACCAAATCAATATTGGTACTCTTTTTACTATACTTCAATAGTATATTTTGTCTCTTTTTATCATATTGTATTTTGGCTGTGATAAAAAGAGAGATTGTCTTTAGTTAAAATTGTATTGGACTGATTATATTAAATGTATTAAATAAGGAGTTAGCCGTCGGGCGTTGTCTATGGGCGACGGTAAGCATTTAATTCTACTTGCTGTTTGTTTGACCCATAAAATAATATAGCCAGTAAAAACGTATAATTTCCCTTACCAGAGCTGTTAATGAGTAAAAATACAATTTCAGAAGAGCCATCCTTTGTAAGTTCTCGCTGTATTGGCTACCAGTCGTCAAACTTAATAATTAACTCTTGTCAACCTCATCTTATATAGTAAGTGAGAAAAATGAAAATGGAAATTTAATTTTCTGTCTGGAGCTGCATAATCGGAGAACGATGAATAAATTGTATGGATTACGCAAATTGCTCAGGCACGATCACGAATAATCATTTGTGGAGCAGTATTTATATCTTGTAATACATAGAAGTCACGTACGGGTATTTAAATATAAAGGTGCGCTTACACGGGCAACTAAAATTGCTCAATTATGACGTCACGACTACATCAAGCAATTTACGGCAACGGCAACAAGCATCACACGAGGGCAATAATTGCTCGGCGACACGAATGGTCCGATCTGAAGCAATTAATGGAGCAATTTCAATAAATTCAAAAAATTTCAATAAATTATTTCCGCGATATTGCTTCTAATTGCTCCAGATATTTCATATCGCTCAATGTCGCAGTTACGAATTGACGAATATCCAATGGACTTGGGAATTCCTAGCAATTTTTGTATATGTCTCATTCGCACTTGTTTGTTTTGCGGCTTGCCGTCTTGCTTCCGCGGGGAGAGCAAGAGGTCTAAATAATAATAATTTCTAATTACTTTATTCAAAAGTAATTAAAAGTCTGTTCGTGACATTCTAGTAAAGTTTTTGAATAATATATCATCTAATTCTTTACACAATGAAAATTGCGGCCAAAAACGATCGCACCCAGATACGCCTATTCCTTTTCTTTCTTTTTTGTTTTTGATTAATAATAAAAAAAGCGCTACAAGCCGCCGCAGCAAGAACAATGTCGTCTATAGCGAGCGAATACTTAATTGCTCGTGTAGGACAGTATTGCCTAATTGATGAAGTTGCGCCATATCGCTCAATATTGTATTGCGCAGTATTGATGCTTGTTGCCGTTGCCGTAAATTGCTTGATGTAGTCGTGACGTCATAGTTGACAAGTATTGACTGGAATTGAGCAATTTTAGTTGCCCGTGTAAGCGCACCTTAAGTGTTAACATCGCTATTACAAAATAGTGGTGGTACAAGGGTGAACATTAGGGGTATGTATGAATAAAGTAAAAATCAAAACCGAAAAATCGATCAAGCCGTTTCGGGAGAGGTTGATTACAAACAAAATTTACTTAAATATTTAATATAAAAAATTCTCGTGTCGCGGTGTTTGTAGTTTAACTCCTCCGAAACGGCTTGACCGATTCTCATGAAATTTTGTGTGCATATTGGAATGTCTGAGAATCAGACAACATCTATTTTTCATCCCCCTAAATGTTAAGGGCAGTCCACCCCTAAATTATTATTTTTTTAATTTTTAGATACTTACCTATTTTTTTTATTATTTTTTATGATACAGCATACAAAAATACATATAACCCCTAATTTTCACCCCTATACGATCAACCCCTATCTTTTATTATAAATGATATATATATGGCAAAACGACGTTTGCCTGGTCAGCCTAGTATATATATAGATTTTGAACTCCTTAAGAAATTTCTTGGCCATAAAGGAAGATAGAGGTTGGAGGAACATAAGAAATGAGGAGATTAAGGTATGTATAATGATACCCCAACCGAACATAGTGGAAGCTATAGCCAATAGACTCCACTGGATTGGCCACCTTAAGAGAATGGAGTGCCAAGAATCTGTCTATAGTTTCATTTATTATTTAGAAAACTTGTTGAGCTTTTTGTGCCTGATATACGTCGATATTTGGGCCTAAGTTGTTTGTTATCTAATTTAACATACCAGCAAGTATTAATTGGGCACATTGAAAGAAAAAAATTAGTGCACAGCCGGCCTTGAATCGGCACAGCCTTGCGATTCTGTAACTGACTTTTCGATAAGGAGGGAGCTTGTAGTTTATTGTTTATCAGAATGCCAAATTATAAAATGACTGCCTCACGACTGATTTGAGCGCGACCGCCGCTGCGTAAACCGCTGTGAGAGTTCGACAAGTGAGTTACAGAATCGCAAGGCAGATCAGGAATCGCTCAACCAATAGTGTCATCGTATTATACGAGCAATTGATGCAAAAAATAACTGAAGGATGATAATTGTAAATAAAATTGGAAAGAAAACAATCAACTAAAATATTACTGTGAATTCAGTTAAAAGAATTTTTTTTTTTTTTTATAGGGTTCAGTGATTGAGTTCATTTTTAAAAGGAATTCATGTTAATACTCGAAAGATCTTTATGCACAAACCTTGAAAATAACATTGAAATGTCTGCGCAAAGTCAATAGGAGGCTATCTTGTATTTTCACGTCCACGACTCATTGTATCAACTTCACGCTGAAATCTAGGGAAACAACAAGTTGTTTGTTTCTTGTGACGTCAATTGTATACAATGGTTTTCCACATCTATATTAAATATAAATCCAAATATAAGCAAACATTAATATTTTTGTTATAAATGAAAGTTTAATTAATTAATGCACTTATGAACGTAAATAAACTCATTCGTGGATATTAAAAGCCTTTAATTAATTTTAACGCCAATTACATTACATACTTTTATTTAAATTTTTCGTTATTTGACTTCCAACCAAACACAATTCGTTGCCAAGCGATATTACAATCGTCGCTATTATAGGCGCTATTATAGCGTTCGAGTATTACGTAACGCAAATTTTTGGAGATTATTGACCCCCCGTAACGTTTTTCTGTACCCAAGTAAAACGTTTCGTGACCACCTAGTGATCCTAAACAACCTAAAAGTTACTATTATGTGGTGTAAAGTACTGGAAAGTCGAAAATAATATTAACAATAACGCGTAATTCAATTCCCGCCCCGTATCGTAACGTTTTACAAAAGACCCCCCCCCCAAATTCGTTACGTAATACTTGAACGCTCCTTTATAATAGCAACTCTAAATGTTTGAAAATTTTACTTTACCCATTGCTATATATATTTGTATATCTGCTATAACCCCTCACCTCCCTCCCTAACGGCTATTAATTTTCTATAATAACAATATTATTATTATTTTCATTAATTGCTATAAGGCAGACTTGCTCGTGCTTTATTATTCAGAGGTGTTCAGTTACATTTTAATGAAGAAGCGTATTTCGGTAATGAGAATTAAATCAAGTTTACTGTATTTGGCACAGTTGTTGTTTACTGTGTTTGACATATTTAAGTGTCTCTCTGTGAGAATCGTAAAAACCGATTGCAAAATTTTATCGAAGTATATTTACGCAGTCGTAAACTTTAAACAATAAACTTTCAATTAAACGGGGAGCAGGCGGTACTGATATTTTTTTTTCATTTCATCTTTCGTGTTTAATTAATTGATGGCAATTTGTTGACAAATTCAAAATCATTTAGGTAGCACAATGTACACTTATGAACGTCAATAAATAAATACATATTAAATGTTTCTAATTTTACATTTACGCTGAAGGCTTTTAAGAAAAACATCAATGCTAGGTAATTATTATTAAAGCTTTATTAATCCATACAACAATTGGTTAGTTTACATTCCTTTATATTAGTATTAGTTGTGTTAGTATAAGTAAACATTTTGAGTTAGATTTCCTTTTTCTTTTTTAGTGGTCTAGTTTTTGTATGTTTTTTTAGGGTAAAAGCCTCCTCCGTATTGTTCCATTTCTATTTGTCTAGAGCAACATTCATCCAGTTTTTCCCCACTAGTTCTATAATGTCAACTGTCCATCTTTTCTTCTGTCGTATTCATCTCTTTCCAGTAGGTCCAGTCCATTTTGTTATGTCTATTCCCATTTCCATTTAAGCCTGAGAGCGTGTATAAGTGCATCTGTAAGTTTTGTTTTTTTACGAATGTCAAAATTTCTTGTTTTCTTCTCAACTTTAAGATGCTTCTTTTCATTGCATGCTGGCAAGACAGGATTTTTCTTGTATACAAGTATATTTTCTAGATACTAGTTTACTATTTAATAATTTAATAATATATACTTGAGTAATAGTCGTATAAAAACAACGAAATGCAACGGAAAACGTCAAGTCAACTCTCAACAATCTAGTCTGATTCATAATAAACCAATTTTCCACATGTCCGCAATTTCCACTCCTTTATAAGGTGCTTGTACCTGACGAGGGTAAAGGAATTTTCATCAGACCTTAATACTAACATGCGAGTGTCTGCTTCGTCTTAATTACATTCTTTTGGAATTGTTTCAACTTAGGTACCATACATCCAAAGGGCAAACCATTATTGCTTAGATGGCAACAAAGTTACTGTACGGTTCCTGGGTCATCAAGGTACTTACTATATATAATAATAGAGTATTTTAGTTTTACTCTATATTAACCACTCGCGCACAACAATGGAATATAGGCGAAATAATGAAATGTTAATTGCTATGTAACGAATGAATGCAATGTAACAGTCAAAAAGAGTGCCTACGTTTGGCTTTACTCTCGGGGCGTAACTTCCATGATTAAGTTATTGCTTTGAAACGAATGCCTCCACAGTAACCGATGAAGAGAGTGCCTGCGTTAGGCTATACTCTCGGGGCATCACCCCGACGATTTAGTTAATCGTGACGCTTATTAAACTAAGAGAGTCTGAGTGAGAAAAATGTACAGCCTTGTCTCGTACAGTTGCTATAACCAAAAAATCATCAACCCTCGAAATTGGATTGCTTTAAGACGTGATAAGGAGCATGGTTCCTTTCATTATGTGAAATAGATTTGGCGTTTTAAAAGAGTGTCGGAGATTTTGTTGCCAGTTCCTCAACTGTGATTGTGCCCTGGATTTGTGAACGCAGTGATTGTAATTTAGAAGTTAGTTATTAGTTATTAGTATAGTTTATAGTATTATTAGTTATTTCGACTATGATTTGCGTGTTGTTACCACAAGAATGTAAGTGCGTGCTCCTATTTCACCATGCCATGCTGATAGAGGACAAATCTTTGTTTTTAATTTATTTTATTATTATAAATTACTTAAGATAAGCTCCTTACAAACATTGTGTACAACAAAAAACTTGGCGATTAAAAAGAGTGGCGGAGAGTTTATTGCCAGTTCTTCTCTTCCGTTCTATGCCCTTGATTTGAGAAATGCAAAATTAAAAGGATTAATATGTATTTCTTTTTTGACGTTCATAAGGCCTCGAATTTTGCGGGCAGGGGGGCGGGCTCCCCCCCTTTTCCCCCCCCCGCGCCGCTGCCTAAGTGTACATTGTGTTACCTATATGAAAAACGATTTTGACTTTGAGTTATGATATGAATATATGATATTTTGAGACGAATTTAAGAAATAATGTGACAGTAGAAATTGTAACGTGTCAAAGGCTATATAGAAAGTCAACGAAGACATTTCATTCGAAGAAAGTTTCTTCTTGAAATGACTATTAAATAACTACTAAAAATGGTAAAGTATTATTTTATCTCTAAATCGCTAATATGTACAGTTTCTCTGTTATTATTACGTAAAATATTACGCTCGAAAACATGATACAGGACTAGTGAGCGGAAATTATTGAAATCACATGTTCGCCTGTAGGTCGTCTGACATTTATATCTTTCACAGTCGTCTACATTTGTTTGAAAACTCAATTTTCAGGTATTTTTGATGTTGATAGATGCGATAATATAAAGACAAGTTTGTAACATATATTACACATAATACCTGGAGTCTAATTCCTGAATTTAAATTAAGTTTAGATTTGGTTTTGTTTCTGATGTTTTTACTCTTTGATCTAGAGATAAATCATGCATTATTAAATCATTCTTCACTAAAAAAATCCATTTATTACATTTAATTAATTAATTAGTTATACGTTTTTAATATATGTGCAATATAACAAATATCGATCTATCCAAATCTTTGTATGAATCACATTTGTTACATTCTGTTATCTACTGAGTGTGGTATTTTAATGTCTTTCAAACATTTAAGATTTCAAACATTTAAAAAATTAGTAGAGCGAATGCATTTTTTAACTAGAAATTTATTTATTTATTTCTATATAAAAAAATAAGCTACTGTTACAGATTGCTATAATGCGGCAACTTTTTACATTTATATCCCATGCAAAAATACATACACAGAAAAAACAACTCAACATTAAACAGTATTAAATTAAAAGTTTCATAGTTCATATTAAATTAAAAGTAAGAGAGTTTGGTAAGATTAAAACACTAACAAAAAGACTAACTATTTCTTACAATATAGGAACTGGCATGAAGCAGACATTTTGTCAGTCCGATCAACGGATAATTAAAGATTAACTGACGTTTTCTATGCAGTTTATTAATTAATTCCATATATTGTGACATGTGTGCCCTTTACAAGAGGTAAGATTTCGCTGAGGGTACGAATATTAATGGCGGTCGATTAACGATGGCCTAGGCACTGGAGCACTGCCGGATTGTGTTCCCTTCCACGTAACAAATTTATCAGATAAATAGTAAGCGCAAATTCTCGGCGCACTCTCATTCTTTTTAGCCCACAAACCTATTATGAATAAAGTTTGTTACCTGAGCGGGTAAAATGGATACACGTCGTATATTCTACAATACAGGTGCTTGATGAAAATTTGTTTTGTACCCTCTCCGTCATCACCCTATACTTTCTTTCATGAGGATGTGTGCAGGAAAGAACGTTGTATGAAATTTATCGTGAACAACTAGTATTATGACAACCCTGTGAGAGACAGGGTTTTTGTTGAATTTAGCTTTTATTAATTTTAATAATAAATAATAAGTTGGGTTTAAATGGGTTTTGAACTAGTAAAAACGCATTAATATAGCTAGGTCAAATTTTTATTGTTCTTAAATATGTATTAACAATTATCACTTTAGAAATTCATATTAAATTAATATCAGAACTTTCAGAATCTTAAAAATTTTATGCTGGCACTGCTTCTATCGGGGCATCCGCTGGGGCACATTCTGCTGTGGGTGTGGCTGAGCATTCTCCAAGGTTGCAGTAGGGAAGGGTGGGGTCGTTACATGGTCTTTTAAGACCACCGATTTTGGTACAAATCTGTTTGGTGTTGCAGTCCAGGCAGGTGGAGCCAATCCCGGTGCATGGTGTCCATTGAGGCATCCATGGGGCCTGGGAAATCCATGATGGAATCCAAGGGTTGGCACCTGGAGCTGGCGGACCTTGGTAATCACCGAAGCCGGTTGCTGGAATTGCCGCAGTAACAGCAACCTAAAAAACATTTATTATTTTGTTAACGATCCTAGTATTAATTGAATATATGAATTAATGAATCTATAAACTTTTAAAATTAATAGCTCACAGAAATACATTACACCAAAGGAAAGTTGCGAAACATTGTTTTTTCCCCTCCTGGTGAAACGGTTACAATTACCATTACTGTTACTGAGCTTATAGAGTTCGATTACTGGTATAATTCATATATTATTATTATCTAATTCGCTCATTGAATCTATTGCTATAACAGTAGCTTTTAGATCTATGGATCCCTCATCTGAATGCCTTCAACCACTGAGGGTTAAGGCTTGTACTCAATAAATTTTTTTTGAATAATTTAGCATAAAATTACTTCAAGAATGCTAAGAACATCAAGATCAATGAACGTATAAGCTTAAAAATATTCACGATAAATTATCAAACTTACCAATAGACAAAGAGAAATGACAATTTTGGAGCACATGTTTATATGATTATAAGCGATTGAAGTTGATAGAAGGTATTCGATAGAATGACATTGTTTCTCCCGCAGAGCCTTTTATATGAGGTTTTATTTGATATCGGATTTAATAAACAACCAAAATAGATAGTAGATACCGGCAGGTTTTTCCATTGGAAACAAATGTTATTCAGCTGATAACCTTATCTCTGTGTATTCTAAACCTAAGATTATATTACCTGATCTATTTCTAAATCTACTTTTACTCCTTGGCACTTGTTTGTCAACATACAGCTTTGCTTTATTTTGTAACGAAAAATAAAGGAGTTATGTTATCATCAATAATACCTGTAATAATTGCGTAAGTAATTTTTTTCACAAATTCTCTTTTCTCTATTACACGTTATAATCTGGCCTAAGACCATTTCATAGTCTATACTGGTATAATAGTTATAAAGAGTAAAGATTTGTTTTGTTTGTATTGAATAGGCTCCGAAACTATTAGACCGTTATAAATATTATTTCATTAGAACCATACGTTATCCCTGATGAACGTAGGCTAAATAATGTTTTCAAAACAAATTGTATAAAATTACAATTGTGTATTTTATTGGGTTTTTCATTCAAGGTGTGCGAATATTGACCATAGAGAAAAGTGATGTACTACAGTTTTATAGACGACATCAATATCTACAAAAATCATGTCTAACAAAAATATATTCTTTTTTAAAACTCTGTTTTCCGAGAAAAGCTTTACAACACTTTTTTATATATATACAATATCGTGCTACGACCAAATGAATGCGGGTGGAACCATAGAGCACAGCTAGTACATTGTAAAATACATCCCCCCGTTCGATTAGGTATTTATTTATATATATAATGTTTATACGTATTAGTATGTAAGTAGATAAAATTATCATATTGTAATCATGTTTATGAGACGGCAGCTGTTTGTCATACAAACAAATTTTTCTTAGGATTTTCCCAGAACAACAGAGGTAATTAATCCTATTTATTTAGTGCTCTTGTATATTTCCATTGTATCAAAGATTAAGGTACATTTGAATAATATCGTTTTATTATAGGCTGCAAAATCGTAAGTTTAGTTGTAGGCACCACATGATTCCAAATTTGCTACGACGTTATGGAATTGGCACATTGTTCTAGAGATCTCAGATAATTATTTATTCCCGCATTGGAAGTCGGAGTCGGATTTATAGAGTAGTGATATATACGAAGCAAGAAACAGAATGGCTTTTCCATGCATATACAAGGGCGGTCCGATAAGTACTTAGCCTCACCGCCTGATAGCACCACTGTCGCAAGAGCATTTTTTCATCGCTTAGAACATTCTCGTAGACAGCTACTGTAAAAGTTTCAGCCGAATCGGACGCGTAGTTTTGTGTTGACCGCTTGTGGAAGCTAGCGTGTCCGCAGATTTCAGAAAAAGGGCAATATAAAATTGGTTTAACGAGTTTCAATGTGGTCGCACGTCTTTTTGTTTCTAAATTTGAAAAAGTCACTTGTCGTGTAGAAATTTGAACCGAATGATTCGGTTATCGCCGCCACGGAGCCCTACTTTGCAGACCTCCAGGAGACGTATTTTTCAGACGGGTTGAAGAAGTTGGAACATCGCTGGGTCAAGTGTATCAAAGGATTATATTGAGAAATAAACCGCTACTTCTCCAAAAATTTGTTTATTTTTTTGTAGGCTAATTACTTCTCCAACCTCGTAGATCTACTTAGTTAATTTTCGTGGGGCAAGAGGCTAAAAGGCAGGCCACTTGGGTGCTTTGTGCCGCACATGGACACTAGCAACCCCCGGCTTACAAGAGCGTTGCACATACTTGGAGATTACAGTGTAGAGTTTCTCGCTAGTTCTTATCCGTTCTACGCACTGGATTTAAGAAGCGCAGTAAATTTAAATTTAGGAAAAGACATTCATAAGTGTAAAATACACATGAAACAGTTTTTTACTTTTAGATGAAACCTACTATTTATTTTTCTCGTATTATGAAATACGTAAATAATAATAATCACATGTTTTTTTTTACTATATAGTACGTGAGGTAGCAACTTTTTCGAGAAAGAATTTCAGGTCAGCTGATTTTGTGATATGTCTTCCTTCTTGCATTTTCGGTTAGAGTCTGGGCTATCTGGTCAAAAATGTCTGACAATAAAAAAAGTATGTCAGCTTGACTTATTTAAAAACGAAAAATTAAAAATTACGCTTCTTAAAATGCTTTTAAAATCCTTGATTATTACCTGGACAGGTAGGATGCGCACTAATGAACGCAACCGCTACCGCCAGCCAGATAGCCCTGCCTCTAACCGCATATCACAAAATCAGCTGACCTAAAATTCTTACTTTTTAAACGTTGCTAGCTCCCGTACTAATAACTCTAGTGTCGAATACTGAATGAAGAAACCCTTCGATGTATGCGTAATTCAGAATCCCGGCATTGTTTCAGAAAATAACCGTGGTTAGATTACCATGTACCGTTCAGTAATAGTACTGAAG